AGTCGTGGTATTATTTGAAATGGCATAGGGTCTTGGTGGGCATAGTGTGGCTTGGTGGGCGTGGCATGGGAAGGATACTGCAAAATCTCCATTCCCACCCCACTCTAGGAGAAGGATATTGCAAAATCTCCATTTCCATCCCACTCGGGGGCCAGCCAGAGATGGTATTTGCCAGTTCTCCGAACTACTCAAAATTTCCGCTACCGGTTTGTCAGAACCTGCTGGATTTCACCCCTGCGCCCCAACCTTTTGGGCACCAGGGACCGGGTGGGGTCCCCCTGGACTAGAAGACCTCCATGGCCCTGTAGGAAGTTAGCACCCACCCCTCTCCTAGGAAAATTGAGACATTTTAGGAAATATTTAAAGGGCAGAATATTTCCCCTAAAAGGGAGGCTGAAACTCCCCTCCCCTCCTCACCTTTGTCAATGGGCCATGATCTTCTAACAAAGATCCTTCAAGCAGAGCCATAATAGGAATTGCCCAAAGCCCCTTTCATTATGTCATCACCCAGCAAGGCTCAACCAAGCCTGGGACGCAGACAACCTACAAAGTTACCCCTGCATGACCCCCACGGGAGTCCGACAACCAATCAGAAGGCAAGCTCAAATTCAAAAGCCCAACGGAGGGGATAAAACCCAGGTGCTCTCGGCATCTCTTCCCCTTTTTCCCCATGTGGTCCTCCTGTCCACCATTAAAAACTGTATTTCCAAGCAGCCTCCATGTTTCCAGTGTCTTTCTCCCACACTTGGAACTGAACCCAAATGGACATTTCTTCCAACGGTCCCTTCCAACTCTATTATTCTACGTTCTAAGTGTTCAATCCCGGATTCCGTTTCTTCTTCTTCTTCTTCTTCTTCTTCTTCTTCTTCTTCTTCTTCTTCTTCTTCTTCTTCTTCTTCTTCTTCTTCTTCTTCTCCTTCTCCTTCTCCTTCTCCTTCTCTTCCTCCTCCTCCTCCTCCTCCTCTTACTCCACCAGCCAAGAAACGGGCACCACCCAGAGATGAGGATGAAGAATGGAACTTCGCTTGGCGTTTTTTGCGCAATACACAAAGAGTAACAGCGAAGTCACAACTCCAGACAGCTGGCTTTGCTCTCCTCTGCTCTGCTAAACAAAAAACAAAAAAAACTCTGCTGCAGAGTGATGCAACCATCATCACGAAATGTCCATCTGGGTTCAGCTCCAAGTGGGGAAAAAAAGACACTGGAGACATGGAAGCTGCTTGGAAAGATGGTTTAATGGTGGACAGGACCACCTGGTTTGAGTTCCTGAACAGAAAAAGGGCCGAGATGTCAAGCATGCTTTGGTTTTATGCCCTCTCTGAGCTCTGAACTTCCTGGGGCACAGGACGAGTATCCTGATTGGTTGTCAGACTCCCGAGGGGTGGGGGTGGGGGGGTCTTAGCTAGCCTTGCTGGCTGGTGTAATCTCCTCAAGTGGCCATGTAGTGAGTTTCTGTTGCTAGATGGGTCCTATTGTGTTGCAGATGAAGGTCCATTGACAAAGGTGGAGGGAAGCCGGGAGCTGCTTTGCCTTTAAAACATGTTTCTCCATTTCTCATCCAGGGAAATATACTATTCTGCCTTTTTTAATATTTCCTAAAATATTTCATTCTTCTAGGAGAGGGGTGGGTGCTAACTTCCTACAGACAAGGCTGAAGTTTTTTGTTTTTTTTTTAAAGTAAAGCCGAAGTTTTAAAGCAACTTCCCTGTTGCTTTGTAAATTACTGTATTCGTGGTTTTTTGTTTTTTTTAGCTTAAAAGTTCTGTTGGTTAAAAAAGAAAAGAAAAGCAACAGTCTTAGATCTGAAGTTAATTTGCCACTTGGTTGTTACTGCAGCTATCCTTTTTTTTTTTTTAATTGAAAAGTTTTAAAAAGTTTTACAGACATTTCCCCTTCCCCCTCCTTCCTCCCCTTCCAGCCCTCCCCTTCCCCTCCCTCCCCCCCCCACTTCTCAGAGCAAAATACAGGGTATAACATTTGACAATCATAAGCTAACATAAGCTAATTATCTATAGCCTCCTATCCCCCCCTTGAACTTTTAACTCCCCTTTTACTAAACTAAATTGAAGTACTTTGTAAAATCTCTTTGATCGTTCATAAGCTATTTGAAATTTTTTAGTCCGATATTTGCCTTGAATATAATCAACCCATCTTCTCCATTCTAACATATATTTCTCATTTGAATGATATGCTGAAATTTTCGCCATTTCTGCTAAATTTACTTCTTTTAATGTCCATTCTTGAATAGTAGGTAAACCTTCCTTCTTCCAGTACTGCGCCACCAAGAGTCTTGCTGCAGTTATTAAGTTCAGAATCAAATTAGTCTCTATAGCCGTACAATCTGTAATTATACCTAACAAAAACAACTGTGGAGTAAACTTTATCCTTTTTTTGAAAAATATTTTGAATAATCCACCATATTTTTACCCAAAATGCTTTAACTTTTTTACAAGTCCACCAAACATGAAAATAGGTAGCATCAACACAATCACATCTCCAACATTTGGGTTGTAGGTTTGGGTACATACAAGCTAACTTTTTGGGATCCAAATGCCATCTATAAAAATTTTCTCTCAAATTTTGAGCTTGTGTAAATTTCACATTTCTTACCCAGATCCTTTCCCATGTTTCCATCATTATTGATTCCTCAAAATTTTGTGCCCATTTTATCATACAATCTTTAACTAACTCTGTCTCCGAGTCTATTTCTATCAATATATTTTACAACCTTTTTATGTGCATTCGACTCTGGTCCCTAATTTGTTTTATCAAATTTTCTTCACTTTGTATAATACCAATTTTCTGATCTTTTTTCCATCTATTCTGCAGCTGTACATATTGAAACCAGGTTTGAATTGCTCTTTCCTCTCTTAGCACATTCAGAGGCTTTAACTGTAGTACGTTTCTTTCTGTAATCAGAAGTTCTTTATAAGTAATTACATCCTGTCTTTGTTTTATACTTATATTTTCTATCACATGTCTGGGTACTACCCATATGGGTAGTACCCATATCTTACCATTCAATTTATATTGGTATTTTTTCCAAACACTTTTAAAAGTCCTATCCACCTTCTTCTCATAAACTAAGTAGGCATACCAACCATATAGCAAATCATACCCTTCAATATTCAGTATTCTTTCATCTGTTAAATTAATCCAGTCACTAATTGCTGACAAAACAGCTGCTTCATAGTACAATTTTAGATTGGGCAATTTCAAACCTCCTCTTTCACGTGTATCCTGCATTATTTTTAATTTAACTCTCCGTCTCTTCCCTACCCAAACAAAGTTATTAATGCCTCTCTGCCATTCCTCCAAATTTGCATCCTTTTTAAGTATTGGTATCATTTGAAAGAGAAATAGAAACTTGGACAGAACATTCATTTTAACTACTGCTATTCTTCCCAACAAAGACAGTTGTAATTTTTTCCATTTATGTCTGTCTGTATTTTATGCCATAACAATTCATAATTATACTTGTATAATTTTCCCATTTGACGTTGTAATAAAAACTCCTAAGTACTTAACCTTTTTCACTATCTCGCATCCTGTTACTCTTTCCATTTCTTCTTTTTGATTTGTATTCATATTCTTAGCTATCATCTTTGTTTTCCCTGCATTTATTTTAAACCCTGACACTTGACCATATTGCCTAATTATCTCCATCAAACCTATAACTGAATTTACTGGTTGGGTTAAAGTTACAACCAAATCATCTGCAAATGCTCGTAATCTATAATCACGTTGCCCGATCTTAATACCCTGTATGTTATCCGAGTGCCGTATTTTATTCAGCAATGCTTCCAAAGTTAAAATAAACAATAGTGGAGACAAGGGACATCCCTGTCTTGTTCCTTTCTCAATTGTAAAAGTTTCTGTGAGACTACCATTAACTATGATTTGTGCTGTTTGTTTCTGGTATATTGCCTTAATAGATTGTATGAAATGCTCTCCCAACTGCATCTTTTGTGCTACTTTCACTGCAGCTCTCCTTCTGAGGTGGATAAAATGGGAGGAGCCAATCATCTCTTGGCCTTACTCCTGAGTTGTCCTCTTTGCTTTAGCTGCTCTTGCCTTCTGGCAGCTCTTCGCATGCGTGCACTAGGAACAGGCTCCTCCTGTTCCTCTGCCTCTCTGTTGACAGCCTCTGGAGGCTCCGGAGTCCGCACATCACTCCCCGATGGCCCTGGCCCCATCTCTGCCTCCGATGCAGAGCCCTCATCCGGGCCTTCCTCAGACTCCTCACTATCCGACTCCGCTGCCAGCTCCGCAGGCTGCTGGCGGACCACAACACTATCTATCTATCTATCTATCTATCTATCTATCTATCTATCTATCTATCTAATCTATCTGCTATCATGACACAGTGGTTAAAATGCAGTATTGCAGGCTAAATTCTGCCTACTGCCAGCAGTTCGATCCTGACCGGCTCAAGGTTGACTCAGCCTTCCGTCCTTCCAAGGTCGGTAAAAGGAGGAGCCAGATTGTTGCGGGTGCGTGTGTAGAGAGGGCTGTAAAAGCACTGTGAAGCGGTATATAATTTAAGGGCTGTTGCCGTACAGGTTTCTGCTCACAAGTCAACAATCGGCTTGTTTCGATCTGCGACAGAGTTGTCGGTCTGAGGACACAATTTAACGAGGCCCAGTGTCTAATAAACTGCATTTGCTTCCATGAAAACAGACAGGGGTTTAATTCTGCCGAAAGAGAGAATTTATTACGTTGTAGATTCCAAATGTATTAGGAACCGAGGACAACTTTCCCATAGCCTCAGGGCTAGTTATTTGAGCTTTTATTTACCCGGAAGTCTTAATTGATTGATTAATATATCAAGTCGCCGCACCGCCCTTCTCACTTGAATGACTTTGGGCGCTGTCTCGATCTGTCCATTGTCAAGTTTCGTGCCCTACCCGTTTCTTTTTTTTAAAAAAATTTTTTGGCAGCAAACAAATCCTGAAATTTTGCTTCTTGCCCTTCCTTGCCTCCTCCTTTTCTCCTTGCAGTCGATCCGTGCTGTTATTTCCCGTGCCAACACGGCGGTTTGTGCGTCCGGGTTGGCACGGAAGGGTACGAATGCGACTGTATCCGGACGGGATATTATGGCACCAACTGCAGCTCACGTGAGTATCGCTTCCTGTGTGCAGACCCTCCATATTCAGTGGCAGTCTACCTCAATGTACCACCACCACCACCCTTGCATTCCCCAGAACTGAGAAGGGAAGCTTCCTGTGGGTTCTTCTCCGTAAATCCTCCCAAGGGGACATCTTTAGGGAAATATCTGTGGTTGTTTGTTTTTTTTTAAAAAATGTCTTTGCCTCTCCCTCCCTTCCCAGCGGAATTCTGGACGTGGGTACACGACACCCTAAAGCCGAGCCCGTCTTCCGTTCATTACTTGCTGACGCATTTCACCTGGCTGTGGAGCGTCGTGAACCGGACTTTCCTCCAAAGCCTTTTGATGAGAGTGGTGTTGACGGGTGAGTGGGCGAAGGGATGGGCACAGGTCTTCGGAAAGGCTCGCTGGCCTGTTGGACTTGAGAGGCTCACCAGGCCCAGAAGCCTCTCCCAGCTGCCAGTCCTGCGACTGGATTCCGGGGGAGAGTCGCCTGAGGGAGGAACGCCAGCGGAGAAGGAGAGGCGGCCAAAGGTACGAGACAAAACAGTCCCGTTCCTCCCTCCATGCCCCCTCTCCGAAATCCCTTCCCCCTTTCTGCCTCTCGCCCTCCAGCCCGCGCCAACCTCATCCCCAGCCCGCCCACCTTCAGTGGCAACTACGGATACCTGAACTGGGAGTCTTACAGCAACCTCAGCTACTTCACCCGCATCCTCCCGCCGGTGCCCTCCAACTGCCCCACGCCGATGGGGATGAAAGGTACTGCAGGGGGCATACCCCTTTCCCAGCTGCCTGGCTCTGCTTTTGTCAGGAGGAGGAGGAGGAGGAAGAGGAAGAAGAGGAGGAGGAAGTTGGGGAGTAAGGGAGGGAGGGGGTGTCAGAGTTTCTTGCAAATATCAAATCCCGAAGCACACACAGATAACTGATTTCAGCTGGATTCATTGACTTCTTTATATACATAATAACAGATGAAGTATTTATGTACAATACCAATAGTTGATTCTTCCAACGTGGTAGAAGTTACAGCACAAGACAGGAGAGAACAGTTAGTTTCATTTCAGCAGAGGAGACAAGGCTAGTTTCATTTTAGATCTGAGCACAGAGCAGGCAAGCAAGTCCAGACTTGTTTAGTTTCTGTTTCAATTCTATGCACAGACTCAGAAGCTGCAGACTAAGACGTGCCCTGGCTCCAGTCTGTCTCAGCTCCCAATTGGCTGATTTAGTTGCTATGCCTATTCATTGGCTGATCTTGTTACCATGTTTCTGCCAGTTCATGAATAATCTCACAGGGGGTTGGGGCAGGAGGAGGAGGGGAAGAGCGGGAGGGGGAGGAGGAGAGGGACAGGGAGATGGAGGCGAAGGAAGAAGAGGAGGAGGAGAGGGGGGACCTGGGGGAGGAGAAGGAGGGAGAGGGAGAGGGACTGTCACGTGCCAGGAGACCAGGCTCGGGCAAGGCTTTCCTCTCTGCCCCACAGGACCGCTGGAGCTGCCAAGAGCCGAACTGGTGGCGGAAGAACTTCTCCTGCGCCGGACTTTCCACCCCGACCCACAAAAAACCAATCTGATGTTCGCTTTCTTCGCCCAACACTTCACACACCAGTTCTTCAAGACGTTTGGCAAGATGGGCCGTGGATTCACCCGGGCTCTGGGCCACGGGGTGAGGAGAGAAGCCCCAACATTTCTCGTGGTGGTGGGGAGAAAGGATGGTGGGGGGGCTTGGCTTAAATCCACTGGCTCTTCTTGGAAGGAAACAAGCACTAAAACAGCGTGGAGGAAAAATATTTCCTTCTTCCAGCCGCCAACTAAAACAGATTTAACGCATAGACACACACAAAATCTGGCCTTTGGCGGTTCTTTGTGAAAGCTTTGCCACAAACACACCTTCCGGAAACGATCCTCAAAAGTCCAAGCACCTTTCGCAGAAGGACACCTGCCTCCTGGACAATAGACAACCAAAGGGCAAGCTGGGGATGAGGGTTTATGAAGTTCTCTTCCGCCATTCCCCTGGGTTTGGTCCTCTCTCCGCTCACCCCCAGTTACCTTTTCAAACGTTTTAGATTACTGAATCATTTCTCTCTCCCTCTCCCTCTCCCCCTCTGTTTCTCTCTCTCTCTCTTTCTTCCTCTCTCTCCCTCTCCCTCTCCCACTCCGTTTTTCTCTCTCTCTCTTCCTCTCTCCCTTGCCCCGTTTCTCTCTTTCTCTCTTTCTTCCTCTCCCTCTCCCCGTTTCTCTCTCTCTTTCTTCCTCTTTCTCTGCCTTTCCCTCTCCCACTCCGTTTTTCTCTCTCTTCCTCTCTCTTCCTCTCCCTCGCCCCGTTTCTCTCTTTCTCTCTCTCTTTCTCTCTTCCTCCGTTTCTCTCTTTCTCTTTCTTCCTGTTTTTCTCTCTCCCTCGCTCCCTTTCTCTCTTTCTTTTTCTTTCTTCCTGTTTCTCTCTCTTCCTTGCCCCCTTTCTCTCTCTCGTTTTTCTTTCTTTTTCTTTCTTCCTGTTTTTCTCTCCCTCGCCCCATTTCTCTCTTTCTATTTCTCTCTTTCTCTCTTTCTTTCTTCCTCTTTGTTTCTCTCTCTCCCGCGCCCCCTTTCTCTTTTTTCTCTTTCTCTCTTTTTTCCTCTGTTTTTCTCTCTCCCTCGCCCCATTTCTCTCTTTGTCTCTTTCTCCCTTTCTTCCTCTCTCTGTTTCTCTCTCCCTTGCCCCCTTTCTCTTTCTCTTTCTTCCTCTCTGTTTCTCTCTCTCCCTCACCTGGTTTCTCTCTTTCTCCCTTTCTCTCTCTCTCTTTCTCTCTCTCTTTCTCTCTCTCTCTCTCACACACACACATACAGAGACACACCCCGCAAACAGACTCAAAGGAGATCAAGAAACGACTCCCCTGTTATGTTGGCTCTTTCCTGCAGGTGGATCTTGGCCACATCTACGGAGACAACCTGGACCGGCAGCATCAGCTGCGCCTCTTCAAGGACGGGAAGCTGAAATACCAGGTAAGAAAGTCGAACAAAAAACTCACTTGCAGCCTGTGGAAACTCTTCAACACGGATGAAAACTTTGTGCCTGCCCATGGATTTCATTCCACCCCCCACCCCTCCCGAAAGAATCTCCTCTATGGGGCACGTTGGCAAATACCCCCCCACACACACACACACAATCCTCCCCATTTGCCGGACCACTCTGTCTCTCGTTCCCAGCCGGCAGGGGATGATGGGAGGTGGAATCCAAGAGGAAGAAAAGTCTGGCAACTTCCCAGACACCGACCAGAGATGTGCAGTAAGACAAGAACAAGTCTATCAACGTTGTTTTCTGACAAAGAGCCCAAGAGCCGTTGCTGGTCTTTTAAGCCTTATGGGAGGGGCCAATCATCTCTTGGCCTTACTCCTGAGTCGTCCCTTTTGCTTTAGCTGCTCTTGCCTTCTGGCAGCTCTTCTCATACGTGCACTAGGAACAGGCTCCTCTTGTTCCTCTGCCTCTCTGCTGTCAGCCTCTGGAGGCTCCGAAGTCCGCACATCACTCCCCGATGGCTTGGCCCCATCTCTGCCTCCGACGCAGAGCCCTCATCCGGGCCTTCCCCAGCTTCCAGGACTGGCTCATGTTCTTCCTCAGCCTCATCGCTGTCCGACTCTGCTGCCAGCTCCGCAGGCTGCTGGCAGACCACAACAGTGTCATCCTTTGCTCTTCTCTTCCCAGCTGATGAAGGGTGAGATGTACCCCCCAACAGTGATGGAAGCCGCCGTGCACATGATCTACCCACAAGGCACCCTTCCGGAGCACAGGTTTGCTACGGGCCAGGAGGTCTTCGGTCTTCTCCCAGGCCTCCTGATGTATGCCACCCTCTGGCTGCGGGAGCACAACCGCGTCTGCGACTTGCTGAAGCAGGAACACCCCACCTGGGATGACGAGCAGCTCTTCCAAACTGCCCGGCTGATTCTAACAGGTGGGCAACGTGGGGGCTGCAGGCAGTCCTAGCCGCCTATCGTAGAGTTTGGGGTTGACAGGAAATCCCAAACAGACGCCGTAAATAAGCAATTATTATGTGAATAGTAGACGCTGAGCTTGTCGATCGAAAGGTCGGCAGTCCGGCGGTTCGAATCCCTGGCGCCGCGTAACGGGGTGAGCTCCCGTGACTTGTCCCAGCTTCTGCCAACCTAGCAGTTCGAAAGCCCGTAAAAAACGCAAGTAGAAAAACAGGGACCACCTTTGGTGGGAAGGGAACAGCGTTCCGTGCACCTTTGGCGTTGAGCCATGCCGGCCCACATGAAAGCATTTTTTCAGCCGAAGAAGCCATCGCTACCGGATCGGGCGATCCGGTCCAAACTGGGAGCATTTCACCCCTGTGTTGGGCCTGGTCTTTAGGAAGAAGAGAGAGAGAGAGAGAAAGGGGGCGAGGGAGAGAGAAACAGAGGAAGAGAGAGAGAGAGAGAGAGAGAGAGAGAAAGAAAGAAAGGGGGCGAGGGAGAGAGAGAAACAGAGAGGAAGAAAGAGAAAAAGAGAGAGAGAGAGAGAAAGAAGGGGCGAGGGAGAGAGAAACAGAGGAAGAAAGAAAAAGGAGAGAGAGAGAGAAAGGGGGCGAGGGAGAGAGAGAAACAGAGGAAGAAAGAGAAAAAGAGAGAGGGGGGGCAAGGGAGAGAGAGAAACAGAGCGGAAGAAAGAGAAAAAGAGAGAGAGAGAAAGAAAGAGAGAGAAAGAGAGAAAAAGAGAAACGGGGTGAGGGAGAGAGAGGAAGAGAGAGAGAGAGAGAGAGAAAGGGGGCAAGGGAGAGAGAGAGAAAGAGAGAGAGAGAGAAAGAAAGAAACGGGTGAGGGAGATAGAGGAAGAGAGAGAGGACGAAGTGAATTTCGTTGTATGGGTATACTGTGTATACACATGCAGTGACAATGAAGTGATGATTATTGTTTTATTTTCCTCCGCCCTCTGCTCTTGCCAGGTGAGACGATCAAAATCGTCATTGAGGATTACGTCCAGCATCTCAGCGGCTACCACCTGAAGCTGATGTTTGAACCCGAGCTGCTCTTTGGGGCCCAGTTCCAGTACCAGAACCGCATTGCTCTGGAGTTTAACCAGCTCTACCACTGGCATGCCTTAATGCCGGATTCCTTCCAGCTGCCCGACAGAGAATACACTTACGACCAGTTTCTTTTCAACAACACCATTCTGACCCGCTATAGCATAGAGACCCTGGTAGAGGCCTTCTCCAAACAGCGAGCTGGACAGGTGGGTCAGTGGCCAGATCTGTGTGTGTGTGTGTGTGTGTGTGTGTGGAGGAAGTCTGGTTGCGGAGAGGACGCTTGGATCCAGCCGGTCTTCTCCACATGTGCCACCTTCATCTCCTAGTCAGGAAGTCCTGTTTGATCATGAAAACGGAAGGTTTGTAAGAAGAGACTGGGCAGCCACCTGCCTGAAATGGTACAGGGTCTCCTACTTGAGCAGGGGGTTGGACTAGAAGACCTCCAAGGTCCCTGTCAACTTTTTCCTTCCTTCCTCCCTCCCTCCTCCCTTCCTGCCTGCCTTCCTTCCTGAAATGGTTTTTCCTTCCTTCCTTCCTCCCTCCCTCCTTCCTTCCTTTTCTTTCTTTCCTTCCTCCCTCCCTCCCTCCTTCCCTCCCTCCTCCCTTCCTGCCTGCCTTCCTTCCTTCCTTCCTTCCTTCCTTCCTTCCTTCCTTCCTTCCTCCCTCCCTCTTTCTTTCTTTCCTTCCTTCCACCCAGCAATTTAACTACCGATTCGCCCGAACCGGCTGAATCCCACCATTGAATTTGACCTCCTCCTCTTTGGGGCAGCCCCTCAAATACTGGAATATTGCTATCATGTCCGCCCTCTCCCAATCCTTCTTTTCTCTAGACTAGCCCAGCCCAAATCCTGCAACCGTTCTCCCTATGTTTTATGAAGTTAAATACTCTTACTTCCTAGATGTAGAGACCCATCTATATCGGACAAATTTTTTAAAAAATTGTTCTTGACAAAGTCAACTTCCTTTTCAGATCGGTGGGAAGCCAAATATCAACAAGAACCTTCTCAAAGTGGCAATTGGAACGATCAAGGAATCGCGACTGTTGCGTTTTCAGCCTTTTAATGAGTACCGGAAGAGGTTCCATCTTAAGCCGTACACGTCCTTCCGGGAACTGACAGGTACTATCCCCAGAAAAAAAATCTCAAGGTCACCGAAACCTCATTGAGATGCTGTCAACCACCTATGAAAGAACTGGCTTGGCCATGTTGGGTGGAAGAGTGTTGTGGCTCGCCGGCAGACAGCAGAGCTGGCAGCAGAGTCAGACAGTGAGGAGGCTGGGGAGGAACGTGGGCCAGTCCCTGGAGTCTGGGGAAGGCTCGGACGAGGGCTCTGCGTCAGAGGCAGAGAGGGGGCCAAGGCCATTTGATAGTTATGTACTGCCTCCGGAGTCTCCGGAACCTGACATCAGCGAGGCAGAACTGTGGGAGCCTGTTCCTAGTGTGCGCATGCACAGAGCCGCCAGAAGACAAGAACAATTAAGGAAACAGGATCAACTTGGGAGTAAGGCTTGGAGATGATTGGCCCCTCCCATAAGACATAAAAGGAAGAGCGAATGGGGACATGAGCTTTTGCAGGAAGCAATTAATTCATCTGGTCGGTTCAAGCTTTGAAAAGTTCTGTTTGTGACTCTGTGCCAAGTTTGGCCTTGCCCTGCGTGTGGCAATTAGTTCTCTGGCAGCGTTCCAAGGGAGATAAGGTAGGTGTTTATAAACATTCCCCTGAAAGACTGTTCACAAACAGTCTTGCGGACTGTGTCTTGCAGACTGTGAATGATGATAATTCACAGCCGTGTAAATAAAAGAGGTTTTACGGGGACTAAGATTGTGCTTTATACTTTCCAAGGAAGCCTAGGTCAAAGAGTGAGGACATGTCCCTATCTGGAAAGCTAAACTGGACTTCCTGGGTCAAAGGCAGTTTGGTTCTGAAGATGAATTTGTGGAGAGGACAAGAAGCCCTTCTCTGAGGGCTTGTCCAGCGGTGTGGCTGTAGCAATTCCTTCCACCCTAGAGCATCGGTTGAGTGTTGAAGACATCAACAGACCCCCCCTTCCTTCCAAAGTACAGTAGTGGCCAAAATTGTGGAAACCTTTTGGGAAAAGTTGTATTTTCTAAAATTTAGCTAATAACACCACTTTTTTTTTTCTTTTGGGAACAATACCATAAAATTATATATCAATGGAAAGATGATTTAATCAAGAATGTAATGCAATCACTTTTAGGAAGGATTTGCTGTTAGAATAGCAGTTACAGGATAAAGAAGAAAAGGGAAACACGTAGAAGAAACGAGAGATACAAAAATGATCCCGATGTCAGTGAATCCTTCGTTGGGTAACCTTCAGCATGAATGATGGCCTTACAATGTCTTCCCATGGAGGGAACCAAGTCTTTGAGTTCTGCAGCTGTTATCATGTGAAACCAAGATTGAATGGCAGCTTCTATTAACTGGGTTTTATTGCTGGGTCGCTTCTGACTAACCAGTTTCTTTAGTCAGCTCTGTAGATTTTCAATTGGGTGAAGGTCTGGGGCTATTCCCAGGCCATTCCAGGAGTGGAATAGGATTATTTTGAAACTCCCCCAAAAAAAAAAAAAAAAAAAAAAAAAAAAAAAAAAGGTGGTGTTATTAGCCATCAAACCTCCAAAATACACCTTTCCCAAAAGGTTTTCACAATTTTGGCCACTACTGTATCTTTCTTTCTCCTTCCTTCCTTCCTTCCTTCCTTCCTTCCTTCCTTCCTTCTCTCCTTCCTTCCTACCTACCTACTTATCTTCTTTCTCTTTCTTTCTTTTTTCTTTCTTTCTTTCCTTCTTTCTTTCTTTTCTTTCTCTTTCCTTCCTACCCACCTACCTACCTATCTTTCTCCTCCCTCCCTCCCTCCCTTTTTTCCTTCCAATTAACCAGTTTCTTTAGTCGGCTCCATAGATTTTCAATTGGTTTAAGGTCTGGGCCATTCCAGCAGTGGAATAGGATTATCTTGAAACTCCTCCCCCCCCAAAAAAGTGGTGTTATTAGCCATCAAACCTCAAAAATACACTTTTCCCAAAAGGTTTCCACAATTTTGGCCATTACTGTGGCTCTTCCACAGTGGGTGGACAGTCCAGACATGGACAATCTTCGTAGGTCTTTGACGAGCTGAGATATCTCATATTTCCTGATTTCTCTCTTTTCTTTCCCTTGGTGCAGATGACGAGAAGATGGTTGAGAAGCTGGAAGAGATGTACGGAGACATCGACGCTCTGGAGTTCTTCCCCGGCCTGCTGGTGGAGAAGACCTACCCCAACAGCATCTTTGGAGAAAGCATGATCGAGATGGGGGCTCCCTTCTCCTTGAAGGGGCTGCTGGGGAACCCCATCTGCTCCCCCGAATACTGGAAGCCCAGCACTTTTGGGGGCGCCGCCGGCTTCCGAATCGTCAACACGGCAAGCTTGCAAAAACTGGTCTGCCTCAACGTGAAACGGTGTCCCTACGTGGCGTTCCACACGCCCGATCACGGAGAGGCCGAAGGCTCCGAGGAGAAGAAGCGGCCTTCAACGGAGCTCTAACAAAACTCCCTTCCGTTGAGTTATACAGGTAGTCCTTGACTTATAACCGTTCGCTTTAGTGACCGTTTGACGTTCCGACGGCCCTGAAAACAGTGACTTGTGACCGTTTTCTCACACTCGCGACCTCCCAAACGGTCACGTGGTTTTACATTTACGGGATGCTCATGACTGATTCGCGTTCGTGACTGTCGCGGTGTTCCGGCCGTCGCGGCTTTCTGACGAGCCGGGGGAGACGGATTCAATTCACCAGCGTGCGACTTAATTTAAGAACCGCACTTAACAAATGCGGCAAGAAAAAAAAGTGGTTTAGAAGTTTAAAAATCAACACCTTTCTCGCCGAACGGCAGAAATTGTGGGCTCAGTTGCGGACGTAAGTTGAGGATTACCTGTACTTCTCCTCCTCCAGGTGTGAGACCAGGAGGCCATGACGGCATGAGAGCAACAAGGAAAATGAGCATGTGTGTGTGCGTGGACGTGCGGGCCTGTCTCTCTCAGCTTGTAGCCTAGCCCCCTCCCCTACATTCTACAAATGCCTTCAGCAATCCTGTCCAGAGAGGAGAAGAAAAACCAACTTAACTGTTTCTGGACATTCTCAGTCCTCCGGGTCATAGTTGTTCCAAAAGTGCTTTTTTTTGAAGAGGCAACTGGACTTTTCTGGTTTTTTCTTTGAAGACGTTTCCCTGCTCCTCCAAGAAGCTTCCTCGGTTCTGACTGAATGGTGGAGGACGGAAGGATTTATCTTCCTTGCAGACGGCTGGCCATTTGCATCCTTTTAGAGAGTCGTTGAGGCCAATTGGCGGTAGGGTCCACCTGAGTGGTGCAAATGGGTGTGGAGCCTTCTGGGAACTGCTAAAAGGACTTGTGTTGTAGGTTGGAGAATAGATGGTCGTATCCCTTCCCCTCTGTTGAGAGAGGGCGGTTCAGCTTTGACGTACATGGCCTTTTTGACCCCTCTTTCAAACCTCTCTGTCCGAAATGTGGACTTTGCTGCCTTCAAAAGAGTGTTGAATGCGGACGGGCCGCTGAATCTGGTCCTGATGGGTTTGTTCTCCTATGTCGAGCCATGCGTTTATGAAGCGGTTGTTTTGTTTCCCCCCAAATCACCAGCGAGGAGGATCAACCCTTCCATTCCCCACCATCCAAATCCAGAGCTGAACAAGCTTCTTGGATAGAAGCGAAACGTCTTCAAAGAAAAAAAAAACCCAGAAAGTCTTGGGGGGGGGGGGAAGCACTTTTGGGACCACCAGCTTAACGGAGCGGAAGGAATCCATCTCTGGCCAATCTCCTTGGTGGTCTTCAGCTCCCTCCCTGCCCTCTTTTATCTGTGCCTGTCGTAGCTGCCCCCAGGAACTTCTGCAAACAGGAACTGGAGGGGATCAAACCTGCTCTAGGTGAGAGTTTCGGGACCACCTCCCGTCTCTGCTTTCAAAGTTATTCGTGCAGGTATGTGCCCTTTGTGCCTGAGACCAGGAGAAAAACCGACAAACGTGGGGGGGAAAAAAGGAGATGTTCAAAATAAAGCGGAAAACCTGATTTGCTGAGCGATAAAGATAAATGGGCATTTCTTCTTCTCCAGGTAGGGGGAAATATTGTCACCAGCATCACCTGGAGAAGATGCTGGGATCCAGATGCGCTTGGAGGGCCTCGCTCAGCAATGCTGGCGCCAACACCTCTGTAAACCTTACGCTGGTTTTCCAGCATTTGAGAGCTGGGGGGTCTGTGCATGAGACCAGAAGCAGCTTCCCTTTATTAGGAGTTGGATGCCTGTGGCAAAGGGGCTGCCCACTCCCCCATCTCTTGACCCACTGCTGCTCTTTTCAGGGCGGTTATCTGGAATGAGGACCAGGGAAGGAGAGGTGTGATGGGAGGGAAAAATAGAATAGGATAGGGATAGGGAAGAATAGAAATAGAAATAATAGGAATAGGAATAGGAATAGGAATAGGAATAGGATAGGATAGGATAGGATAGGATAGGATAGGATAGGATAGGATAGAATAGAATAGAATAGAATAGAATAACCTAGCTGGAAGGGATCTTGGAGGTCTTCTAGTCCAGCCCCGTGCTCAAGCAGGAGAAAGAAAGAAGAAAGAAAGAAAGAAAGAAAGAAAGAGAAAGGAGGGAGATTGAGAGAGAAAGAAAGAGCGAGAGAAAGGTAAGAAAAAAAGAAAGAAAGAAAGAAAGAGGGAGGGAGAGAGGAGAGAGAAAGAAAAGGAAGGGAGGGAGGGAGGGAGGAAGAGAAAGAAGAAAGAGAAAGGAAAGAAAGAAAGAGAGGGAGGAAGAGAGGGAAGAAAGAAAGAAAAGAAAAAAGAAAGGGAGGAATGGAGAGAGGAAAGAAAGAAAGAACGAGAAAGGAGATTGAGAGAGAGAGAAAGAGCGAGACAAAGGAAAGAAAAAAGGGAGGGAGGGAGGGAGGAAGAGAAGGAAGAAGGAAAGAAAGAAAAGAAAGAAAAAGAGGGAGGAAGAGAGGGAAGAAAAAGAGAGAGAGAGAGAGAGATTGAGAGAGAAAGAGCGAGAGAAAGGAAAGAAAATAAAGGGAGGGAGGAAGAGAAGGAAGAAGGAAAGAAAGAAAGAAGAAAGAGGAATGGAGAGAGGAAAGAAAAGAAAAGGAAGGAAGGAAGAGAGGGAGGGAGGGAGGAAGAGAGAGAAGAAAGAAAGAGAGAAAGGAAAGAAAAAAGAAAGACAGGGAGGAAGAGAGGGAAGAAAGAAAGAAAAGAAAAAAGAGAGGAACGGCGAAAGGAAAGAAAGAAAGAAACACAAGGAAGACAAAGACAAAACCAAACCATAACACAGAATCACATAGCACCTATTTCATCTTCACTCTATTCTCTTTTAAATTTTAATTTTATCGCTACCAGCCTGGTTTGCCCAGCCCCCTCCCTTTGTTCAATCCTCCTGTTCTTTTTTCTCAGTAGAAGAAGAAAAAAAAAAAAACCCTCCTGAAATTTCAACAAAAGGGTCACGCTTTCTCTCTCTCTCTGTGTTTGCGTGTGTGTGCAAAACTCACTCGCGTGGGTGGCCTCTTCCTCTTTAGGGTGGGGCGGACAGAAATTACAACCTCGGATTCCGAAAAGCCAAACCAAACCTGATGGATTTCTCAACCCCACGATAAACAAATCCTTCCGTCGAGCGCAGGTGTGTCTACCTGCGGCCCTTCGGGGGACGACGCTACCTCTCCGCTCCCATCATCCCCCGCTCAGCACCCTGGCTGGGGAGGAGGGAGTATAGAATCCATCTGGAGGGCGCAGCAGCTGGGAAAGGCTGCTGCAACATAGGCTCTGGGGCTCCAGGGCTTAATCCGAGCAGCTGGTAGGCTTAATTTCATGCTAAAAGGACATAAACTAATGTTTACTGCTTGAGTCACTCACGCATATAAACTGTTTACTGCCTGAGTCACCAGTGTTCCTTGAGAGGGACCATCCGCTCTTCACGGCACGCCCTCCGGGCCTGACCCTGCCAGAGGAAGCTCCGGGCAGACGGATTCTTGCAAAAAGGAGAAAGTTCTGCTTCCTGGCATTGTAGGAATCGTAAATCACGGATAAACACGCAACGGAGACGGTTGGGGAAAACTGGTCATTCAGCAAAAATCAAAGTTTCACGCGTCGTTCCGAAACTGCTCCTGCGTCACCGTTTCTCCTCTCTGGACTGGGTCCCGGAAAGCCCAAATGACGCCTGGTTTCACCGGAGGAAATCTGGTCCAGCTTTATGGGTTCCGCCAGAAAGGGTGTAGTAGGCAGTGTAGGACGGGCTGCCTGTGTTTGCTCTGTGGCTGCATGGGGGCCAGAACTGAGGGATGCGAGAAAGGAGAATATTTGTAGCTCGGGATTGAAATGAAAAGGTCCTCGGTGCTCTCCGAGCTCGCGCGGGTTTTCTTGTCGACATTTCAAGACCCAACATCAGTGCGAGAAGGGAATGGGGTGTGGAGAGGAGGTGGAGGAGGGATGAAGGAGGAAGGAGAAAGGGAGGAAGAGGAGGACGACTGTGGGGGGGTCCTTGGTGCTCTCTGAGCCTGGTGGTTTTCTTGTAGACATTTCATGACCCAACTAGGGAACATCATCAGTGCGAGAAAGGAATGGGGTGTGGAGAGGAGGAGGAGGAGATGACGATGACTGTGGGGCTCTTAATACTCTCTGAGCTTGTCAGTTTTCTTGTAGACGTTTCATGACCCAACTAAGTAACATCATCAGTGCTAGAAGGGAATGGGGATTGTGGAGAGGAGGGAGGAGGAGGAAAGAGAGGAGTGTGGGGTCCTTGGTCCTAAGCTTGGTTGTTTCCTTGCATGTTTCATTACCCTACTAGATAACACCATCAGTGCTAGAAGGGAGGACAACTGTGGGGTCCTTGGTGCTCTCCAAGCTTGTCGGTTTTCTTGTAGACGTTTCATGACCCAACTAGGGAACATCATCAGTGCGACAAGGGAGGAAATGGGAGGAAGCCTCATCAGCACTAACACTGATAACGTTACCTAGTTGGGTCAGGAAAGGTCTGCAAGATAACCACCGAGCTCAGACATACCACCAACAATTCCTGAAGGGTACACGGTGTTTTTTTTTTCACCGGAAGCCCCTGGTTTAGAAGGAGCTTTGCAACCAGAGGGTTGCAATGTGACACATTCTCTATTTAAAGAAGCAACTTAGAACTATGGAGAAATTTCCTAACAGCGAGAACGATTAACCAGTGGAACAGCTTGCCACCAGAAATCGTGGGAACTCCAACACTGGAGGCTTTTATGAAGAGACTTGGACGGTCATTTGTCTGAAATGGTATCTTGGATCTCCTGCCTGAGCAGGGAGTTGGACTAGAAGACCTCCAAGGTCCCTTCCCAACTCGTTATCGAGATAAGACTAGGTGTCAGCAACCTGGGGCTCCGGAGCCGCATGTGGCTCTTTGGGCCCTCTGCTGTGGCTCCGTCGGGCGATCCCACCACCGGTTGTCCCCGCCCCTCGCCCTCCCTTCCCAGTCACTCCTCACCTGGGCTGAGAAGGTAAGGGCGATGGCGGGGGATGGAGAAGCGGCTAGGGCAGATAGATAGAGAGGGGGGGGAAGGAGGGAGGGGGGGGAAGAGGGAGGGAGGGAGAGAGATCAAAAGGTTTTTGTGGTTCCCGGAACCGGTTCTGTGCCCTAATGACCGGCTGGGTAGGCGTGGCTAGGGGGGGGTCATGTGACTGGTGGAAGTGAGTGACATTGAGTTGGCCACGCCCAGCCAGGTTTTGTGGCTCCCGGTGTTTTCTTTTGTGTGTGAAACGGGTCCAAATGGCTCTTCTCAGACCCCCTGAGCTAGACAGTTTATCTGGGTTGAATTTATGCCAATCTCTGCCCTGCCCGATAGTTCAATCACCCCCACCCTCCACTGCCTTGGAACCGGCTGAAGCCTGGGGGAGGGGGGGGCATTTAGTGCCCTAGAGTTGTTTTTTTCCCCCTTGTTATGATAATCCAAAGATAAACCAGTAGCAGCTTCCAAACTTCCTTCTAAATGGGCTAGGAATGTGGTGTTGCATCATCGCCAGCTCCCTCCGGCCTCAAAAACTCCCCCTCTCAACTGACACAAAAGAAAAAGCTTTTGGGTGCCACTTCTCTCCCCCCCCCCACCCTTTTTTTCCCCATGGCCCCAAAGCTTTGATGAAACACACACACACACACAGGGTGAAATGCTCTGAAATCTGCTACCAGTTCGCTTCGAGCGTTTATGTGCGGTGCGCGCCAAATGTGCAATTTTTTTCCAGCAGCGCTGAAAAAGGAGAATTAAGAAGCGTTTCCTGGTAGGTAGAACAGCGAGAGGGAGGGGTGGGGGGAAAGAGCTGTGCTGCGCAATTTAGATTCGCTGGAAAGCTTTCGAGAGAAATCTAAATCACGCGGCACAGCTGATCGTCGGAAATACCGGTTCGCCCGAACCTGTAGTATTTTTTTTTTTAAACGACCGGTACGGGGGAACCAGTCTGAACCGGTAGCATTTCGCCCCCGATACATACGCACACAGACCTTGCCCAGGACGGCCGTTTTCCCCACCTCGGTTTGATCAAGCAATTATACGCTCCATTAGAGAAGCTTCGGATTTTAATCTTTTATTGCGTTAAGAAAACATGGTAAGTTTTGCTAGGCATGGAGACGTCTTCGACAGTCAATCTGCACGATTGGTGGTGGGGGAGGAGAGGGCGACACAGACACTCCGAGACGGCCACGACCAGAGGGAGAGGAAGAGGGAGGGAGGGAGGGAGGGAAAGAGAGAGAGAGAGACAGAGAGAGAGAGAATTTTTCACGGGACGGAAAAAAGGTAACCAGGCTAGGAGCGGCCCCCCCACCCCAAGCAACTCGAGACATCCACGTCCTGCCGATCGCGGGTCAGGTTTGAAGCGAAGGACGAGAGGCTCCCTCTCTCCAAGCAAACGGTAGGGCTGACCCACACGCGCCCCACCTCCCCGCTCTGGGGGTGGCTGCAGTGACAGGACTCCAAACTAAAAAGGCCTATTTCTGAATCTACGCAGTTGCCCAGGAGGAGGAGGAGGATGGCAGGGCTCGGGGACCACCGCCGAAGTTGCAGACCTGCCCGATGGGTCTGGGGGGCTCGAGGGTGAATGACTACTACCCTTTTCAAGCCAGCCAGGGGCCCTCGAGGGAGGGGGGCAAACGGGAGCGGGGACCCCGTGGCTCTGGTTCTCAGTCGATCTCCAAGTCGCTCTCCTCGTCGTAGCACGAGGCAGCGTTGCAAATGGAGGTGGTGTAGAGCACCACGTCCTTCTCCGGCAGCAGGCTGAACTCCTGTAGGAAAGCCTCCAAGTCCGCGGCGAAGAAGTCTTGGCCCAGCTGGTCGGTGAGGCGGATGAAGTTGCCGATCAGCTCCCCGCCCTTGTAAACCAGCAGGGCCGGCAGGGCGTTGCTGGTGAAGCGGGAGCTGGTGCCGATCAGGGAGCTGCGCACCCGGCAGAATTTCACCGTGGGGTACTCGGCGGCCAGGCAGAGCATGCAGCCGTCCAGGGCTTCGGCCCCGGGGATGTGGTCCTCGTAGATGTGGATCATGACCAGGGTTTTCTTGTTGCCTTGGTCCACCGTCTCCAAGAAGGCCTCGGCGCTTTGGATCTCAAAGACCTGCTTAAACTGTTGGCCCGGGTGCAGCTGGCGGCGCATTTCCTCCATGCGCTGCTTGCGGTATTGCTGCAGGAACGCCTCGTCGTCCGCTTCCTGGTGCAGTGCCAGCTTGGGGAGGGGGGGGGGGGGGGGGGGGGGGGGAAGAAAGAGGCCACAACTTTTAATGGGGTGGGAGGAGGCTGCGGCAGGGGGAAGGAGATCCTGCCTGTGTCAGGCCCGGAAGCCATTTTTTGCGTTGGGCCTTCAGGCCTGCCCCGTTGACTGCTGTGGGAAACTGGGAGGGGGGGAATTGTATGGAGCCAGGGTTTGATATATAGTCACAACAACATTCTTTTCTCAGAGAGTCAAGGACATCTTGCCCTGCAGCTGCATGAGGTGTGACTGGGAGGCAAGGAACCCTGCGAATAATCAGGAAGCACAACGATAACAGAAGAGGGACCTTGGAGGTCTTCCAGTCCAACCTCCAGCTCAAACAGGAAAGCCTACACCAGGGTGTCAAACTCGAGGCCCGTGGGCCGGATCTAGCCTGCGGGGTGCTTAGATCTGGCCTGCGGGGCCGCCCTGGAAACAGCGGACCGGCCCATTGTGCCTCTGCCAGTGAAAATGGCGCTCGGGAGGGCCGCGAGCAGCTGTTTTCACTGGCAGAGAGCTGCAGGAGGCCGACACGGCCAAAAACGGAGCCCAGGAGCCCATTTTTTGCTGGCGTTTTCGCACCACAGGCGCCCCTGACACGAGTGATGTCATGGTGGCCACGCAAACCCCAGCCCCCCCCCCAAGGTCAAACACAACCCTCAATGAAAGAGTTGCGGCCCTCAATGAAATCGAGTTAGATACCCCTGCCCTATACCATTCCAGAGAAACCAATTTCTTTTCGAAAACCTCACAACTTCTGGGGTGGGGAAGCCTTTTCACCGATTAATTGTTCTCACTGACAGGAAATTTCTCTTTTATTTGCTAGGTCGCTTCTCTCCTCAATTCTGTTGCTTCTTATGTTGCCTTCAAGCGCTCGGAAAAATAGGCTGACCCCCCCCCCCCTTTTCTCTCTTCTTGGTTGTTTCAGAGCAAGCTAAAATAATCAAAGGCCTGGAGATTAAAAACACGTGAAGAATTGTTGCAGGATTCGGGTCTGCCTAGTCTAGAGAAAAGAAGGGGAAGACATGAGAACAATCTTCCAATATTGGAGGGGCTCCTACAAAGATGAGGGGCTCAAATTATTCTCCAAAGCACCCAGAGGGCAGGACAAGAAACAATGGTTGGAAACTAATCAAGGAGAGAAGCAATCTGGAATGAAGGAGAAACTTCCTAACAGTGAGGACAATTAATCAGTGGAACGGCTTGCCACCAGAAGTCATGGGTGCTCCATCACTGGAGGCTTTTAAAGAAGAGATTGGACAGCCATTTGTCTGAAACGGTATAGGGTCTCCTGCTTGAGTAGGGGGTTGGACTAGAAGACCTCAAAGGTCCCTTCCAGCCCTGTTCTGATTTTGATTCTCTGTGGCAGTCACTCACGTACTGGAATGCAGCTATCATTTCACCCCTAATTCGTCTCTTCTTCTGTTAGACATATCCAGTTCCCGTATGTCTGTCTGTCTGTCTATCAATCTCTATTTCTAAACCCTATCTACCTACCTATCCATCCATCCATCCATCCATCCATCCATCCATCCATCCATCCATCCACCTATCTCTTTCTAAACTCTATCCATCCATCCATCCATCCATCCATCCATCCATCCACCTGCCTATCTTTATTTCTAAACTCTATCTATCTATCTATCTATCTATCTATCTATCTATCTATCTATCTATCATCTATCTCTATTACTAAACTCTCTATTTCTAAACTCTCTATCTATCATCTATCTATCTATCTATCTATCTATCTATCTATCTATCCATCCATCCATCCATCCATCCATCCATCCATCCATCTACCTATCTCTATTTCTAAACTCTATCCATCCATCCATATCTCTATTTCTCTATTACCTATCTCTATTTCTAAACTCTATCATCTATCTATCTATCTATCTATCTATCTATCTATCTATCTATCTATCTATCTATCTATCTACCTACCTACCTACCTACCTACCTACCTACCTACCTACCTACCTACCTACCTACCTACCTAATCTCTCTCTCTCTCTCTCTCTCTCTCCCTCCTTTGGTTGCCTCTATGAAAGTTTTGCCTTCCTTCCTGAAACTCAAAGACTGGAACTTTTGTGAGAAGCATCGGTGAATCCTAGCTCCACCCTTTCTATTCTCACCTAGCCAACCTTCTCAGGTGGGTCCTTTGGAGGGAGACCAAGATCTGGCCGAGAATCAAGTCAGCCACCTGATTTCAGCCTCTGGAGAATTTTGAGAGATACAAGCGTCTGGATTGTTAAAATGCGCAATGACAGGTGCGAGACGCAGGGCGAGCGGAAGCCTGGGTTGGCGGACGGGATTTGAATCTTGTAAGCCAGCCAGAGTTACCGTGTGGCAAGGTGGGGAAAGCTCAATAAATTGTACAAATAAAATACATTTCTCCACAGCCTCTTGCACCACTTGCCGACGTCGGAAAAAACCAATCCGAGATCCGCCGGGAGGATTAATACCTTGTCGTTCAGCTTCTCCTGCAGCTCCTTCTGCTTCTGCTTGTCCTTCTCTTCATCCAGGTGTGATTGGCAGGTCATGGAGAGTTTCTGGATGAGCCTCTGCATCTCCCGGCACTGCTCCTCCCTCTGCTCCGTTTCCAGCTGTTTGAACCTTCTCCAGTCGTTGATCACGCCTTTAGGGCCTGAGGAAAAAAACGCGTCCCACCACTCAATCAATCTCGATTTTTTTTTTTTTTTTAAAAAGGACCACCCGATGCCCCCAATTACAGTGAGGAGTTATTGTGGTTGCTGTTTTGGGACTACGTTTTTAATTTTATTTTATAACATACAAAAATTCCAAGTTCAACTGAAGAGGGTGTTGTCCGGGTATAAATCATTTCAGGAAATAATAAAGTGTTTACACAACGATATTCCTTGCATTAATATCAATTATATTAATAATTAGTTGGATACCCGTGCTCCGCTACGGAATTATGTGATCGGGCTTGATAAATCGATTTTCGGGCTGTTTTCAGGCCATTTTCAGGGCCCTTTTTGGGGCTGTTTTCAGGCAATTTTTAGGGCCGTTTTTGGGGCCCTTTTTGGGGCTGTTTTCAGGCAATTTTTAGGGCCGTTTTTGGGGCCATTTTGGGGGCAGTTTTCAGGCAATTTTTAGGGCCGTTTTTGGGGCTGTTTTCAGGCAATTTTTAGGGCCGTTTTTGGGGACATTTTGGGGGCTGTTTTCAGGCAATTTTTAGGGCAGTTTTTGGGGCCATTTTGGGGGCTGTTTTCAGGCAATTTTTAGGGCCGTTTTTGGGGCCATTTTGTGGGCTGCATTCAGGCCATTTTTAGGGCAGTTTTTGGGGCCGTTTTCAGGCAATTTTTAGGGCCGTTTTTGGGGCCATTTTTGGGGCCGTTTTCAGGCCGTTTTCGGGGCCCTTTTTGGGGCTGTTTTCAGGCAATTTTTAGGGCCGTTTTTGGGGCCATTTTTGGGGCCGTTTTCAGGCAATTTTTAGGGCCGTTTTTGGGGCTCTTTTTGGGGCTGTTTTCAGGCAATTTTTAGGGCCATTTTTGGGGCTGTTTTCAGGCCATTTTCGGGGCCCTTTTTGGGGCTGTTTTCAGGCAATTTTTAGGGCCGTTTTTGGGGCCGTTTTTTGGGCTGTTTTCAGGCAATTTTTAGGGCCGTTTTTTGGGCCATTTTTGGGGCCGTTTTCAGGCCATTTTCAGGGCCCTTTTTGGGGCTGTTTTCAGGCAATTTTTAGGGCCCTTTTGGGGGCCGTTTTTGGGGCTGTTTTCAGGCAATTTTTAGGGCCGTTTTTGGGGCCGTTTTTGGGGCCGTTTTCATGCCATTTCCCGGGCCGTTTTCCAGACCATTTCCAGGCAATTTTTGGGACCATTTTTTGGGGCCATTTTGGGGGCTGTTTTCAGGCCATTTTGGGGGCCGTTTTCAGCCCAAAAAACGGCCCAAATGTAAGCACGCCGGCCAGCTGGTTTTTGGGTTTCCGGTGCACCAGTGCACGCACATGCACGCATGTTCCAGTTGGGCACCCGGTGCCGAAAAGGTTCGCCATCAGTGCTCCAAAGGAAGGTGGTACCTGTGTTTATGGCACTGCCGTCAGCGCTGAGTGCCACCTCTTCCGTCACGGCGGCATCGTGGGCAGCGGCAGATCCCTCGTTGTCGTCCTTCTCACTATCCTCCTCATCGCTGCTGCTGTAGTAGTACTGGAGTTTCTCCCCCAGCAGCTTATCGTCCAGGGTGGTCATCGTGTGGGGGGCTGCGAAAGGAAACAAGAGAAAGTCACAGGGAAGCCGAAGGGCTGCGGGAGAACGGAGCCTCTGTCCTTGCTGCCACCGTACCGCGTTTCCGTCCGTCGCCGAGAGAGAGAAAATAAAGTCAACGACAAACAGGTAAAAAACAACTGCAGTGTGCAAAACAGTTTGGGAACCTCTGGGACCAGCACGACTTCTACCTACCTACAACACAAAATTATATGTTCGATGCCGACAGGGGATTCTTCTCACATCAGTCCCGATCCAGCCAGTGGATTAATACTAGCACTACGCCCTCTCCTGCTTAACAGATTTGATATTTTTAATTCCACACACCCCCATCTAAAAATGGTCAAATATAGAGATATGAACGAGACAGCAACACTAACAAAAAGGGGCATTAGCATCCCCCCCCCTCCTTAATCCCCCTCTTTATCCTCTCAGCAGGTTCTGGATTTGCCAGCAGGAATTTTAAAAGCCATCTGGCAGCTCAGTTGTTAAAAAAGATTTTTTTTAAAAAAAGATATTTCTCTGGGGCTACGAATTGTGGGCCAAGAAGAAAAGCAGTTTCCCCCCCCCTGGTGATGCTGAGGGATTTTTTTTTTGGGGGGGGGGTTTGGTGGGCAAAGCAGGGCACTCTTGCATCTCAACTCTGGCTTAGGGGGCTTTTAGGAGGATTTCCGGAGCAGCTTGGAGAAGAGAGAAGCCCATCCGAGGAATTCTGCTGGATGCTGGGATTAAGAGGCTGAGCTGGCCTGAAGCTAAAACTGCTCTTTTTTAAAGAAAGAAAGAAAGAAAGAAGAAAGAAAGAAAGAAAAGAAGAAAGAAAGAAAGAAAGAAAAAAGAAAGAAAGAAAGAAAGGAAGGAAGGAAGAAAGAAAAAAAGAAAGAAAAGAAAGAAAGAAAGAAAGAAAGAAAGAAAGAAAGAGGAAGGAAGGAAGGAAGAAAGAAAGAAAGAAAGAAAGAAAGAAAGAAAGAAAGAAAGAAAGAAAGAAAGAAAGAAAGAAAGAAAGAGGAAGGAAGGAAGGGAAGGAAGGAAGGAAGGAAGGAAGGAAGGACAGGACAGTCACCTGTTTGAAATTGTTTGCTTGGGGTTGGACTAGAAGACCTCCAAGGTCCCTTCTAGCTCTATCTGATTGATTGATTGATTGATTGATTGGTCAATCAATCTCCTTTGGGAAGGTTAACTTGTTTCTTTCCCTTAATCTGCTTAACCCCCTTTCCTATGTGCAAGACAGCTCTCCCCTTTCCTGTGGGGCAAGCCAGTGTCCTGCTTCCAACACCCTCCCTGCAGGGCAGACCAGCTTCCCAGCTCTGTGGGCAGGTACCCCCCTTGCCCCTCTTCCTGTGGGGCAGGCCAGCTCCTTTGGAACCCCCTCCTTTTCAAACCCTCCCTTCAGGGCAGACCAGGCCCCCATTCCCAGTCCTATGGGGTAGGTGTCCCTTCTTTCCTAGCCCCCTCCCTTCTAGCCCCCTCCCTGAGGAATTCCAGCCCCCCTCCCTTTCCCATCTCTTTTCTTTGGGGCAGCCCAGCCCCCCCCTCTTTCCAACACCCTCCCTCAGGGCAGACCAGGCCCCCTTCCCAGCCCTATGGGGTAGGCACCGCTTCTTTCCCTGTCCTCTCCCTTCCAGCTCCCTCCCGGAGGATGAGCCCACCCTCCCTTTTCCATTTCTTTCCTTTGGGGCAGCACAGCCCCCCACCTTCCCAGTCCTATGGGGTAGGCACCCCCCTTTCCCAGCCCGCTCCCTAAGGAAATCCAGCCCCCCTCCTTTTCCCATCTCTTTCCTTTGGGCAGCCCAGCCCCCCCTTCCCCCCTTTTTTCCAACACCCTCCCTGCAGGACAGACCAGCCCCCCTTCCCAGCCCTATGGGGTAGGCACCGCTTCTTTCCCTGTCCTCTCCTTTCCAGCTCCCTCCCGGAGGATGAGCCCACCCTCCTTCCTTTTCCATTTCTTTCCTTTGGGCAGCACAGCCCGCCCCTTCTCAGCCCCCTTTGTTCCAACACCCTCCCTGTGGGGCAGACCAGTCCCCCCCATCCCAGCCCTACGGGGTAGGTGTCCCCTCTTTCCTAGCCCCCTCCCTTCTAGCCCCCTCCCTGAGGAATTCCAGCCCCCTCCCTTTCCCATCTCTTCCCTTTGGGTCAGCCCCCTCTTTCCAACACCCTCCCTGTGGGGTAGACAGCCCCCCTTCCCAGCCCTATATGGTAGGCACCCCCTCTTCCCAGCCCCCTCCTTTTCCATCTCTTTCTTTAGGGCAGACCACCAGCCCCCCTTCCCAGCCTATGGGGTAGGCTCCCCCTCTTTCCCAGCCCCTCCCTGAGGAATAGCCCCCCTCCCTTTTCCCCATCTCTTCCCTTTGGGCAGGCCAGCCCCCTCCCCTTTTTCCAAAACCCTCCCTGTGGGGTAGACCAGCCCCCCCCTTCCCAGCCCTATGGGGTAGGCGCCCCCTCTTTCCCAGCCCCCTCCCTGAGGATCAGCCCCCCTCCCTTTTCCCCATCTCTTCTCTTTGGGGCAGCTCAGCCCCCCCTCCCTACTTTTTAACAACACCCTCCCTGCAGGGTAGACCAGCCCCCCCTTCCCTAAGGGGTAGGCGCCCCCTCCCTTTCAACACGCCCCTCCCACCCCCGTGGGGCAGCCCAGCCCCCCCCTCCCCAATTCCTCACCCTCCGAGGGGCGGCTTCTTTCTTCCTCTCTCTCTCTCTCTTCCCCCCTCCTTCCAGGAAGACGCGCAAAGGAGGCTGGGAAAAAAGGGGCGGGGCAGAAAGGAAGGCGGGGCCGGCCCAGGCCATAGAGGTAAAAAAAAAAAGAGATCTCGCTCGCACTGCACCACTTCCGGTTCCTTTTTGAAACCCCCCAAAAGGAAAACCAACCACTTAACGTGGGCTGATCCACGCGTGGCTTTTTAATAGACGCCTCCGTCTTTCTCCCCTCCCCGCCATCATTTTTCTGCCATTCAAACCGTATCTATGCAGCCAAAGGGGGTTTCTGGGCCGGTTTCAGTCGCTCCTTAAGGGCGAAGAAAGGCCGCAAACGTCCCGTTCTTTCCGTTTCTTCTTCGTTCCCCATGGGGGGAAAGTCTCGGGCCGTCTGTTGTACGATGAACCCCTCCATTTGGCTGGCTGGCGCACCCTTTTCCACTCTTTGGCCCCGCAAGGGTCGCTTGAGAACCGGAAGTGCGCGCGCGTCGCTCGGTGGGGAGGAGGAAAGGCAAGAAAACGCCCGCTCGGCCCCCTGCCGGCGGGAAAGGGGACTCCCATCAATAAATAAGCTGGTTGCTATGGTGATTCAGGCCTAGTCGCTCAGCCTTAAGCCTGCGCAAAACAATAACAAACTCCCCAGCACCAGGCTGGATTTGTTTTATTTCATGCCCAGTCGTTGTTATATACGGGAAACGATTGACGTTGGGCCCAAAGCCACGTTAATAATATTTGCAACTATGAGACTATGGGGGTTGGACTAGATGACCTCCAAAGTCCCTTCCAACTCTCTTACTGCTGTTATTAAAACAACCAACTTCTCTTACAATCCAGAAAGAAGACGCAGCCTTCCAGTGTTGCTAAACTACAACTCCCAGCAGCCACCCGCTGCAAAGCAAAGCATTCCAGAGGTGGTGGCATAACCACATCTGGAGGGTGCAGTTGGGTCTCGTTTTGCTAAGGAGAGGATGAGGATGGTCATCCAGGGACCATCAGAAGCATGGAAAGCACCTTCAAAAGCATCCCAAAAAGATGACAAGAATTGGGGAAGGGGCAAGGATTGGCCTCTGGGATCCAGCTGTTGCACGGGGAAAATGCCGAGAATGGAAGAGGATCTTTTGGGAGCATATCGGTGGCCGTGCCTTGTCATTCCTTGAGTGATGGCAAGTTTAAACATGTTGGCCAAGGGTGGATCCAATTCTTTCTTGGGCATGCAAGAAATGTGGACCAACTCAAAAAATTCAGGGGGATTTTACAAAATACTGGATTCAGCTCCACCAATTGTCTCTTATTCTACACTCAGCAGGTCAACGAACTCAAAGCTTTGCAACCATACTTATTAATTGCCCGTCTCAACATGGTTCCTTAAACCATTCCTTCCATCAAAACCACCATAGATTAGCATCCCATCCCAATGTGGGGCTTTAAAATTCTTGATCTTTGGGAATCGGAAAAATCAGGCTTTGATAAATTTTCATCCGACGTTTTTAGTGCAAGGTTGTTGAGCAAGACAGTGACTAACACAAAACCATCTTTGAATTTTGGTCAGCCACTTAACTGCCTATCAGTGTGCCTCCTTTCAATACCCAAGAAAGAAAAATCCCGACTCCATTTTTATAGAGAAAGGTACTTTTACTGAGTATGAACTGAATGCAACCGAAGAAAAACACGGTCTGAAGCAAAAGGTGCGAAAATTACATATAGAAAGCATCCCCAAAATCCTTCCCCCAACCGTCCAGCGAAAATTATCCAATCCACACTCCCCCAGGGGTCATGTGGGGTGCAACGTCCGATGGTGCCATCCTCCTGCTATGCCACGACGGTCGACCTTGAGTTGTTATCAGCTTCAAAGAAAACGCTGAAGAAAACTTTCTCTTCTCTTCTCCATCAGCTCACTTCCCTGCTCCCAGGTATTCCAATAGTTCCCCCTCCCCCCGTTACAATGGCAGCCGAGCAAGCAAGCAATGAAAGCGGAGGCTGACATTCGGCCCTCCTGCAGAAGAGACATCATTCCTACAAGAAAGTCAGAATAAAAGAAAAAAGATAATTACAGAACCAGAACCATAACATCAAGATCAAATTTTCTCCCTCTTTTATAAAATATTTTTAATTTTTAATATTTTTTAGTATTTTATATATTCAAATTTTAAAATGGTTTTAAATTGACTGGGGTTTTAATTTGCCTGGGCCAAACGATTTAATTTGATTTTAATTCCACTTTTTAAATTTTGTATGTATGTATTTTATTGTTTGGCTGTGCACTGCCCTGAGTCCTTCGGGAGTAAGGCGGTATAGAAATCAAATCAAATAAAAATAAAAAATAAATAAAAGGTTTATCAGAATATTTGGAATGAAACAATTTCAGTTGTTTTGGCGCCCGAACCTCACACTCATTTACCCATTCAGCTTGAGCTAACGGGAAATGTTTCCAGGCCACTAAATACTGCACCTTACCCCAATGTTTTCTAGAATCCAATATTTCTTTGACTTCAAAATGCTGTTCTCCTTCAATTAGTATGGGGACAGGGGGAGATTCTTGGCCAGACGCAAAGGGGACGAATGCTCAGGTTTCAGCAGACTGACATGAAATACCGGATGAATCCTTCGCAAGTTTTTGGGTAACTCCAATTGCACCGTCACTGGGTTAACTATACGGACTATAGGAAAAGGACCCATGTACTTGGGCCCAAATTTTTTCGACTTTTGGGTAATTTGCAAGTACTTGGTAGAAAGGAAAACCTTATCTCTTACCTTATAATCCCAACTATGAAGTCTTTTCTTATCAGCCAAAGAGGGTATCTGTGGGTTTTCCTGAGGCAACTCCGGAATGGGTACAAAATCTTGGCCGGAGGCTACTTTAAAGGGAGTAAACCCAGTACTGCTATGTATAGAGTTATTATAGGCAACCTCTGCAAATGGCAGCAAATCTGCCCAGTTATCTTGGTGATAGTTTATGTAACATCTAAGGTATTGTTCTACCACGGAATTAGTGAGAGAAGCCCCATGGGTCTGAGGGTGGTGGGCGGTTTCGCGGGCTCTTGCGGGTGCTTTATCGGCTCTCTTTCCTCCAGTGGGGTCGCCTTGGGTCCAGGCTTGGAGAAGCACTCAGCGGCTCGGTGGCCCTCCTTCCCACATTTGAAACACGCGGAGGATTTTGGTTTTGATCCTGCCGTCCCCTTTGCGGCCTTTGGCGCCCTCTTGTGGAATGTGGGGGGTGGTTGTTATTCCAGGTGCGCCCACCGCGGGAACGATCTTGGGCCAGGTCGATCTCCACATCCGCGGCCAACACGTACCATCTCTGCAGATCCTAGGGTTCCCTCGGGAGCAGCACTCCTTGTAGACATCATCATTTAGACCATCTTTATAGCTCTCCAGCAGGGACATTTCTGACCACCCTCTCATGTAGGGTGCCAACTCGCGGAACTCCTGGGTGTACTCCGCCACCGATCTCCGCCCCTGGTGAATGCCCCTCATTCTAATTCTCGCCCTTCGCTCGGCTAATGGGTCCTCAAAACGTTTTCTGAGAGCTGCCATGAATTGATCATAATTCCTCAGCAAGGGGGAATTTTCATTGTGGAGTCCCACCATCCACTCAGCTGCTACCCCTTCCAGGGCCCTGGTAACGCACCTCACACGCGTGGCATCTGAGAGGAAATCCTCCCCCCACTCTTGCATGTGGCTCCACACTCGGATTAGAAAAAGTCCCAGCTTCTTCGGGTCTCCCCCGTATCTTTCTGATAGCAAGGGAATTTTGGGCTTGCGTCGCCTCTGTGGCGGTGCCTGTCCCGCCGGGGGCCCCTGGGCTGCAGCAGCCGCTTGAGCCCCGGAGGTCTGCGCTGTCTCTTCCCCGGCTTGGGCTCTCTCTTCCACACAGGCAGCAGCCTCCGTTCCACCCCTGGGGTGTTTATCCTCCCTCCCGGCAGGGCATGCATACTTTTTCCGGGCTTTACGGCTCTCCTCAACCTCTCTCAATAGTTGCAGGGCTTGTGAAAGCAGAAGATGTTCTTTTTGCTCTTGCAGCCAGGCAGCCTCTCCCCTCGGGGTCTGGTAGTTGTTACTCCTCGGGGGGTCTTCTCCAGCTCCGGTAACCTCCCCACGCCCAGCGACCATTTGGCTCTCTCCGGCTTTTCCTCCAGCTGTAAATTAGCCATCCAGTCCGATGCCTCCCAGGCAGGGTATGACGATGGAGTTGCTGATCCTGCCGCTCTCATCTGTTCCTGGTCGCTGCCTTGGGCAGATATTATTTGCTCAGCCCCCACGGTAGGTTTTCCGGGATGGCTGTTAAAAGCAGACCTTGCTTAATGTCAGGTGTGCCTCCTTTCAATACTCAAGAAAGAAAAATCCCGACTCCTTTTTTCATAGAGAAAGGTACTTTTACTGAGTATGAACTGAATGCAGCAAAGCAAGGTCTGAAGCAAAAGGCGCGAAAATTACATCTAGAAAGCATTCCCAAAATCCTTCCCCCCAACCGTCCAGTGAAAATTATCCAATCCACATTTCCCCCAGGGGTCATGTGGGGTGCAACGTCCGATGGTGCCATCCTCCTGCTATGGCACGACGGTCGAGCTTAAGTTGTTATCAGCTTCAAAGAAAACGCTGAAGAAAACTTTCTCTTCTCTTCTCCATCAGCTCACTTCCCCCCTCCCAGGCATTCCAATAGCCCCCCCCCCTTCCCGGTTACAATGGCAGCTGAGCAAGCAAGCAATGAAAGCAGAGGCTGACACTGCCTTTACCCGCATTCCTAAACCTCTGGAGGATTACATAAAAACACATCTGCTTAATATTTTCCCTGGCCCCATATATAAAAATACATACTTTCCTGCCCCAACACCACAATAAGATGAAAACAAAACAAGTTTAAGCAGATATTTCTTTTTTCTTTTATTTAACGGCATGCAAATACATTTCAAGTATTGCAAATTGATTCTATTAAGTCTCTCTTGAAACACTGGGAAAAAAAAACAAACGAACAGACCACAATTAGCTAAAGTCTGTGACCAGCCTTAAAGCTAACAATCTCTACTTCAGTGCTACAGCAAACACACACGTATGTACTATTCAGGCTAAATCACAAAGCCAGTTCCCATTTTTTTCCAACTTCCCCTCCCAAAAATACAGACCGTACGGTCTAAACATCCCTGGTGTAAATCCTATTCCACTAAACACAAAAGAGGAAAAAAAAATAACGATAATACAATCTGGAGATTTAAAACAGAACAAAATGGAATAGAATTCATTATTACCCCACCCTGAAATATATGCCCCATTTTGTTTTACAGATATTTTTTTTAAATTATATTTTTAAATAGAAGCTGAGAATGCACCATTAAAAATGAGCATTAAATCCATCGTAGCGATGGAATCGGCTTTATTATATATGATGGGTGTACACCATCTTTTATCTCATTTACATTTTAATCGAACAATAGATTTGCAAAGAAAATGTCTAATACAGACGTAAGAATATTCACACTTGAGCTTTACAAGCGGTTGTACAATTGACAAAAAAAACCTGGCCTCTTTTCCCAAATGTTCCAGATTAAGCAGGTTTATAAAATCTTAAATCAACTCAAGAAAACGAAGTCTTTTTTTTCCTCCCCCCCACCTCCCCTCTTTCTTTTTAACTTTCAGGGAAAAGAAATATATGCAGTATATAGTGTAAAAGTGGAAGGTAAATACTGCATGCTAAATTACAACACTCTGCAGTGGCTGTGCAATAGAAAGAGAAAAGAACCACAGGTGTTGTATCACAACTACAGTATAATGGATTTATCCACCCAAAAAAGAAGAGAAATGCATGCATTTCCTATGCCTTGGACTAATTGACCGATAATTCCTTAGGGGAGGATTAACTAATCTTTGCAAATGAACTTTGTTCCGGTGTCTGGCGCTTGCAAGATACAGTCAGGAGTTCTTAAATGTCGGATTTTTGTCAAGTACAATAAAAAGTTCATTGAACTTTTTATTTAAACTATTCAAAAGCATAGTTGCGTGAATGTGTGTAGAAAATTTTTTTCCTTTGTCACGTAATCCTTTCGACATTTCCTTACTGTAGGAGGCGAACAGGATATCCTGATCTACAACCCCCCTCCCCCCGATAGCAATCTTATCAAAGCAAGTGGACATCTTGGCTGTGAATGATGGATTTTGCAGTCCTACACCTCTGGAAGGCCCGAACCATGGTGCTGGGACCCTCCCCGTGTGAAAGAAATAACTGAACTCTGAAAAGAGCTGGCGTTATCTGTCATCGCATTCGTAAACTGAATGACTCTAGTCCTTAAGAGATAATGGGTCTTCCTAAATAAATTGAATCCCTGGATAGTGCATCATTTCCTTTCTGCAAAGCTGCTCTTCGCAGAGTTTAAATCTGAACGCACAAGATTATAAATACTGGAAAAACATATCTGCTGACAAAAAAAAAAGTCTCAAAAATAAAATGGTCAGCGCCTTTCTTTTCCGATTGCACTGTACAGAACCTAGCCAGGCCAAGCTCTGCAAAAATCCTATGATGATTTATTTAAGACAACATTCACAACAACTGGATTTCTGTTTTTTTTTGTTTGAAAGCTTATCCTCCATTCCTCTATTCTGGCTATTGTGCGTTTCCCTCTATGGAAGGAATGTTCTGCCTCTCTTTACGTATCCAGACGGACTTCTGAACTGCCTTTCTGGGCAAAATAACGTATTCAAGCAAGGATGAAATAATCTGGATCTGATTGCAGTGTGTGCGTTGAAGCACAGCTCAACCACTCACTGCGGATGGGAAACCTGAAGGTAACTTAAGTCTACCGAAGTAATAGCACCAAACAGTTTTGGCAACGCCAAACTTCCCCTTCGAAGCTCTGATCAGCGACGCTGATTCTCCCCTTTAAACCTGGGCCGATACAGACAGCGGCCATCCCTCGATCCCTGCGCAAACTTTGCTAACTGAAGGGCTGAATCAGAAGAAAGGCAAATAAACTGATTTTAACTCTTTTCTGTGTGTGCATGCATACCTGAGAGCCAAAATTTCTCCTTTTATTTCGCAGTAACAGGGCTACTTCTCTGCTAAGGAAGGAGGTTGGGTCTTCCATTCTACCTGGCTACCTATCCTTCCTTCCTAATTCTGTAAACTCAAGAGCCTTAAAACAGACCCTGCTTCTCATCTGGCTGCCTCAGGAACCATCGCTCTTGCCTCTGCAAAAAGAAAGAGAGAATAAAACAACTGGAGATGCTTATTAAGTCACAATCAGCGCCCAACTGAAAACAAAACAAAACAAAACAAAAACAACCCACAGTAGCACAGCAAGATGCCAAGGCTGGGTTGAAAAAGCTGGTGGGGAAGACTGAGGCCCTTGGTCAAACTTCAGCTGTTTTCTTTGATCTGCAATTCTCCCTCCATCGCTTTCCTCTATTTAAATCAAGTTCCTATCAGGCGGGCGAGTCCCTTGCTTGCTCCAAACTAAAACAGATTCCTTAAAAAAACAACAACACCTGTATATATTTGCCGAACAAAGCTCCGCATTGGCAACAGGAAGGGCATCCGGCCATTAAAACACTCTAGCTCAGCGATGGCTAACCTTTTTGCCGTGGCGTGCCAAAAGCAGGGAGAACACGGGGGGGGGGGGGTTGCCCATACCCATAATTCAATGTACCCTCCGTGCATGCGTGCATGACCCCGCCTGCTTTTGGCATGTGATGGCATGGTGGGCTCAGTAGGCCCGCTTTTTGCCCTCCCCAGGCTCCAGAGCCTTTCTTGGAGCCTGGGGAGGGCAAAAAACGGGCCTTCCCCACTGCACTGCCCGGAAACAGCCCGTTTGCTGACTTCCAGTGGGCCCAGAAGGCCCGAAAATCAGATGCACACGCCGGAACTGAGCTAGGGCAACACTTGCGTGCCCACCGATATGGCTCCGCGTGCCACCTGTGGCACGTGTGCCATAGATTCGCCATTACGGCTCTAGCTCCATTCAGTTGCCCAGACTCCACCCCACAAGGGATTATGGGGTTGTTAAATGATGACGACGATGGACCCTAGATATCTTAGGAACAAACCCAGCTGAAGGGGAGCTTTCTGACTGTGACGCACCAGAGAAAGAGACTATGGTTATGTAAACAATGGATTGCAAATAGCCAAGTCCTGAGAGAGAAAACACAGTTCGTTAAAAAGCAACCCGTGAAAATCGAAACCCGTTAACAGCTAAAATGCAGACAATCTGCTCAGGTAATGAACATTTGATCCTCAGACCTTGCTGACAATTGGTGGCACTCAAGCTTTACAAAAGGGCTATTTCCCTTGGGGACAAAAAAAAATAAGGATTTCTCCAACCTTCTCTTTTAATAACAAAATAGCAATGCAGTTTTTTCCCCCCCAATCCTTCTCTTTTTGGAAAAATCATTTTGCCTTCAGTGTGATATATATATATATATAAATCCATATATACAAGAATCGCTTGGCTAAATTGAAAATTTGGCCGTTGGATGTTTTAACAGTCACCAGGTATAATAAAGAGATATGTAACAAAAAAAATCTTGATTTTTTAAAATTCCCTTTAGTTTTAAGAACTACGGTAAGAAAGGAAAACTTTGGGAACTGTTAGGAAACCAAGGGAAGGAATTTGGCTGGTATAGAAATTGCCTTTTTGCACCTTACTATTAAATTAGCAGATTATATATAAAAAAACTTTTTTCACAACATTGCTGGAATTATCAAAACAAGCAGTCCTTGTATTTTTCAAGCCACGTGTACGACGTAATTTTTCCGAACGACACGTAGATCAGAAGTTGAGATTTTGTTTTTACCAATGATCCAAGGTAGAGCTGTAACCCGCAGAGAAATGCCACAACGTTGTGAGTGTAAAAACTACTGTGATGCCACATTACCAGCTTTTATTCTGCCAACAACATGATCAGTTTTGAATGTTTTCTTTTGACACCCATTTGATAGAAGGATGAGCCCTTATATGTATGTATGTATGTATGTATGTATGTATATACACACACACATATATATACACATATACATATATATATATATATATACACACACACACAGTATGCATGTATGTATGTATGTATGTATGTATATATATATATATAGAACATTCTGGTGAAAGGGCCACTTGGCTAAAATATTCCAGTACAATTTCCAGAGTTAAACAACTTCACAGAAGTTAATTAACAAACATTTTCTTAAACCAAACAAAAAACAAAAAAAAGGAAGAAGAATGTAAAAATTATAAAAAAGGAAGCTGCAGAGGAGGACCGACAGAGAGAATGTTCTTGCCTGATAGCTCAGTTATCTTACCTTGCTCTGCATAAGTAGCCTGAATTTTTTTAAAGAGGGAAAAGACCACAGCTAAGAGGTCGTAGGGGGAGAATGGTCCAATTTTAGAGCTCTATGGTTTTCAAATCATCATCATAATAATAATAATAAATCACATTTTAAAGAGGACTTATTTCCCCCACCCCCCGTTCTGTACAAGCCCAGCTCAAGCTACATCATGAAGTCTTCAAGATATCATCGGAGTTAAATCGCTAACAATTCTAAATATTGGCATTCTCAGCAGTTAAGATGGCCAACTCAATATCAGGAGCATCTAAAGCAGGGGTCTCCAAACTCGGAAACTTTTATAAGACTTGTGGACTTCAAGTCCCAGAATTCCCCAGGCAGTGCAAGCAGAGCCTTTCTTGGAGCCTGGGGAGGGCGAATTCATGTGCTGGCTGGGGAATTCTGGGAGTTGGAAGTCTACAAGTCTTAAAAGTTTCCGAGTTTGGAAACCCCTGATCTAAAGGACCGCTAATCAACCGTGTGTTTTTGACGAAGAGAAAGGGGAACAAACACAGGTTTTAGCTGCGTCCATTAATTTGCAGAGAATAATCGGGGAGGCATTGAATGCCAAGCGGGGAAGCTGGATCAAGGGGGCTGAGGGATTGAGAGCGTGTGCCGAGGCTGTCACGGAACGTCGCGATTCCCGCTTACAAGCTTTTGAGCAAGAAAGAACCAAGTACGTTAAGTGGAAACTGCCCCCCCCGCCCCCGGCCCTTGGTTTGGCTTCGTTACCGATGAATTTGTATACGAGAGAAGTCCCTCGATGCCCAGGAAAGGCCAAGCTGCCGAAGAGAAGGGGAAGCCGTAGGGGCAGAGCGAGAAAGAGTGACCCACCGCTACGTACAGGGGAACCAGTTGCAAAGCTTTTAACGCCTGTGTGGGGATCACCCTCGCGCCCTCTCTTTCCTCACAAACGCTTCTCCGCCGTTGAAGAAACAAGCGACTTCAAAGGAGTGCCAATTCCTTCCTCTCGAACCAAGGGCAAAGCAAAGCAACTGAAGCGAGCCGCAAGAGTTCCCCTGAAACGACTGGCTTTAGTTTTGGACGCCTCCCTCCGAAAGGCATCGCAAAACAAGAATGACTTGGTGTGTGTGTGTGTGTGTCTAACAACTTCACTGAAAAAGCCACTTTAAAAGGAAAAAACGGCTCCAGATGCCACACGGCTGTTGCGTGGCAAGTGAACATCTGAACCTAGCAAAGTTGCTCGGCTCCGTCGCTTGTCGCTTGTGTTATCCCGAACGCGAAGACACGAGAAGAGTCCGATGTATCAAAAAGTCCATAGGGAAAGAAAGGACCCCGAAAGGATTTTCTTTCAAAAAGAGAGAGAGAGAGAGAGAGAGAGAGAGAGAGAGAGAGAGAGAGAGAGAGAGAGAGAGAAGGAGGGAGGGAGGGAGGGAGAGAGAGAGAGAGACCAAAACAAAGTTAAACCGCTTCTGATCATGGTCACCAGCCTGAAAGCTAAGCAACTTCTCACGTGTTCAGCATTTTGCCATTTGCGATCGGCCTTAAAAAGTCATTTTGCCCTTCCACGATGCCATGGGCTGTTTTGAGAAGAAGGCTGCGCATGCCAGCCGATGTGGTCATGATGGGCAGGGAGATCCTGCTGCCTGCGGAGGATTCTGTCGGTTGGCTGAAACAGGACGCGGCCGGCGAGACTCCCTTCCGCTTCTCCCTGGTGGGTGGGAAAAGCAAAAGGAAACCTGGTCACACAAGCTCCTTTGCCTGCGCAGGAGCTTCGTCGCCCGTGTTCTGTCAAGAGGAAAGAAGAGCTATCAAGTCCTAGAGAGGTCTTCCACTGGTGACTAGATTCTAGATGACTAGAATCATTGGTGGGCTTCGCATAATTTAACAAACCGGTTCGCCCAGAATCGACAATGTGAGCGAGAGAGCGTGCATGCTCGCTTAGCTCACGCACGCCTTGCGCACAGCGTCAAAAACACGGCAATTGTATAAGACGGGATAGCTCCGGGGTGGGGGAAGGGCGGGCCTAGCCGCTGGCCGAAACTACCGAAACTACCGGTTCTCACGAACTGGCTGAATCCCATCCCTGACTAGAATCCTTATAAGTACTAGATCAATGATGGTGAACATTATTTTCCTCACGTGCCCACACCCATAATTCAATGCCCTCCAACGCACGCCCCCCCCTGTGCTCTCTGTGCATGCGCACGCGACACCCCCCCCACCCACCGTGCCCTTTTTGGGTTTAGCAGGCCTCCCTGAAGCCTCCGGAGGTCGGAAACAGCCTATTTCCAGACTTCCGGTAGGACCGTTAGGACTGTTTTTCGCCCTCCCCAGAGGCTTTCTTGGAGCCTGGGGAGGGCGAAAACGGCCTCCCCTCTCCCCGAAGGCCAGAAATGGCTTGTTTCCCGACTTCTGGTGGGTCCAGAAGGCCTGTGAAAGCCTCTGGAGCCTGGGGAGGACAAAAACAGACTCGCCCACCCCACCCACCCCCCGGGCCGAAAACGCTCTCCCAGAGCCTCTGCGCAAGCCCTGTACTTACCTGGCATCCAAAACGGGCCGCGCGGAGACTCCTAGGAGGAAAGGGGCGGTGTGGGCGATGTCAGCTGAAAATCAGCTGGCTGGTGCACACATGCGCGCTGGAGCTGAGCTAGGGCAATGGCTCATGTGCCCGCAGATATGGCTCCGTGTGCCACCTGTGGCACGCGTGTCATACATTCACCATCATGGTACTAGATGAATATGTCTATGGAGATTCTCAGGTTGTCTCAAAGGTGCTTTTAAAGAGGCAACTGGACTTCCTTTGAAGACATTTTGCTTCTCATCCAAGAAGCTTCTTCACCTTCACAGTTGCCTCTTGAGAAAGCACTGGACTTTCTGGTTTTTGGATGAGAAGCGAAACGTCTTCAAAGAAAAATCAGAAGGTCCAGCTGCCTCTTAAAAAAGCACCTTTGGAACTACTAGATGAAGAATTTTTAGATGGAGACTGGAGACTGTCGGTCATGAACATGATTAAGAAAATACATACAAAAATGTAGGATAGGGGGACAAATGTTTGTCACACAGAGATTCTCAATCATCCAAATCATGGTTGTCCCCAAAGATGTTTTTTCAACGGCAGTCTCTTGATTTATTTTATTTTTCTTCCTTGAAAATGTTTCGCTTCTCATCCCAGAAGCTTCTTCAGTTCTGAACCGAGGAAGGGAAATGTTTTCAAGGAAAAAACAAACGAAGGAAGTCCACTTCTCTTTTGGGGTAGGACATGGCTCAGCCCTGATATCTAACAATGGTTTGGGGCAGTGGTGAAATTCAAAAATTTTCCCTACCAGTTCTGTGGGCTTGGTGGGTGTCATGTGACTGGGTGGGTGTGGCCAACTTTTTAAAAAACTTTTATTTATTTATTTATTATTTATTTTATTTTGTCGCATTTCTATGCCGCCCAACTCCCAAGGGACTCTGGGCGGCTTACAACCGAGAATAAAACAATGCAACAATATCCCATACAAAAGTTAAAAGAAGACATTAAAACATTAAAACGTTAAAACACATACACTCCAATTTGTGGCCGGGTCTCGCAAGATCACTATAACGAGATCAACGCCCCCAGGCCTACCGGAAGAGCAGGTCTTCACCGCTTTCCGGAAGGCCAATAGGGTGGGGGCGGTTCGGACTTCAGGAGGTAATTGGTTCCAGAGAGCCGTGGCAGCCACAGAGAAGACCCTCCCCCGTGGGCCCGCCAGCCGACATTGTTTTAGCCTTTTTAACTAAAAAAAAGTTTTAAAAAGTTCCGACGATCAGCTGTGACAATCAGCTGTGCCCACGATCGGGATCTTTTTTAAAAAACTTTTTTAATGCATTTTTTTTAACTACCTATTTGTCCGAACCGGTAGTAAAAAAAAATGCTTAAAAAAAGTTTTAAAAAGGTTCCGACGATCAAGTCGGAACCTTTTTTTAAAAAAACTTTTTTAAAAGCATTTTTAAACTACCGGTTCGGGTAAACCGGCCCGAACCGATAGCAAGAATCAGATATGAGAAGCTCCACCCACAGCAAAGAAAGACCAATGGACGGGAAGTTGTGTGGATGAAAACTTCCGTGCAGGGGAATCTTTGCCCTGAGGTCTTGCGCTACCTTCCCATTTCGCCCCACACTCACAAAAGAGCAAGTTCTTCATGCAGGAAAGGCCTCTTGGCCTGCCTGGCGTCCATTGGGGGCTGCTCCGCTGGGTGACCGTTCTCCAGAGCTGACCCGCTGAAGAGGTGATCGTTCTGACTGTTCGTGCCAAGCTGGAGGCCCAGCATCTCCTAGAGCAGGGAAAGGAAAAAAAAAAAGACAATTATGGGTAGGATGTTTTTAACCAGGTGTCAGACTGCGGTGCTATCTCAAAATTAAATGAATTTCCAAACTGCCAATCTTTAAGGAAATCTTTCTTTAATTGAGCTCAGCCACCGGATCATGACTCCACGCGGACAAAACTGACCTTTTGCCTCCCAATCCCTCCCTTTCCGATCCCCAAATCTCTGCTTCTCATTGGCTGTCTCCAAGTCATTCTTCAGACTTCTTTTCCTCGTCATTTCCCAGGAATGTGCCCCCCCCTCATTTCCACGACAACCGGGCTTCAAAGGATTTATCAGGCAAAAGTTTCAGAGTTTATCTTTCGCTCTCCTCTGCTCTCTGACACCAGAGACTGCACTGATAGTGATGTTTTACTGGATTCTTGTAAATCACGTCTCGTGGGGTGCAGTGGTTGGAATGCAGCATTGCAGGCCAATTCTGCTGACTTGACGACTGTCGGCAGTTCGATTCTCACCGGCTCAAGGTTGACTCAGCCTTCCGTCCGTCTGAGGTCGATAAAAGGAGGACCCAGACTGTTGGGGGCAAGAGGCTGACTCTGCAAACCGCTTAGAGAGGGCTGTAAAAGCACTGTGAAGCGGTATATAAGTGCAATTGCTATTGCTTACTTCCCTTCCTTCTTTCTCTCCCTCTCATTTCTCTTTCTTTCTTTCCTTCCTCCCTCCCTCCTTCCTCCTTCCTGGCCATGGTGGCACAATGGGTAGAATGCAGTATTGCAGGCTAACTCTGCCCACTGCCAGCAGTTCGATCCTGACCGGCTCAAGGTCGACTCAGCCTTCCATCCTTCCGAGGTTGGTCAAATGAGGACCCAGATTGTTGGGGGCAAGAGGCTGACTCTGTAAACCGCTTAGAGAGGGCTATAAAAGCACTGTGAAGCGGTATATAAGTGGTCTTGCTATCTATCTCTATGTCTGTCTGTCTGTCTGTCTATCATCTATCTATCTATCTATCTATCTATCTATCTATCTATCTATCTATCTATCTATCTATCTATCTATCTATCTGCCATGGTGACACAGTGGTTAAAATGTGGTGTTGCTGGCTAACTCTGCCCACTGCCAGGAGTTCGATCCTGACCAGCTCAAGGTTAACTCAGCCTTCCGTCCTTCTGAGGTGGTTAAAACGAGAACCCGGACTGTTGGGGGCGATCGGCTGACTCTGTAAACTGCTTAGAGAGGGCTATAAAAGCACAGTGAAGCGGTATATAAGTCTAAGTACTATTGCTATCTATCTCTATCTCTATGTCTGTCTGTCTGTCTATCATCCATCCATCCATCCATCGAATCCATCCATCCGCCATGGTGACACAATGGTTAAAATGCAGTGTTGCTGGCTAACTCTGCCCACTGCCAGGAGTTCGATCCTGACCGGCTCAAGGTTAACTCAGCCTTCCGTCCTTCCGAGGTGGTTAAAACGAGGACCTGGATTGTTGGGGCAATAGGCTGACCCTGTAAACTGCTTAGAGAGGGCTGTAAAGCAACATGAATCAATATATATAATCTAAGTACTGTTGCTATTTTGAGATAAATTGGCTACATACATTTGATAAATAAATAAAGAGTTACAATGGGCGACTTCACTTCAGCCTTGTATGGAATTGTGGTCCTTGACACAGTGGGCTATCTGAACTGGAAGAACTGGTACCACTCTGACATTTCTGGGGGCAGGAGACACAAAACAGCCCACGCGTGGGTAGAATCGAGAGAACGTACTTCCATTGGCTCTCCCTGCCCCTCGGCCTCATCCGTGTCAAGCGACGAAAGTTCCAGTTCAATGTCTCGTTTAGACTTGGTGCCCGTGTTGCCCTCGGGGGAGTCGGCCTGGGGAGGGAGCAGGAAGGGAACATAAAACAGAGGTTGGAATGACACACGTCTCGGTGCAGCGGATACGGAGGGGGGGGGTGGAAAAAGGAAAAGCCTCCTTACCTGCCCATTCCGCAGCTCCATTTCCTTGCTTAAGAGCTTTAAGGTGAGGGCACTGCCTTCGCTCAGGGAGTCCCACTTCTGCTGCGTGGCCAGGGCGTTGGCCTCTCTCTGGAGCAGCACCGAGTTACTTTTGGCCTGTGTGGAAAAGCAGAGCAGGAGCCCCCCCAAATGGTCAGGGGAGATAGTTGTGCTCTCTCTCTCTCCCTGCCCAGGGCCGTGGATCAATGGTGAATCGCCACCGGTTCGCTGCCCCAACATGCGAGGTCCGCGCCAAGCACACGCTTCACGCAGAAAAAGAAGACTTCACTAGGTAAGTAGAACAGCGAGGGGAGAAGGAACAGCTGTGCCGCGCGATTTAGCTTCGCTAGAAAGCAGAATCGTCAGAAATACCAGTTCGGATGCACCGGTAGTTTTTTTTTTAAACTACCAGTTTGCCTGAACTGGTAGCTTTTTTTTAAACTACCAGTTCAACTGAACCTGCTGTGGATCCTGTTTTCAATCAGGAAGCTGCGCTCCTGGCTCCAAGAGTCACAGGAAGGACACTTGCTAAAATCACTCCCTCCCCAAATACCCAGACTTTTGGGAGGGGAGGGGGAAGTTGTACCTGTTGTAATTCAGTGCTCAGGAGGTCTCCGGTGCTCGAGTGCTTTTTGGGAGCGGATTCCTCGGGAGCGACAAACTGGTCCCTTGAAAAGAGAGAAGAAGAAAAGCCAAGCCTCGACCTTTGGCCCCCCCTGGATGCATCTGCAAGAAGGCCTCTTGTGTTGTGGCCGGCCAGCTGCCAGTGGAGCTGGTGGGAGACTCGGACGATGAGGAGGTTGGGGAGGGACTTGGGCCAGTTCTGGAGTAGGCTCTGATGAATGCTCTATGTCGGACACAGAGATAGAGCCAGGACTGTCCGACATTTCCCAGTCACTGGAGAGGCAGCTGCCTTTGGAGGCTGACATGAGTGAGGAGGAAGAACAGCTGGGGCTGTTCCAGACGCACATATGCGCAGAGCACTTAGGAGAAGAGAACAACGGAGGACAAGGAGTCGACTCGGGAAGCAAAGCACATGTAGACGCTAAATGGCCCCTCCCTGGCTGGGGAATAAATAGAAGGAAAAGGGGACGGGTGGTCGTAGGAGACAACCGTTCGTATTTCTGAAGATTTTGCTCATTGTGTTTCGTGCATCAAAGACTGCTTGCCAGAACTTAATTTACAGCTTCGCGGCTGGAAGCTCCGGCTTGGCAATTATCTCAAGTAACTGATAAGGTCTGTTAATGCAGTTAACTCCTTGAAGGACTCTTGCCTGGACTTTTCGGTGTGTGAATGCCATTAATTCACAGGAGATAAATAAAGAGGGGGTTTTTTCGGGACAAGGAGTCTGTTTCTTGTTTCTGCTAAAGCTGGGTCAGAACATCTCGTGGGAAAAGCTGCATTTTCTCCCCGGGTAAATCTCAAAAGATTTTGCGTCCTGCCACCATGGAGACTGTTCTCCCTTGCCGAGGAGACTGGGGTTCCTTGGCTCTCCTCCATGAACAAGCAAGGGGCTGGGGAGCCCGGAGCTCATCCCTGGCTGGATCTATCCGGGAAGCCCATTCCGCCTACCGTTCTATGAAAGGTGCTGAGGAAGTCGAATCGGACGCGTAGCAGCTCCACCTCAAGTCCACCGAGCTGATGCTGGGGGTATAATCTGTAAGAGGCAAAGGATGGGGCTCAGCGGGGGGGGGGGCTTGCCCTGCTCCTCTCCTCCTCCTCCTCCTTCTCCCTCCTTCCCCTTGAAGGTTCTGCTGTCCTCACCTGACATGCTGATGGGTTTGGTAGTACTTCCTTGGGAAGCAGTTGCCTGGACAGGGTCTGTGGTGTGGTAGCCCGTCCGCGATGACCTGGAGATGGCGCCCCACTTGGAAATGATTGGCCCGTCACTGAAAGGGATGATGGGATCTTCGTCCTTGGCCTTCCTCTGGGTTTCAAAGAGGTGCGCCGCCGGCCTCTTGGGATCTCCGCTGTCCAGATCCTGCGTGGAAGGGAAGGCTGAGAGGGGCACGAGAAACACCAGCTCCGAAGGATCCTTCCGGATTCCCAAGATCATTTTAGGCCACCTCTAGGACATCCTAAAAGGGACGTGGTGGCTCGGGGGCTAAGACGCTGAGCTTGTCGATCGAAAGGTCGGCAGTTCAGCGGTTCGAATCCTAGTGCCGCGTAACGGGGTGAGCTCCTGTTACTTGTCCCAGCTTCTGCCATAATAATAACTTTATTGTCATTGTATGTGTATACCCAGTATACCCATACAACGAAATTCAGTTAACACCCAAAGACCAGGTCCAACACACATAACAATCCCCAAACACACCACAAATTCCCCACCCCTGAATCACCCAAACATCCACACAACAGACCAAGTAATGCTGTCCAACAGCTCACTGACGGTGACCCTTTAGTTCATTGTTGAGTGCCTTTATACCTCTGGGATAAAAACTACTCAGAAAACATGTGATCTGAGTTTTAATTGTTCTGTATCTTCTGCCAGAAGGCTACAGTCCAGAAAGATTGTAAGCCAACCTAGCAGTTCAAAAGCACGTAAACAAATGCAAGTAGAAAAATAGGGACCCCCTTTGGTGGGAAGGGAACAGTGTTCCGTGCGCCTTTGGCGTTGAGTCATGCCGGCCACATGACCACGGAGACGTCTTTGGACAGCGCTGGCTCTTCGGCTTTGAAACGGAGAGGAGCATCGCCCCCTAGAGTCGGGAACGACTAGCACGTATGTGCGAGGGGAGCCTTTACCTTGATCTAGGACATCCTAAAGGTGCTTTTTCAAAAGGCAACTGGGCTTTCTTTTTTTTTTTTTCCTTGAAGAAGTTTCACTTCTCATCCAAGAAGCTTCTTCAGTTCTACAGGTGAAGCGAGGAAGCTTCTTGGATGAGAAGTGAAACGTCTACAAGGGGAAAAAAAAAAAGGAAGTCGGCCTGCCTCTTGAAAAGCACTTTTGGGACGTTCATGACCTGAATGACTGAGGATCTCTACAGGATGCGGCCTTACTAGGAGGATTGTGGTGGATTTAGCCAGGACGTCCTTCGGTTCAGCCTCAACCGCGCTGATGCATGAACTGATGGTGCTGCAGGACCAGGGCGAATACTGGCACAGCTGCCCATCTTCATACTTGGTGTCGCTCGAGCCGCTGGAGTTCTCGCTGAACTGCAAGAAGCAGGAGTGAGAAAAAAAAACAAAGCCTGACCATCTTGCAGAGAGCATCTTGGTCAGCCTTGGGCGACTTTCCAGAGACACGGGAGGGTAGTGATGGACGGAATGAAAGAGGAAAAGAAAGCGATTTGATTGCATGTGATGGAAACCATCAGGGGGAAGAGAAAAATGGGAGGAAAGGATGAATATATTCAGGGTATTTGGGTCCTTTCCCCAGACTAAATATTACCTGCTCCCAGACTGCAAAAGGGAAGGGAAAAAAGAAAGAAAGGAACAAAGGAAGAAGGAAAGGAAGGAAGGAAGGAGGAAGGAAAAGAAGGAAGAAAGAAAAAAAGAAGAAAGGAAAAAAAAAAAAAGAAAGAGGAAGAAAGGAAAGAAGGAAGGAAGAAAGAAAGAAGAAAGAAAAGGAACAAAGGAAGGAAGGAGGAGAGAAGGAAAGAAAGAAAAGAAGAAAGAAGAAAAAGAAAGAAAGACAGAAGGAAGAAGAAAAGAAAGAAGAAAGAGAGGAGAAAGGAAAAAGATGGAAGAAATAAAGATGGAAGAAAGGAAGAAAGAAAACAAAAACAAAGGAAGGAAGAAAGGAGAGAGAGAGAATGAAAGAAAGAAAAGAAGGAATGAAGGAAGAAAGAAAGGAGAGAAAGAGAGAAAGAAAGAAAGGAGAAAGGAAGAAGGAAGAAAGAAAATGGAAGAAGGAATAAAGAAAGGAACAAAGGAAGGAAGGAAGGAAGGAGAGAAATAATGAAAGAAAGAAAAGAAGAAAGAAGAAAAGAAGAAAAGAAAGACAGAAGGAAGAAGAAAAAGAAAGAAAGGGGGAGAAAGGAAAGAAGGAAGAAAGAAAGGAAGAAAGAAGAAAAAGAAAGATAGAAGGGGAGAAAGAAGAAAGGAAGAAACAAAGGAAGGAAGGAAGGAGAGAAAGAAAGAAAGAAAGAAAAGAAAGAAAAAGAAAAAAGAAAGAAAGAAAGAGTCCCTCCCTCCCTCCCAGAGGTTCTGGGGCCTTACTTCAGAACTGAAGTCCACACAGAAGAGAGGGGAAGGGGAGGACGGAGAGGCTGCGGCTGCAGGAAGAGTGGAAATTGTCACCAGGGGCACTTTCGGCACGTGGCAAGGAGCCCACTGTTCTGCCTTCTTCCTGAGAGGGTCCTCGTAGGCCGGCTTCAGATGTCCACAAGGTTCCTACAAAGGAAGATCAACAGTGTGTGTGTGTGTGTGTGTGTGTATGTGTGTGTCTGAAGGCCAAGCGACACTCTTGCTCTGAGCATGCCCTGGGTTTATTTATTGATTTAGGAAGTTTATTTACCGCCGCCCACCTCGTCTCCCACGACTCAAGCGTTCCAAGGATTCAAGCAGCACAAGGGGTCCTTGTCTTAACGACCGCAACCAGGACGACCAGAACTCGGGTCGGTGAGCAGTGCAGTCATGTGATGTTCCGCCCGATGACGGCTTCGCTTAATCGTGGAAATTCTGGTGCCCAACTGGAGTCGTTAAACAAGGACTGCTTGGGTGCCCTCTAGAACAGGGGTCTCCAACCTTGGCAACTTTACAACATGTGGACTTCAGCTCCCAGAATTCCTCAGCCAGCTTTGCTGACTTGCTGGCTGAGGAATTCTGGGAGTTGAAGTCCGCAAGTCGTAAAGTTGGAGAATTCTAGAATATCCACCAAGCAGTCCTTGTTTAACGATCCCAGTCCCACCCCAGTCCGTATTTAGCTGGATAACCAGCTAAATACGAGCCAGCACTGTGCAGCCGCCGCCAAAAAGACTAATGCAATCTTAAATTGCATTAACAGAGGGATACAATCAAGATCAAGAGAGGTACTAATACTACTCTATAAAGCCTTAGTAAGACCACTATTGGATAGTGGTGTTGGATACTGCATCCAGTTTTGGTCACCGCACTATAAAAAGGATGTGGAGACTCTAGAAAGAGTGCAGAGAAGAGCAACCAGGATGATTCAGGGACTGGAGGCTAAAACATGCGATGAACGGTTGCAGGAACTGGGCATGGCTGGTCTAGTGAAGAGAAGAGAAGGACCAGGGGAGACAGGATAGCAGTCTTCCAATATTTGAGGGGCTGCCACAGAGAGGAAGGGGGTCAAGCTATTCTCCAAAGGCCAGACAAGGAATAATGAATGGAAACTGATGAAGGAGAGGGATTCAACCTAGAAATAAAGAGAAATTTTCTGACAGGGAGAACAATCAACCCATGGAACGGAAGTTGTGGGAGCTTCATCACTGGAGGCTTTCAAGAAGAGACTGGACTGGCATCTGTCAGAAATGGTGCAGGGTCTCCTGTTTGGGCAGGGGGTTGGACTAGATGACCTACAAGGTCCCTTCCAACTCTGTTAAATCTGTTAAATCAAGACAGTGGTCACCTGGCTAAGCTTTGCAGCACTTACCCTCGCCCAAGGCACGGCCCTCTGCTCCGCTGGCACCTGGCAGGGCACCGAACAGTAGCTGTCCAAAGAACCGTATCTTTCCCGCAGAAAGTTGTGATAGACGGAGGGGTGAGTGACTTCCATGGGAGGTAAGGAGTTGCTCCGGATGATATCATCCCTCTGGTACATCGGCGGTCGCCAAATACGCCGGCTGTCGTAAACCGGAGCGTACATCCCGGAAGGAACCGGCGGCACCGGCCCGTAGGCTGGCTGCGGTGGTGCCTGTTGGTAAGCAGCGGTGAGTCTGTCCCGAGAAGGAAATGTGCTGTAATGCTCACTATACGGTAGAGAGGCCGGCGGGAGAGGGGATTCCGAGACGCTGCTGGACCTCACAAAGCGAGGGAGGCACGGCGGCACAGCTGTGGGGACCGCCGGGGGGCCTGGATAGTATCCTACAGAAGGAAAAGTGAAGTTGAACTCTTCTTACAGAGAGTTCCTCCTGTCCTGAAGGAAAAAAGTTAGGAACCCCCCCCCCCCGAGGATACTTCTTGAAGTCAGAAGGGATGCTAGGCAGAAGGGATGGCAGTCCAGGGGTGAAATGCTCCCGGTTCGGTCCGGTTTGGTTGAACCGGTAGTAAAAATGGCTACTGGTTTGCCGAACCGGTAGTAAAAATGGCTACTGGTTTGCCGAACCGGTAGTAAAAATGGCTACTGGTTTGCCGAACCGGTAGTAAAAATGGCTACTGGTTTGCCAAACCGGTAGTAAAAAATGTAAAAAAAGAAAAGTTCCGACGATCAGCTGAGTGACACGCGATCTTCGGAACTTTTTTTTTTTTACTTATTTAGCTTTTTTTTTTTTACTACCGGTTCTCCGGAACTGGTAGTTAAAAATGCTTTAAAAAGTTAAAAAAAAAAAGTTCCAAAGATCAGGCGTTGCTCAGCTGATCGTCGGAACTTTTTGGTTTTTTTTACTTTTTTAGCATTTTTTTTACTACCGGTCCTCCGCTGGCGGGCCACAACACAAGTGCTGGAAACCGCAAAGATCATCTTCCCACCGCAAGTATGCGCACTGGGGTGCTGCTGTTTCGGTTTCTGGTGCACATGTTACCATTTTAGCAGTCACTAAATGAACGGTTGTAAGCCAAGTACTTTTATTTCTTGGTTCACTGCTGTTCTGACCTGGGCTTCCTGAGACAGTAAAAAGCACCTGATTAGTCCCAAAAACCTCTTTTTATTTCAACGGCTGTGAATTCTGTTCATTCACAGCCCGTGATGAGTCACGAATAGTTTGTAAAGAGTCCGACAGAAGTCTGCCACAGTCCCTTGGGATAAGGCTGGTAAGCACCCACCTTTATCTCCCTCGACACGCTGCCAAAGACCTAATTGGCAATTAGCTTTGCAAGACCACACGGAACACAGAGTCAAAACGGAGCTTCAGAATTTAAACCAGCCAGAACGAACAAAGTTGCTTCCTAAAGGCTCATGTCCCTTTGCTCCTCCTTTATGTCTTATGGGAGGAGCTAATCATCTCTAGGCCTGACTCCCGAGTCGTCCCTTTTGTTTTAACTGTTCTTGCCTTCTGGCAGCTCTGTGCATGCCCGCACTGGGAACAAGCTCCCCCTATTCCTCTGCCTTGCTGACGTCCGACTCTGGAGGCTCCGGAATCAGCACGTAACTCCCGGATGGCCCTGGCCGCATCTCTGCCTCCGACGCAGAGCCCTCGTCCGAGCCTTCTGCAGACTCCAGGATTGGTCCATGTTCCTCCCCAGCCTCCTCACTGTCCAACTCTGCTGCCAGCTCCGCAGGCTGCTGGCGGACCACAACAACTGCAAATTCTGGCTGGGGTATGCTGGGAGTTGAAGCCCGCACATCTTAAAATGGTTAAGCTTGGCAAACACTGCTCTTGGCCCAACTCCGCCAAAGCCCAGGCCGCTGGAGAAATGGGCAAGTGCGTGTGCAAATCTTCACTCACGTGAGCGGAGGTCCACCTGCGCTGGTGCATGAGGTCCCGTTCGCGTGAGTGCCCTCCATTCACACAAGGGTTTTGTGCGCGAGCTCCATTCGTGCGGAGGGTGCGTGGGTGCGCCACTCACACAGGTGGAGCTGTGCACCAGAGGTGGGTTTCACAGAATACCACCACTGCTGTGCATGCACACGTCTGCCTGCCACTCCCACACGCTCCCTCCCTCCCATGGCCAGGCCGAGCTGCCAACCTAGGAAAGGTTGGGGATTGTTGTTTTAAAACACCTTTCATGAGCCGGACGCTTACCTGTTTGAGGGTAAGGTGGAGCTTCGTAGGAGAGGTGAGCCCGGGGATCCTGGAAATACGGAAGGCTCTCCGAGTGAGCCGGGTAGATGGGCAGGCGGGCGGTGAAAGGGCTGGGTTTGGGGGCAAGGGGGCTTATCTCACTGCCCGCAAGGGCAGGGGAGGGAGGAAGAGGAGGAGGGGGAGGAGGGATGGGGCCTGCTGAGGTAGCTGAGGTCTGGCTCACAGGCGTTTTCGGAGAGGAGCCGGTTTGACTGTAAAGAATCAGAAAGATTAAATTAAGGGCTGCTGCCACCTGCATTCAAAAGGGACAAGATGGGGAAAGCCTCTATAAAATGTCTTATAAATGGCATTATTCGCCTGCAAGGTTAGCAAATATGTATAACAATAAATGTTCAATGTTGGAAATGCACATATTATCATATGTGGTGGACATGTCCCAAAGCAAAAAAAAAAATACTGGAAGAAAATACGCATGTGGCTGGAAATCTCCCAAAATAAGACATCTCCTGATAATAAGCCCAATCGGGCTTTTGAGCGCATGGCAATAAGGCCAAGCGCTTATTTCAGGGTTCAAAAAAATATAAGAAAGGGTCTTATTTTCGGGGGAAACACGGTATCTATCTAATCTATCTATCTATCTATCTATCTATCTATCTATCTATCCACCCTGTTTTCTCCAAAATAAGACATCCCCTGATAATAAGCCCAATTGGGCTTTTGAGCGCATGGTAATAAGGCCAAGCGCTTATTTCATCCTTCCGAGGTAGGTAAAATGAGGACCCGGATTGTGGGGGCAATAAGCTGACTTTGTATAAAAAAAGAACACCGCTTAGGAAGGTGGGGGCGAAAGCCCTACTAAGCAGGTATATACAAAAAGTATGAAGGCTATTGCTTGAAAGCATTGTAAGCCGCCCTGAGTCTCCGGAGAAGGGGGGCATATAAATCGAACTAACAAACTAACTAACTAACTAACTAACTAACTAACTAACTAACTAACTAACTAAATAAATAAATAAATAAATAAATAAATAAATAAACAAACAAACTTGTGATACAAAACCCAGCATGGTTATCTGTGTTTGCTGTGTATACTGTCATTTTTGTGTATATAATAATAATAAATAATAATAAATGTCTTACCAATTGCATGTATGATGTGTACATGTGTATGTGGGGGGGGGGGGCCCTATGGCCTGCACCCCCTTCCTCCCCAACCTCCAAGGCTTTCCTTCCACCTGCTTGGCAAGCCAGGGTGGCTTCACCTGCATCCCATCACCCCGAAATTTGGAGCAGGAGGGACCCCACTCCATAGAGAGGCTGCCTTTCTGCACACACACCCACACCCCTCCCCCTCCCCACCCCTCCCCCCTCCAAGGACCAGAAAGCCCCCCCCCAAGGGAGTGGGAGGGGGGTGCAGATAAAAGGCTCCCTCCCCCCATAAAACCCCAAATCATGGAAGCCTTTCCCGGGTGGTCCCCTCCCTGCTCCTGTTGACCCCCCCCCGCCTCTTTGAGGGCCCCTCCCCTCCCTGAAAAGGGGACCCCCTCCCCCTCTCATGCAGCCCCTCCCTCCGGGGGGGTGGGGGAGGGGTCTCCTTGTGGGCGCCTCACAGCAAGCGTCCCCCTCCCCTCCCCTCCGGGCCTAAGAGCCCCCCCCACTCCCCTCCCCTTACTTGCGGGAGGGCCCGGCCTCTCCTCACAGCCCCCGAGGGGCGAACCGCGGAGCGGCCCGTCGGCGGCGGCGGCGGCGTCGCCTCCTCATCGCGGTGACAGCCGGGAGGCCCCGCCCACCCAAGCCGCGCCCCCTCCTCTCGCGAGACTTCATTCTTTTTCTCTCTTGCGCGCGTGCGCGGGCCTCCCAAGCAACCAGAGAGACGAGTCGCGCGTTGCCAGAGAGGACTCTTTCGGGCTCAATTCCCTCTCCAGCCCCCGCCCCGGCAGAGGGAGGGCGTGGTTTTAGATTTGCATAGCCACCGCCCCCCTCCTTCTCCTCCTCCTCCTCCTCCAGCTTTGCTGGAAAGGATGCAGAAAACAGCAAATAATTGGGAATTTTTGCAAATGTTTTTTTTTTTTTTTTTTTAAGTGGGCGATGGAAGAACCCGTGGAAGCGGGAGTCGCCTTCAGACGTGTTGCGGGTGCTTCATCACTAACCAAGGAGAGAAGCAACCTGGAATTAAGGAGAAACTCCCTGTAACAGGGAGGACGATTAACCGGTGGAACTCCTTGCCACCAGAAATCGTGGGTGCTCCATCACTGGAGGGTTTTAAGAAGAAACTATAGTGACAGCTACTTGCCCGGAATGGTATCTCCTGCTTGAGCAGGGGGCTGGACTAGAAGACCTCCAAGGGTCCCTTCCAGCTCTATTCCTGTTCTGCCAATTTAGGTAAATGCAAATTCACCTAAAATTCCTAAAGATATTGAGGAGATGCTAGAGGGAAACATAACGATGATGGAATTAAATGAAGCGATTAAGAAAGGCACCAGGGCCAGATGGTTTGCCAGCGGAATATTACAGGACATTGCAGGAATCTTTTGAGTCTTCCGCTACTAGAAGTTATGAATGAAGTGATGGCAAAGAAAGAAATACCCAAGCCATGGTCTGAGGCATATATTACATTGATTCCTAAGGAGGATACAGACCCACAACAAATCAAAACTTATAGACCTATATCCCTGCTAAATTCAGATTATTAAATTTTTGCTTCAATATTGGCAGAAAGACTCAAGAGATATTTAAATAATTGTATAGATTCAGATCAAAATGGGTTTCTGCCAAAAAGACCAATTAGAGATAATATGAGAATAATTCTGGACACTTTGGAATACTACGAAGCCCGTCCTGAAAAGCAAATATTTTTAGATGCACAGAAAGCTTTTGATAATGTAAATTGGCGTTTTATGACGCTTCAAATGCTCCCTCTTTTTAAGGTACAGGTAAGTCCTCGACTTATAACCGCAACGGAGCCCAAAATTGGTTGGCAAGTGAAACACTGGTTGGCAAATATTATGTTGCTAAGCGAGACAAGGAAGCCTTGCCCCGTTTTTACGACCTTTCTCGTCACGGTTGGAGTGAAATCATTGCAAGTTTTTTAGTGAGCCGCCCAGTTGTTAAGTGAAACGGGCTTGCTTCGTGGACTTTGCTTGTCGCAAAAGGGGATCGCATGACCTCGGGAGGCTGCGGCGGTCATAAATATGAGCCAGTGGCCAAACATTCAAATTTTAATCACGTGAACATGGGGATACTGCAATGGGTCGTGGGTATAATAGTCCTAAGTCACTTTTTTCAGTGCTGTTGTAACTTTGAATGGTCACTAAATGAATTCATTAGTTGAGAATTATCTGTAAGGTAAAGGTAAAGGTTCCCCTGGCACATATGTGCTAGTCATTCCCGAATCTAGGGGGCGGTGCTCCTCTCCGTTTCAAAGCCGAAGAGCCAGCGCTGTCCGAAGACGTCTCCGTGGTCACGTGGCCGGCATGACTCAACGCCAAAGGCGCACGGAACGCTGGTCCCTTCCCACCAAAGGTGGTCCCTATTTTTCTACTTGCATTTTTTTTACCTGCTTTCGAACTGCTAGGTTGGCAGAACCTGGGACAAGTCACGGGAGCTCACCCCATTTACGCGGCACTGGGGATTCGAACCGCCGAACTGCCGACCTTTCGATCGACAAGCTCAGCGTCTTAGCTACTGAGCCACTGCGTCCCCATCTGTAATACGTTCAATTCGAAAAATGGGTTTCTTGTTCCGGCCTTGTCCACAAAAAGCTTTTGCTCGCCAGTGATTTTGCACACAGCAGTTAAAAGTATGTCTACGTATTTCAGCTGTCTTGACTTTTTTTTTTTTTTTAAATTTGATTTATATGCCGCCCTTCTCCGGAGACTCAGGGCGGCTTACAATGCGTTAAGCAATAGACTTCATCCTTTTGTATATTTATACAAAGTCAGCTTATTGCCCCCACAAACTGGGTCCTCAATTTACCTACCTTAGAAAGGATGGAAGGCTGAGTCAACCTTGAGCCTTGGAGAGATTTGAACTTGCAGTAATTGCAGGCAGCTGGTGTTAATAACAGGGTGCTTTAGACCACTGTACTACCAAGGCTCTTTTGCTCTCATAGATGCCCCCGCCCCAAAAACAGATATTGCAAGATTTAGGAGCTAACTTTTATAAAGTCAGTAGGAAAGCTTTTAAGCAGTTTCGGGGGCATCTCTCCTCATAATTCCAAAATTACACAGAGCAGTCAGCCAGAAGCAAACTTTATTCCCATTACAAACTAAACGGCAAATCTGGCATACACGCATACACAAAGCAGAGCCACGAACAAGATCGTCAAAGCTCTCGAGGTCATTTGGCCAAGGGGATGCTTTTTTTCTCAGAACTGGACAGCTCCCACTCGTGTTACAGACACAATTTGCTCACGAACATCTGGAGAAAAGAGTCTTTTACAACATTGGGAGCATAGCAATCAAACAGGACCGCCTGTTAACACGAAAGCACACTGAAAAGCAGACACAAGAGATTTACAAAAAGCCAAGGAGAAGCGATCGTAACGTTATAAAACGGCCTTCTCGAAATGCAAGCAACCTGGCTCTCTTGGATAATTTATGCAATTGCCACTGGCAATTTCAGGAAAGGCATGCAATCAATGACACCACCCCCACCCACAATTAATATCTCTTATTTTATATCTCAGGTTGCTGCTGTTTTTTTCTCTCTTGAAAATGAGTACCGCTGTAACGACAGTTGATCCGTTCATCCCAGGAGATAATCCATCTTGTTTTACATTATCACAAAAAGGTATATTATTTATACTGCCTTAAAAAAATCACAGAATTGCCCCGGATGAAGACAATTGTACGTTTCTAACGCTTCCGGAAAGAAGAAGAAGAAGAAAATACTGTATTTTGTAACCTGCAGGGATTGCTAACAATACGGACTGAATTTCAGATTGGACTGAAAATGGAACCTAGGTTGAATTCTTGTCAGGCTGGCCAAACACAGGGAGTGCTCCAATAACAAGTGCTTTTACGACAAGTCCAGACTTTGTTAAAAGGGGAAAAAATAAAAATAAAAATAAAAGACGCTGCCTTGATTGTGCATCGGGTTCTCGAGTCAATCCCTGGCTACGGTGCAGTTCACTGCGAACAAGACAAATTTGCAAGCAAAAAAACAAAAAACAACAAACCAGATGCTCAGATTAAGGCCTCCAAAACCGAAACGGTAAACAACGGCTACTGTTCAAAGCACGTTAAAAACATTCTGGGTTGTGGTGCAAAACAAAGGCTGAAAAGACTCTTTACGTCATATATAACATATAAATATGTAAATAACAACAGCATAAGCACCGCTTCTTGTTCAACCTTTCTTAGTTGCTTAAAATAACAATAGTACTTTGACTTACATACCGCTTCACAGTGCTTTTACAGCCCTCTCTAAGCGGTTTACAGAGTCAGCTTCTTGCCCCCAACAATCTGGGTCCTCATTTTACCGACCTCGGAAGGATGGAAGGCCGAGGCAACCTTGAGCTTGGTGAGTTTCAAACTGCCAAATTGCAGTCAGCCGGCAGTCAGCAGAAGTTAGCCTGCAGTACTGCGCTCTAACCACTGCGCCACCACGGATCATATCTTGGGAAGAAGGGCAGCTATTCGAAAGCCTGCAAGAACATGGATAGATAGGGGTACTGTTCCCCCCATAAAAGAGGGTGAACATTTGGGTGTGTCTTATACACCAAATGTAGCCCCGCCCACCCACCGGCCCCCACCCTTTGGCCTCTGCCTCCCAGCAATTTACCTCCTTGCGGCAAGCAGCAAACAGCCTGTTTCAACTTCAGCACAGCCTGATTTCCACAAGCAGCTGATTGTCGGTTGGATCGGCCTCCCGACAATCAGCTGTTTCAGGCTGCAGGGATTGCCATTGCCTAGCGGGCCTCTGCTGCTTGCTGCAAGGAGGCAAATTGCTAGGAGGCAGATTTTTTTTTCCTTGTGCTAATCAGGCTGTGCTGAAAATGAAACTAAAGCAGGCTGTTTGCTGTTTGCTGTAATGAGGCAAATTTCTGGGAGGCAGAGGCAGATTTTTTTTTTATTTGTTTTCCTCCCCCAAAAAGGTAAGTGCGTCTTATACTCCGGAGCGTCTTATACTCTGAAAAATACGGTATTTACATGCAGGATTGGAGTCTGTGGGTGGAGTCTCGGTGCTCAGCATCAAATCAGGCCTTTTTTAAAAAAAATTCCCCTTCCCAAACGACATCTACTCATAGTCTATTCTGACTTCCGTGATGGCATCAAAGCCAGATTTGTCCACCCCGGCCCTTCCGTGGACGGAGGTCAGGTGTTTTTTGAGGGCAGACTTGTGCTTGAAGTCCATGTCGCAACAATGGCACTTGTAAGGCCGGTCGCCACTGTGGATGTTGAGGTGGTCCTGGAGGGTGCTCTTGGCAGTGAAGGTCTTCAGACACACCATGCACTGGAACGGGCGGATGCCCATGTGGCCGCGAATATGCCGGTTCAGGTTTTTCTTCTGAGTGAAGGTTTTCCCGCACTGCAAGCACAAGAACAGTTTGTGCATCTTTAAGTGGCGGAGGTAGTTTTCCAGGTGGAGGAAGCCACGGGGGCATTTGGGACACTGATGGCGCCAGGTGTAGCCGGCGTCCTCAGAGGCTGGGAAGTCTGCGTGCGCGGCTCCTTCCGGATTCTCGCCGCCGAAGCTTTGGAACTGGGCTACTTCGCTCATCCTGCTCTCCACGGTGGAGTTGATCAAGGAGTGCTGAGTTTCTGGGAAGTACAAGTTGGTTTTCGAAGAAGTGCAAGGCTGCGGGAACGGCTCGTCGTCCACGCTGGGGACGTCCATCTGGAAAATGCAGATTTCGTCGTCCTTGTAGCCGATCTCCACAGTGGATATCTCCGGGCTTTTGACCTCCTTCCTGTCCGACATTAAACCTTGCAGGGACGCCGGCTGGATATCTCCTTTCTCCTGTTTTATTTGCTCATCTACGTTCACTGGGCTGTCGGCAGAAATCTCAATGATTTCACAGTCTTTATCGGGGCAGCTCTCTCTCCTGCCCAGCTCCATGTCAGACGAGTGGCATTTCTCAGCACACCTGCCGTTGCCTTCGACCGAAGCATCGATTTCGAGGTATCTGGAAAGGGCCTCCGTGCACTTCTCCACGATATGGACCATCTGCAGGTAACTTGCCGCCGTGAGGTATTTCAAAAGCTCCTTCTTCTTCACTTCCAGAGCTCCTGTGTAGCACGAGAGCAGCAGCTTCCGGCCGACTTCAGCGCTCTGCAGAATCGTAATCCGGACGTGCTGGGACTGAGTGAGCAGAAACTGGTCCCGCATGAAGGTGGAGCAGGCGGCGAAGATCACCTTGTGCCCGTGGAACTCGGTGTCGTTGATGTAGACGGAGACATCGCAGAAGAGGTTCTGCTGCCTCAGCAGGTTCATCTTCTGCAGCACAGCGTCACCTTGCTGCTCGAACTGGAAATGGAGCACGTCCGAATCGGCAGCCATAATGGCGATCCTGCTGGGGAAGGGGGGAAAAGCGGGGGGTGGGGAGAGAGGAGAAAATGGAATGAAAAGGAAGGTCTCAGCACCGTGAAAGAAGCTGTTTTTTTTACCAAGAGTGACCTCGGCCGAAGATGCTTTGTGCTGTTCTGGGGAGCACATTTGTTCTCTCTCTATGGAGCCTGTGAAATCCAACCTCTTCTTTGTGCCCCTCCAGAATAGGAATGAAAAAAAGGAAAAAGGAAGGGAAGGGAAGGAAAGGAGAAAAAAAAAGAAAGAAGGGAAAAGGAAAGGGAAAAGGGGAAGGGAAGGAGAAAGGAAGGGAAGGAGGGAAGGGAAGGGGAAGGGAAGGGAAGGAGAAAGGAAAGGAAAGGGAAAAGGGGAAGGGAAGGAGAAAGGAAAGGAAAAAGAGCTCAATGCATTCATCCCTGCACCTCCATCCCCCAAGATTATAGCTTTTTATCAGGACTCCTCAAACTCTTCAGCTCTTCATGAACTTCCAGTTTGTTCACTGACAGCCCCCACCCCAAAGTCATTATATGAAAACAACTTAATAAAGGCTAATTTCAATAATGAGAGCAGTTAAAAGCATTTGTCTATCCCAGGTCTCTCAGGAAGGACTCAGTTAATGGGTTAAAAACCTGAAATGCAGTCTCCACATCACGCTAACCATGCAATGAACCCTATATAACGACTCTGGTGTGTATTACATGTATATTAATATATAATATTACTCAGTAGCTGGGTGAATGACTGGGTGGACTGGACATTAACATTTAAACCACTATAAGTCCATGAGGGAAGGATCAGTAGCTGAAAGATGGTTGTATTATATACCTTTAAGTAATATTAAGGTTACTATGCTTATTAGCACTAATATACTATTATTATTATTATTTAATAATAATTATTAAAAAAAGAGCCTTGATAGTACAGGGGTTTAGTGCACCCTGTAATTAACACAGCTGCCTGCAATTTCTGCTGGTTCGAATCTCTCCAAGGCTCAAGGTTGACTCAGCCTTCCATCCTTTCTAAGGTAGGTGAAATGAGGACCCAGTTTGTGGGGGCAATAAAGCTGACTTTGTATAAAACATACAAAAGAATGAAGGCTATTGCTTAACGCATTGTAAGCCGCCCTGAGTCTTCGGAGAAGGGCGGCATATAAATCAAATTAAAAATAATAATAATAATAATAATAATAATAATAATAATAATAATAATAATAGTAGTAGTAGCTGAAAGATGATTGTATTATATACCTTTAAGTAACATTATTAAGGTTACTATGATTATTAGCATTGAGTAATATATTACATTATAATAATAATAGCTGAAAGATGATTGTATTATATACCTTTAAGTAACATTATTAAGATTACTATGCTTATTAGCACTGAGGAGTAATACATTACATTATTATAATAATAGCTGAAAGATGATTGTACTATGTACCTTTAAGTAACATTAAGGTTACCATGCTTATTAGCACTAATACATTTTAGTATAATAATAGCTGAAAGATGATTGTATTATATACCTTTAAGTAACATTATTAAGCTTACTATGCTTATTAACACTGAGGAGTAATACATTACATTATTATTATAATAGCTGAAAGATGATTGTATTATAGACCTTTAAGTAACATTATTAAGGTTACTATGCTTATTAGCACTGAGGAGTAATACATTACATTATTATAATAATGTAATTATATGTATGATAATTAGATTATCATACTGTATGATAATATATTACATTATTATAATAGTAGCTGAAAGATGATTGTGTTATATACCTTTAAGTAACATTATTAAGGTTAATATGCTTATTAGCATTAATATATTATTACTCAATGCTAATAACCATAGTATATATTATATTAATACATTATAATGTAATATATATTAATATAAACTATATTAATAGATTATAATTTATTATATATATATATATATATATATATACACACATATGCCTATATACATACATATACACACACATATATATAATTACTCAATGCTAATAACCATAGTATATATTATATTAATACATTATAATATAATATATATTAATATAAATTATAATAGATTATATATATATAATATATATATATATATATATTAAATTGGATGTTTTAAATTTTTGGGGTTTTAAATTAAGCCAAATTTATTTAATATTTTTAAATTATTTTAAATTGATGTTTATTCTGTTTTTAATTAGGCTGTACACCGCCCTGAGTCCTTCGGGAGAAGGGCGGTATAGAAATAAAATTATTATTATTATTATTATTATTATTATTATTATTATTATTATTATATACACACATATGCCTATATACATACATATATACACACACACACATATATATATAATTACTCAATGCTAATAACCATAGTATATATTATATTAATACATTATAATCTATATTAATATAAATTATAAGATTATATTATATATATATATATATACACACACATATGCATATATACATACATACACACACACATGTATATAATTACTCAATGCTAATAATCATAGTATATATTATATTAAAACATTATAATATAATATATATTAATATAAATTATAATAGATTATAATACACACACACACATATGCATATATACATACATATACACACACATATAATTACTCAATCCTAATAACCATACTAGCAATAATATTACTTAAAATTATATATTTCACTGCCTTATAAGCTTACTTGGGGAGGGGCGTTTGGAGAGCCCCCCTCCCTCCCTCCCTGGGGGGGCTATAAGGGGGGAGGGGGAGGACAACCACCCTGCCCTCCCCGCTTCCCCCCTCCGCTCACCGGGCGGCTGCCGACGTGGAGGAGGAGGAGGAGGAGGAGGCGTGGGGGAGGGGGAAAAAGAACCCCAGCCAGGATCGTTCCCGGCCTCGGCTGCAGAGCGGTTCGTTGGCTCTCGAGGAACGACTTCCGGGGATGCCCGACGTAGCCGCCCCTTCACCCCTCCCCGTGACCCGGAAGAAGAACCCTTCGGCCAGCACGTGCTGCGCTGGCTCCTGATTGGCCGCCGTTTCCCCTCCCCGGGTGTGAAGGGGGGGCTCAGCCAATGGGAGGGAGGGGCGCTGGGGCGCATGCGCACGCATCTTTCAGCGCTGGGAGGGTTCCGCAGCGTGGGAAGACTCGTTTTTCTTGGGGGAGGATCCCGGGATCTGGGTTGATCCCCCGTTTTGGAGGATTCGGTTACTCAGGGAAGGGCATTGCAAAGGAATAAATCTCTTATCTGGCATCGGATTATGCAGGCTTGATGGGGGTGGGTGAAATGTTTCCCTGCACAGGGAGGTAGTCCTCTTCTTACAACGGCTCACTTAGTGACCGCAAACCCGGTTTCTTTCCTGCAGTTTTCCTGTACAGGAAGTCCTCGATTTACAACGCTTCATTTAGTGACCATAAACCCAGTCCCTTTCCTAGAGTTTTCCTGTAAGGTAGTCCTCGACTTAACAGCGTTTCATTGAATGACTGTTAATGTGGTCTCTTTCCTGCAGTTTTCCTGTACAGGTAGTCCTCGACTTACAACAGTTCATTCAGTGACCGTAAACCCGGTCTCTTTCCTGCAGTTTTCCTGTACAGGTAGTCCTCAACTTACAACGGTTCATTCAGTGACTGTAAACCCAGTCTCTTTCCTGCAGTTTTCCTGTACAGGTAGTCCTCACTTACAACGCTCACTTAGTGACCACAAACCTGGTCTCTTTCCTGCAGTTTTCCTATACAGGTAGTCCTCGACTTAACAACGGTTCATTTAACGACTGTTAATGCAGTCTCTTTCCTGCAGTCTTCCTGTAAGATAGACCTTGACTTACAACGGTTCATTTAGTGACCCTAAACCCAGTCTCTTTCCTGCAGTTTTCCTGTACAGGTAGTCCTCGACTTACAACGGTTCATTCAGTGACCGTAAACCCAGTCTCTTTCCTGCAGTTTTCCTGTACAGGTAGTCCTCGATTTACAACAGTTCATTTAGTGATAATAAATGCGGTCTCTTTCCTGCAGTTTTCCTGTACAGAAGTCCTTGACTTAACAACCATTCATTTAGCGACCGTTCGAAATTACAGTAACCCTGAAAAATGCGACTTACGACTGTTTTTCACACTTACACCCAATACAGTATATCCATGATCACATGATCAAAATTCAGATCTCGGCAATGGACTCATATTTTATGACGGTCGCAGTGTCCCCCGAGAGGGGGTGTCACGTGGTCCCCTTTTTGTGACCCCCTGACAAGCCAAGTCAATGGGGAAAACCAGATTCATTGAAGAACTGTCTTCCTAACTTTAACAACCGCAGTGACTCACTTAACAACGGTGGCAAGAAAGGTCCGTAATGGGGGGCGAAACTCACGAAACAAATGTCTCACACGCCCTGAGTCCTTTGGGAGAAGGGCGGCATATAAATCCAATAAATAAAATAAAATAAACATAAATGTTGGGCTTGATTGTGGTTGTAAATCGAGGACTAACTGTAATGTTTAATTTAAGGAGGATTATTGGAGACGAGAGCCACAAGGGTGCTTGTGCCTACTTCGCTCCTCACTGCCCGGAGTTTTGTATGGACTGCAGATTTCGGTGGATGGTCAGACTACAACTCCCATCCTCTCTAACCTAAAGAGGTGTGGGGGTTTGGAGATGGAGCCCAGCACCTTGGACAGCACCATTCCATTCTCTATTATTCTCTATTCTATTCTCTCTTTTTCTTTCATTCCATTCTCTATTTTATTCTATTCTCTATTATTCTCTATTCTATTCTCTCTTCTCTTCTCTTCTCTTCTTCTCTATTCTATTCTCTGTCTCTTCCATTCTCTCTTCTATTCTATTCTCTCTTATTCTCTATTCTATTCTCTCCTCTTCCATTCCACTCTATTCTATTCTCTATTATTCTCTATTCTATCTTTCCTCTTCTCCATTCCATTCCATTCTTTATTCTCTTCTCTTCCATTCCATTCTCTATTTATTCTATTCTCTATTATTCTCTATTCTATTCTCTCCTCTCTCTTCTATTATTCTCTCTTCTATTCTCTCTCCTCTTCCATTCCTCTTCTATTCTATTCTCTCTTATTCTCTATTCTATTCTCTCCTCTTCCATTCCATTCTCTATTCTATTCTCTTCCATTCTCTATTCTCCTCTTCCATTCCATTCTCTATTCCTTTCTCTTATTATTCTCTATTCTATTCTCTCTTCTCTTCCATTCCATTCTCTATTCTACTCTCTATTGTTCTCTATTCTCTCCTCTTCCATTCCATTTTCTCTTCTCTATTATTCTCTATTCTATTCTCTTCTTCTCTTCCATTCCATTCTCTATTCTATTCTCTCCTCTTCCATTCCATTTCATTCTCTATTCTATTCTATTCTATTCTCTATTATTCTCTTTTCCATTCTCTATTCTATTCTCTATTCTTTCTCTTCCATTCCATTCTCTATTCAATTCTCTCTTCTCTTCCATTCCATTCCGTTCCATTCTTTATTCTATTCTCTATTATTCTCTATTCTCTTCTCTTCCATTCTCTATTCTATTCTATTCTATTCTATTCTATTCTATTCTATTCTATTCTATTCTATTCCTCACTCGTGACCAGCTCAGCCTGCCCACAAGATTTCAAAATCACAGTAATCCTAAACTCTTCATTTAGTGACCATAAATGCGGTCTCTTTCCTGGAGTTTTCCTGCACAGGTAATCCTTGACTTACAACAGTTCATTTAGCGACCATTTGAAGTTACAGCAGCATTAGAAAAAAGTGACTTATGATTGTTTTTCACACTTATGACCGTTGCAGAATCTCACACAATCAAAAGTCAGACACTTTTGTGTCAAAAGTCAACACTTCGCCACTGATTCATATTTGTGACGGTTGCAGTGACCTTCCGATGAGCAAAGTCAATGGGGGAAGCCAGGTTCAGTTAACCCACTGTGTGACTTGACTTAACGACGGCAGTGATTCATTAAACAACAGTGGCAAGGCAGGTCATAAAACGGGGGCAAAGCTCACTTTTAGAAGCGCCTCATTTAACAACCAAAATTTGGGGCTCCATTGTAGTCGTAATGGTACATGTATCATTAAAAAAAAAAAGGGATGCAATGGCTCAGTGGCTAAGATGCTGAGCTTGTCGACTGAAAGGTTGGCAGTTCAAATCCCTGGTGCTGCGTAACGGAGTGAGCTCCCGTGACTTGTCCCAGCTTCTGCCAACCTAGCAGTTCGAAAGCAGATTAAAAAAAAATGCAAGTAGAAAAGTAGGGACCACCTTTGGTGGGAACAGCGTTCCGTGCGCCTTTGGCGTTGAGTTACGCCGGCCACCTGACCACGGAGACGTCTTCGGACAGCGCTGGCTCTTTGGCTTTGAAACGGAGATGAGCATCGCCCCCTAGAGTCAGGAACGACTAGCAGAGATGTGCGAGGGGAACCCTTACCTTTACCATTAAAAGAAAAAGAAGGAAAACTACACATTGGAAGGTGGTGTAATTGCTTTATTCTGACTCAGTACACAAACAGAAGGGTGAGGGGTCTTACTAGAATGCATTCACAGATCAAGACCGCCTTCTCTCCCCCAAGAGGTTTGCAAGATGTTGAGGGCGAGACGGGAGGAGGGGGGGGATCCCCTCTCCTCGGGAAACCCCTAAACAGGGAGAAAGGCCAATAATGCTGGTTTTGTGGTTCTACCTACGAATTGCTACAGTCACAAGATGACCCCCCCCCCGGGCTTTGAGGGCCCAGCATTCCCACCACCTGTTCGCTTAAACCTTTGAGCCAACCTCGCCTTTCTACACACACAATTTACTACTCCTCTCCCACTTCTGACCTAAGGATGAACGGAAGATGACAAATGGGCAAAGAAAGAAGAAAGGAGACGGGATACGAAGCAAGGAAGCTGCGTTCGCACAACTCCTCGGCCGGAAAAATCTCTGGCCAGAAAGGGAAGGGGTTTCGTCTTGGAACACTTGAAGATTTGGGAGGTCTCTTTGGAGCAGCCGGAGATCCCGAGGTTTCTTCCCCAATCATGTTTTTTTTTCCAAAAGGAAACTCTTTTTATTAGGGGAGTAAATATTGCAAGTCTGCAACCCAGGGATTCCTGGATTTGCCAGCACAGGAAAAAAAAGACCACCATGATAATAGAAAAAACATTCCCAGGGGTCTCCTACGCCAGAATTCTTGGCTAAGAGTCACTGAAATACGGCTCATACGATACACTAATAATCCACCTTCAACTAGTAACTGTTTTTTGACAGTTGGGAATTGCCTCTCCCCAGGAAATAATTCCAAAGAGTCGAAGGACTTATTGTATGCTCTGGAGACCCTCTCCCTTTTCAGAGGCTTCACAAGGGCACAATAAGATCCTTTTCAAACAAATCCTTGCTTCTAACCATTTTACCAAATGCCACTAGTTATTTGAAGCACCATATATAATCTTTTTTTTTTTTAAAAGACTTGGGGTTTCAGGGACGACGAAGGAACTGATCCCAGGGGTATACGTCAGAAAATAAAGAGAGATGTTAAGCAGAGGCCCTTCTAGCATCCGGAGGGAAACCGTTACGGAGAAAAACCCAATTTGCGTTGTAAAAGGATCGCACAGGTGAGGGAGGGAGGGAGACGCATGCAAACTTCAACCGTCCTAGTCTAAGCACGCACGCCGTTTCTACAAAGGATGGGATGAAACCAGATTCTGGTGGGATCGAGGGTAGGAATTGAGCCTGAACGGAAAGACAAAAGAGAGGATCATCCTACGGGGCACAAAAGGGCCATGCCACTAACCTGCTGGTCCAATTTTCCCCCAGGTTTGCTCTGAAGCAATTGTGCTGCTTCCCTCCCAACCGTCCTATTCGGAAAGGAACTACCGTGTTAAAGGAGTGGATGCTCCTTAGGGTAGGAGGAGACAAGAGGGAAGTACCTAATGGGCTTTTAATCAAGAATACAAAAGAAGACGGCCGCCCAGAGGCGACCCAAGTAAAAAGACTTTATAATTAATCCAGTGTTTTTTTGTTTGTTTTTTTTCTCTCCTTTTCCTTTTTCTAAGAACGCAGTCCTGTCTTTTAGCTTAAAAACTCCGCCAATCACGGAGCGCATCTGTTCCTGGGTTTTTTAGTTTTTTTTTAAATGCCTTCGGCTGGCTCACAACCGAGTGGCTTCTTTTTTTTGCCAGAACTTTTAACCAAACCAGGGATTAACTAGTGCCAGCTCTTGTAATGTTCATAGAAGGAAGTTCCGTTTGCAAAAGGGACAAAGTCGCTGAGACACGCCGAACCTTTCTAAAAGGAAGAGGTGAAGGAGGCCTGCTTACAAGGTCAGGTTCAGGCCGCCCCAAGAGCTCAAAAGTGGGGGGGGGAGCCGTGCCAGGTTTGAGCACCCCCCCTCTCCTGCACCCCTGCGGCGGTTGGTGGTCTTCTCACTCGCAAAGAGAGGCTGGCTGGGTGGGAGGGAGGCAGGCAAGCCCTTAATTCGCGCAGGCGCTTTCGCTCCGTAAACTGAGCACGGCCTGGGCCAGTTTCCCCGCATCCAGCACCTGGCTGGCTTCGTTGGCGGGGCAGCCCTTGGAGTCCGCCCCCGAGCCGCAGCCGAAGGCATCGAAGTCCGCGTTGGAGTCCTGAGCGCTCCTCTCGTTGGCGTTGTCGAAGCTGTTCTTGCCGTGAAGCTGCTTGAGGTGCTTCCGGAGGACCGGCTTGTGGGCGAAGACCATGTCGCAGTAATTGCACCTGTGGGGCTTGTCCCCGCTGTGCAGGTTGAGGTGGTCCTGCAAGGAGCACTTCTGGGAGAAGGTCTTCCCACAGATCTTGCACTGGAAGGGCTTGATGCCGGCGTGGACTCTCATGTGCCGGTGGAGGTTGCCTTTCTGGGTGAAGGTTTTCCCGCACAGGAGGCACATGAAGAGCTTGTGCATCTTCAGGTGATTGGCGTAGTTCTCCAAGTGCCGGAAGACGCGGGTGCACTTGGGGCACTGGTGGTGCCACTGCAGGCCCTTGTCCACCCCGCGATTGCTGGGGCCGAAGAGGTCCTTGGAAGCCACGATGAGGTTGTCGGCCGGCGAGTAGGAGAGGGCGTAGTTGTGGAGCTGGCTCTGCTCCAGGTCGCCAACTCGGTTCTCCACGGTGGAGTTGATGAGAGAGTGCTGGGGCTCCGAGGAAGGGAGGGAACTCTGCTGTCCGGAGGAAACGAAAGGGGCGGGGTCCTTTTTACTCCCGGCCTCGGCCACCTCCCCGATGGACTCCACTTTCACAATCTGGATGTCGCTATCGTCCATGTCCATGCTGTCCTCCGAGGGCTGGAGGCAAGGCGAATCGGGCTGCAAGGAGTCTTCTTCCTCCTCCTCCTCGTCATCCTCCTCCTCCTCCTCCTCTTCCCCGCCACTGGCTCCGACAGCCTCCTTCGACTGGGAGGATTTGGCCCTGGCTTGGCTCCCCTCTTTGCTTTCCAGCTTCTGCTTCGGCCTGATGAACTTCCAGAGCGCCTCCGTGCATCGCTCCACGATGTGGCTCATCTGAAGGAAGCTGGCGGCCGTTAAATAGTTCACCAGCTCCATCTCGGGGAACTCCAGGACCCCGCTGTAGCAGGAGAGGAGCAGCTGCCGCCCGACTTCCGAGCTCTGCAGGATGGAGATCTTGACCTCCCTGGAGTCGTTGAGCAGGAACTGATCTCTCAGGAAGGGCGAGCCGGCGGCGAAGACGATCTTGTGGCCGTGGACCTCCAGGTCGTCGATACGGACGGTGACGTCGCAGAATTTGTTCTCCTCTCTCAGCTTGTTCATCTTCTGCAGCATCGAGTCCCCGTAGTTGTCAAACTGGAAGTGGAGGCTGTCCGTTCTCTCGGTCATGTTGACAAAAGCCCTAAAAGGGTGTCAATTTAAGAGAATAATCTGTAAGCGAGGAGTTCGGGCGAGGGGTCCTCGACGCGCTCCGAGGCTGGCGGGTTTCTTGCAGCATCTCGTGACCAAACTGGGTAACATCATCAGCGGAAAAGGGAGTGGGGTGTGCAGGGAGGAGGAGGAGAACTGTGGGGTCTTTGGTGCTCTCTGAGCTTGGTGGTTTTCTTGCAGGCATTTCATGACCCAAACTAGGTAATGTCATCAAGGATAACTAGCAGTGATGATGTTACCTAGTTTGGTAATAAAACGTCTGCAAGCTTGGAGAGCACCAAGGACCCCCCCCCTGTTTTCCTCCTCCCTCCTCCTCCCCCTCCCCTCCACAAACCCTACTCCCTTGGAGCACTGATGACGTTACCTAGTTTGGTAATGAAACGTTTGCAAGAAAACCACCCAGCTCAGAAAGCACCAAGGACCCCACAATCCTCCTCCTCCCAATCTCACTCCCTCTAGCACTGATGACGCTACTTAGTTTGGTAATGAAACGTCTGTAAGAAAATCACCAAGATCAGAGAGCACCAAGGACCCCACAATTCCCTTCTTCTCTCCTCCTCCCCCACTCCACAAACCCTACTCCCTTGAATTTAAACAGGAGGAGAAGGGAAAGGAGAAGAGGAGGAGGACAACTGTGGCGTCTTCAGTGCTCTCTGATCTTGGTGATTTCCTTAGAGATGTTTCATGACCCAGCTAGGGAACAACACCCATGCAGGCGGGAGTGGGTTTTATGGAGAGGAGGAAGGAGGAGGAGGAGGAAGAGAAGAGTGGGAGAAGGCAGAACGGGGGAGGGGAGGAGAAGAGGACAACTGTGCATGTTTTCTTTCAGACATTTCATGACCCAACTGAAGTACATCATCAGTGCATGCCTTAAGGATGCCAAGCATCAGGATTTGGGTTTGGCTAGTCTAGAGAAAAGGAGGACTAGGGGAGACATGACAGCAGAATTCCAGTATTTGAGGGGCTGCCCCAAAGAAGAGGAGGGAGTCAAATTATTCTCTAAAGCACCTGAAGGCAGGATAAGAAACAACGGATGGAAACTAATCAAGGAGAGAAGCAACCTGGAATTAAGGAGAAACTTCCTAACAGTGAGGACAATTAACCAGTGGAACTGCTTGCCACCAGAAATCGTGAGTGCTCCATCGCTGGAAGTTTTTAAGAGACTGGACAGCCACCTGTCTGAAATGATATGGGATCTCCTGCTTGAGCAGGGGGCTGGACTAGAAGACCTCCAAGGTCCCTTCCAGCTCTATTCTACTCTAATCAGTCATTCCCCAAGTGAGGCCTGAAGGGCCAATCCCATAACCTCAACCGAGACCTCACCCCAACCTCCCCTCATCTCCTTCCTTCTTTCTCTCCTTCTTTCTCCTTCCTTCCATCTTTTTCTCCTTCCTTCCTTCCGTCTTTCTCTTCTTCCTCCCTTCTTTCTCTCCTTTTCTCCTTCCTTCCTTCTTTCTCTCCTTCCGTCTTTCTCTCCTTTCTCCTTCCTTCCTTCTCTTTCTTCCGTCTTTCTTCTTCTTTCTCCTTCCTTCCGTCTCTCTCTTTCCTTCCGTCTTTCTCTCCTTCCTTCCGTCTTTCTCTCCTTCCTTCCATCTTTCTCACTTTCCGTCCTTCTTTCTTTTCTCTCCTTCTTTCTCCTTCCTTCCTTCTCTCCTTCCTTCCTTCTCTTTTTTCATCTTTCTCTTCTTTCTCTTCTTTCCTTCTTTCTCTCCTTCCTTCTTACTCTCCTTCCTTCCTTCTTCTTTCTTCCATCTTTCTCTCCTTCTTTCTCCTTCCTTCCGTCTTCTCTCCTTCCTTCCTTCTTCTCTCCTTCCTTCCATCTTTCTCTCCTTCCTTCCATCTTCTCACTTTCCGTCCTTCTTTCTTCTTTCTCTCCTCTCTTTCTCCTTCCTTCCTTCTCTTTCTTCCATCTTTCTCTTCTCTTTCTCTTCTTCCCTTCTTTCTCTCCTTCCTTCTTACTCTCCTTCCTTCCTTCTCTCCTTTCTTCCATCTTTCTCTCCTTCTTTCTCCTTCCTTCCGTCTTTCTCTCCTTCCTTCCTTCTCTTTCTCTTTCTTCCTTCCTTCTCCTTCCTTCCATCTTCTCTCCTTTCTCCTTCCTTCCTTCTTCTTTCTCTCCTTCCTTCCATCTTTCTCTTCTTTCCTTCTTTCTCTCCTTCCTTCCTTCCCTTCTCTCCTTTCTTCCATCTTTCTCTCCTTCTTTCTCCTTCCTTCCTTCCTTCTCTCCTTCCGTCTTTCTCTCCTTCTTTCTCCTTCCTTCCTTCCTTCTCTCCCTGCTGGGATGGCCTTGGGGGTCCCCCGACTTCCCTGCACCCTCTAACCTCAACCTCGCCGGGGGAGGGGGGGGAAACCTCCACCATTGACGTCCCTCCCTCCTTCCCCGCCCACCGCCTTTGCATACCCCTCCCCTCCCGCCCTCTTGCCAGGGCAGAGTTTAAGGAAAGGGGCGGCAGCTACGCGCGGGGCTCCAGTGGCCGCGAGTTCCACCGGCCCCCAGCGAAGAGGCGGGTCCGGGTTTAAAGCCCCCCCCCCGGCCGGGCTTGGGCTCACCTCCTCTCCGCCTCCCCCCGGCGCCGCTGACCGGGGTCCGCCCGGGGGGGGAGGGGGGAAGGCCCGAGCGGGGGGGGGGGGCGGACGCCTGGCCGAGAGACCGGCTCGCCGCCACCGGAAGCTGCTCTGCCCCACTTCCGGCGCCGCCTCTCTTTCTTCCTCCCCCTCCTTCCCTGAGCCGGCGCGAAGAAAAGAAAGGGGGCGGGGCCGACGCGGGTTGCTAAGGAAGAGGCGGGGCCGCCCAGCCGGAAGTGCGCGCGCAGCCTCCCTGTTCCTTCCCTCCCTCCCTCCCTCCCAGGAGCCGGAAGGGGCACGCACCGCTTCCGGCCGGGCCCGGTCACGTGACTGGGGTTGGGATCGGGGGCGCTGGGGCGGCCTGACAGAGAGGCCCGTCAGTGGCGGCGGCGGCGGCGGCGCTGCTGCTCCCGCGGCGGGCGAGAGGGACGGCGGACCGGCCCATCTGGATGAGGGTGAGCCAGACGGGAGCTTTCCCCCCCCCACACCACCAATCGATGAGGGGAGGGGGGGGTCGCCGGAGGGGGGCGGGGCCGGCGTTGGGGGAGGGGGAGGAGCCTAACGAGTGGGCGGGGCTCTTCAGCAGGGGGGGGTTGGGGGGGGAGAGAAGCAGGAGGGCCCAATAATCCATCATCGATCATGGCAGCCCAAGCCAATCCAGTCAATAAAGGGGAGGGTGGGGGGGGTCTGTTTTGGTCCCCAAGGGTGCTGAAGACCCCCCCCTCCTCGTTATGAATGCCCCCCTCCCGCTTTGCTCGTGGGGGAGGAGGAGGAGGAGGATGCTTTGGGGTGAACCCCCTCTCTTTGATCCACCCTGATCCTATTCCAGAGCTTGGCATCCCTTGGATGGGGCACCACCAGGAGATCCCAAATGGGTTAGGGCGTTTGCGGGGAGGGTGGAAATAATGTCCTCAACTTGCCAGCCTTGGGATCTCCTGGTGGTGCCCCATCCAAGGCATTCCCTTCCTTCCTTCTTTCTCTCCTTCCTTCCGTCTTTCTCCTCCATTTTTTCTCTTCCTTTCTTCTTTCTCTCTTTTCTTCTTCTTCCGTCTGTCTCCCTCCTTTCTCCTTCCCTCCTTCTTTCCTTCCTTCTCTCCTTCTTTCTTCCTTCTCTCCTTCCTTCTTTCTCTCCTTCTTTCTCTCCTTCCTTCCTTCTTTCTCTCCTTCCTTCTCCCTTCCTTCCTTCTCTCCTTCTTTCCTTCTTCTCTCCTCCTTTCTCCTCTTCCTTCCTTCCTTCTCTCCTCCTCTTCTCCTTCCTTCTTCTTTCTCTCCTTCCTTCTCCTCCTTCTTTCCTTCCTTCTCTCCTTTCTCTCCTTTCTCCTTCCTTCCTTCTTTCTCTCCTTCCTTCTCTCCTTCTTTCCTTCCTTCCGTCTGTCTCTCTTCTTTCTCCTTCCTCCTTCTTCTCTCCTTTTGTCCCTTCCTTCTCTCCCTTTTTTTCCTCCTTCCCTCCTCTCCTTCCTTCTTTTTCTCCTTCTTTCTTCTCCTTCCTCCTTCTTTCTCTCCTTCCTTCCTCCCTTCCTTCCTTCTCTCCTTCTTTCTCCTCCCTTCCGTCAGGAGATCCCAAATGGGTTGAGGCGGTTGGGGAGGAAAAAAAAAATAATGTCCCCAACTTGCCAGCCTTGGGATCTCCTGGTGTCCCCCATCCAAGGCATTCCCAGCTCTGGAACAGGATCAGGATGGATAAAAGAGAGGGGTCACCCCAAAGCATCATCATCATCATCATTCCATTCCCCTCCCCCCCTCCCCTGAGCAAGAGGCGAGGGGCATTCATAACAGGGATGGGAGGGGGGTCTCTCAGCACCCTTGGGGACCAAAACAGACCCCCACCCCAACCTCCCCTTTATTGACCACAGCTACCTGGCTTGGGCTGCCATGATCAATTATGGATTATAATCCATAAAGAGGTAAAGAGAGGAGGAAAGGGAAGCGCAGAAACCCCCCCCCCTTTCTTTCCCCCCTCCCTCCCCTTTCAAAAGAAATAGATAATTTCCATTTCGTTTCTTTAACTCCCCATAAATTCACCCCGATTCCACCTTGACTCCCAAGGCCATTTTTATATTTATGTTCACGAAGGGAAGCTTGGCCAGGAAAAAAAAACCCTTTTGCCTGCTGTTACTTGGGAAGAAACAAGCGAGGCATTTGTGTTCTGGTTATTCTGTGTATCCCAGGGGTCTGCAACCTTCAACACTCAAAAGAGCCATTTGGACCCGTTTCCCACAGAAAAGAAAACACCGGGAGCCACAAAACTCCTCCGGTGCCTGACTATTTCCTGAGCGGCCACAAAACTAGCATATGTAGTTGAATTCAATGTTCTGTTTTCTTCTGAAACTTCTTTTCTTGGGTTTATCCATGGTTGGCCTACCGGGGGTTGAAAAGTTCAATAAATGGCGTGCCGGCGGGTGTTACACATTGGCGGTTGCGACACATATTTTGAGTGACGGAGCCGCAGCAGAGGGGTGAAAGAGCCACATGCGGCTCCAGAGCCGCAGGTTGCTGACCCCTGGTGTATCTCTTCAAAAACTTACTAAAGTTCCCTTTGAACTGGCTATTTATTTACATCTTGTGGGTTTATCATCAGAGGACATCCTGTTGATAAACACAGACATGTATACTTAATCTAGGCACCCACACACATCTACTTGCACAGGGTGTGTCTGTGCGTGGGTGTGCATATTGTTATGTTTGTGTACGTGTGTGTGTGTATATATACAGAGAAAGAGAGACCCACAGCTTCTAAACTGAAAGTAGGGGCCCAATGATGACAAGTTAGAGAGCTTGTCAAAATGTTGCCAAAAAAGAAAACCTTTAAAGTGTTGGTTAGGATTTTAGCCAAAGTTTTAAAGGACCGTACAAAGTGTTTTGTTAGGATTTTAGAGGATTTTGAGCTGGGATTTTAGCCAGGATTTTAAGATTTTAAGCATTTTAACTAACAGACTTTTAATGACGTGGGAAAGCACCCGAGATTTATATATATATATATGTATGTAGGTCTTTGGTTATTCGGGTTTTCTCCCGTGTAAAATTGGAGGTGTCTTGGCAACGTTTCGACGAAGTCTCATTCGTCATCTTCAGGCTGATGTTTTCGGCTTCATGCTTCTAAGAGCAATCGCAGGAGAAAACCCAAATAACATTGCTCCTAGAAGCATGAAGCCGAAAACACCAGCCTGAAGATGACGAATGAGACTTCGTCGAAACGTTGCCAAGACACCTCCAATTTTACGCGGGAGAAAACCCAAATAACCAAAGACCTACATACAAACACCCGCGAAAACCTCAGAAAACAAATACATATATATATGTATATATATACATACATACATACATATATATATATATATATATATATATACATACATACATACATATATATATATATAACACCCACACCCACACCCACATGAAAAGAAAGAAAGAAAGAAAGAAAGAAAGAAAGAAAGAAAGAAAGAAAGAAAGAAAGAAAGAAAGAAAGAAAGAAGCAGACATACTGCGAACTCCGGAACTTAAAATTTTAAAAGAATTAAAATTTTATTTTACTAAGCTTTCATCAGCCATCTGCTGACATCGTCAGAGTATTAAACTACCATTACAGAGATCTCTGCCTTTATATGCCATTATTCAATTTGGCCCTTGCGAGTGTAATAGGCCTTTTCAGCCGTTTCACACTAGAATAGTTTGTAATATATATATTATATATTATATTATAATATATATAATATACATATACATACATACATATACAGAGAGAGAGAGAAACAAGAACATCAATATTTCTTTTGAGTTGGAATGTTTTATGCTTTTGTTTTCAAGAAACAGAGTTTATCCTGACAAATATGCTGCCATAGATACGTGTGATGGGATTGTTGGAGTGTGGCATCCTTGGTGGTCTCTGAGCTGGGTTGTTTCCTTGCAAACGTTTCATGACCCAACTAGGTAACATTATCAGTGCTAGAAGGGAGTGGGGTTTCCTGGGAGGAGGCGGAAGACTGTGAGGTCCTTGGTGCTCTCTGAGCTTGGCGGTTTTCTTTCAGACGTTTCCTGACCCAACTAGCTAACATCATCAGAGTGCATTGGGGATTGTTGGGAGGGCACCAAGGGTGTTCTTGTCAGAAATTTCTTTTGGAACTGACGTTGGGAAGAAAATCCCTCATTATAATTCCACCGGAACCTGGTGAAAACGCAAAGAACCAGCTTTTCTGGTGAAAACCTCTCAACGTTATTATTCATGCCGGTGTGAGGTCTTTGCGTTTATAAAGCGATGTTTCCTCGAGTCGTTTTTTTTTTTCTTTCCGAAACAAGTTCCATCATTACGCTGATGAAGTTTATTGTGTGTGGGTTAATCTTGGAGCCGGCTCTTAAATTCCATTTAAAAGGAAATGTGGAAGGAAATCGAATGATTACTGTTTCTCCTGCTTACGACAGATCTGCTGTTAAACCTCATAGTTTGCGTGTTGTACGACATTGCTCTTGCATAGAAATTTAAGAAAACCCCTGAATTGTAATACGCTTTTTACCAACACTGGTGGATCTATTGGAGTGGCTCTTTTTGCAGTGGGCTCACATCGACAGATGCCTCAAAAGGTGATTGTGGCACGTGGCTATTGCTAATATTCAATGTTAATATTCATTAACATTGTGTAATGCTATCCCGTATTCAATATATTTTGTCGGTGCAGGAAGGACAAATCTCAGAGACCAACAGGATTGGAAAAAACTGCTTAACTCCATTTCGACATTTTTTTTTTTTTTTAAAACAAAGGTTGCCTTTTGTGGTTTTGAAAGTTAAGAAAAGTGAAGGGGGAACTCTAAATCAGCTTCAGATGTTTCAAGGGTTACCTAATGACCCTCAGAAATTGCAAAAGGCTATTGTGTAAAAAAAAGAAGAAGAAGAAGGAAAGGAATTGCCTTCGCTTCAACCAGGAACAGGCGATAATAAACATGTATGCACAATGCATGACTCAGAATTTCTTCTCCTTTCCTGATAATAACGTTCAAAGCCATTTCAGAGCTGTCAGAAGAACTAATAAAATTGTTTTTTTTTTCTAATAGCGATAATCCGGGAGGGGTGCGTAAAATTGAATCCTGCCATTCGTGTTTTAAAACAGACAGCGGGGATGTTTTATTCCGCCGGCAAATAGTCTCTGATTTTAGAAGGAAGCTGGATGAAGTAATCCACCAATAAATTCCAGGGTTTTTATATCTGTGTCTAGAGATCAGCCCCACCATGGCACCAGCCTTATCTGGAGTTAATTATATTACTTACTCTCATGACCTGGATGTTGCTTGTTGGTTTTCTTTTGATTTTTGTTTTTTTTTTAATTTGATTTGTGGGCGTCAGGATTTAGATGGCCAGGTAAACAAATCATATTAAAAGTTCAAGGTTGACTCAGCCTTCCATCCTTTCTAAGGTAGATGAAATGAGGACCCAGTTTGTGGGGGCAATAAGCTGACTTTGTATAAAATATACAAAAGAATGAAGGCTATTGCTTAATGCATTGTAAGCCGCCCTGAGTCTCTGGAAGAGTTTGGGGTTGCAGGGCGACCAACCGGTCCAAACGTAACCACCTTGGTTTTCCTTCCCCTCCCCCAGTGCCGTTCCGAAAGACAAAGACAGGCAGTGCTTCAAGTTACGGCAAGGGATCGACAAGAAGATCGTCATCTATGTGCAACAGACCACTAACAAAGAATTGGCCATCGAGAGGTAAGGCGGCACCTGTCGGGCCTCGGCGCCAGCGCTTAAGGCTTGGCCAGGTGAGAGAACGGTCTCCATGTTCCTCTTCGCCTCCTTTGGCGCTACATCAGGGGTGTCCAATCTTGGCGACTTTAAGACTTGAGGACTTCAACTGTTCTGACCTAAGCTTCCTTAGAAAGCATAAAGCACAGTCTTAGTCCCGGCAAACCTCTTTTATTCATACGGCTGTGAATTATTCCCAGTCCGAAAGGCTTCACAAACAGTCTTTCAGGGAAATGTTTATAAACACCCACCTTATCTCTCTTGGAACGATGCCAGAGAACTAATTGCCAAACGCAGGGCAAGGCCAAACTTGGCACAGAGTCAAACAGAGCTTTCCAAAGCTTGAACCGACCAGATGAACTAATTGCTTCCTGCAAAAGCTCACGTCCCGTTCGCTCCTCTTTTATGTCTCAGGGGAGGAACCAATCATCTCCAAGCCTTACTCCCAAGTCGACCCTGTTTTTAATTGTCTTCTGGCAGTTCTGCGCATGCGCATACTAGGAACAGGCTCAAACTGTTCTTCGGCCTCGCTGATGTCAGACTCTGGAGGCTCTGGAGGCAGCACATAACTACCAGATGGCCTTGGCTCCCTCTCTGCCTCCGATGCAGAGCCCTCATCCGAGCCTTCCCCAGACTCCAGGGACTGGCCCACGTTCCTCCCCAACCTCCTCACTGTCCAAATCTGCTGCCAGCTCTGCTGGCCGCTGGCAGGCCACAACATCAACTCCTAGAATTCCCCCTCAGCCAGCCATGCTGGCTGGGGAATTCTGGGACTTGAAGTCCACAAAATCTTAAAGTCGCCAAGGTTGGATACCGCTGCTCGAGATATTTCAATATCTGCTGGGTTTTCCCTCAAACTCACCTGGGGAAGCCAAAAAATACTGGACAAAAATACATATGTGGTTGGAGAAGACGATACAACAACATATTGAACTGAAACCCGAAAAATTTTTGTTGGGGATTTTACCAGAAACTTGTAGTAAAGAGAATGTATATTTGATTATTCATGTAATAACCGCAGCTAGGATTGTATTTGCACAAAATTGGAAAAGTGAAGAGATTCCTACGATGAGAATGGAAAATATTAGAATGTGCAGAAATGAATAGGTTAACACTTGCAATCAAAGAGAAGGAACAAACTGAATTATTATATTGTATGGGAACTGTTTTACCGATGGCTAGAGAATAAATCTGAAAGTTAGACATAAAAGTAGATCAGTGAAATACAGAAAATACACTAATAGAATTAAATAAGTTAAGAGAATTGTTACAGTATTAGGCGTGCTATGTATATCAATATTAAGTTTAGAATAGAATAGAATAGAATAGAATAGAATAGAATAGAATAGAATAGAATAGAACAGAACAGAACAGAACAGAACAGAACAGAACAGAACAGAACAGAATAGAATTCTTTATTGGCCAAGTGTGATTGGACACACAAGGGATTTGTCTTTGGTGCATAAGCTCTCAGTGTACATAAAAAGACAAGATACATTCATCAAGAATCATAAGGTACAACACTTAATGATAGTCATAGGGTACAAATAAGCAATCAAATCATACTAAGGAACAGTATCAATATAAATTGTAAGGATACAAGCAAGAAAGTTACAGTCATGGAGTCATAAGTGGGAGGAGATGGGTGATAAGGAACGATGAGAAGATTAATAGTAATGCAGACTTAGTAAATAGTTTGACAGTGTTGAGGGAATTATTTGTTTAGCAGAGTGATGGCATTCGGGGGGAAAACTGTCCTTGTGTCTAATTGTTCTGGTGTGCAGTGCTCTATAGCGTCGTTTTGAGGGTAGGAGTTGAAACAATTTATGTCCAGGATGCGAGAGGTCTGTAGATATTTTTCCCAGCCCCCTTTTTGACTCGTGCAGTAGACAGGTCCTCCATGGAAGGCAGGTTGGTGGCCATTGTTTTTTCTGCGGTTCTAACTATCCTCTGAAATCTGTGTTTGTCTTGTTGGGTTGCAGAGCCAAACCGGACAGAATAGATAAATAGAATAGATAAATAACGAATATGGCTGTAAGTTTTAATTGTTATTGCACAAGACGTTTGTACTCCAGCAACATACTGTCTAATGGAAGATGGATTGTTTGTATTAAAATAAAGTTTAAAAAAATTAAAAACCCAGCTGGGGAAAGCTCAAGCTCCACCTTACCTATTCTGGAAAGCCGTCCTGGGAAATCTGGTGTCCTTTTTCAGGCTAAAAAAAAATGAGGAGTGGTTTTTCAGAGTAGAGTCTCAAAGTGGGATGGGTGGGCTGCCTTTGCTTCTTCTGGATTTGATCAGGGCCCTGGGAGGCCTTGTTATCGGGGTCCACTGTCTTGCCAATCTCCTTCTTCTTCATGTTTGCAGATGTTTCGGCCTCCTTCTCAGTCCCGGAAAAGACGTGCAAAGCGGAGACATGCATTTGCTGGATTTGGTAAGTGGCCCTTCTGTTCCTCACCCCCGCTCCCTCCGAAGGTGCCCCCATCCCTTCCTAACCGCATGCTCTGGGGCAGCGGTCACCCACTTGTGGTCCGTGGACCACTGGTGGTCCGTGAGAAAATTTTGGTGGTCCACAGAAAAATTATTTGCATTTTTTATATTGCACTAAATCTGGGGTCTTCAAAACTACGGCCCCTGAGCTGGATACATGCAATGAACGTTTGTGTTGCTGCAGAGAGTCTCCCCCTTCACGGTCTTTTTGTGCGGGTCGGAGGGGGGCAGAAATTCCGACTCGGGGTCTGCTTCAGCCTCCTGGTGTGGGGCTTTGGGCGAAGGCTGGAGGGAAGAGCCGCTGGTGGCGAAGAGCCGGAGGGCCTCGTTCCAGTGGGACTGCCTCATGGCCTGGAACTGGCTGACCATCTCAGCCCGCTGAGCCTCCAGGCACCGGTACCTGGCCTTGCACTCCCGCAGGTCTTCCCTCTGCTTGGAAAGCCTATGCTCCTAGTCCTCAGGGAGGTGATTCTGCTGAGCCTCCTTCTCGGCCAGATCCAATCTGAACTGAGCTGTTTTGCCAACTCTTTCTCATGGTAGCTGCTTAGCTCCAACAACTGCTTCCTGATGGGGCCCTAAGGAGCCCGGGCAGGCAGGCGAGGAGTGGAGTGGAGTGGAGGGGCAAGTAGAGGCCAGCGAGGCATCCCTCCACATGAGTGACATCAAGTTGGCCACGCCCACCCAATCACATGACCATCTAGCCACACCCACCCAGCCGGTCATTAGGCTCATCATATTAGTGGTCCGCGGATTTAAAAATTTGAATTTAGTGGTCCCTGAGGTCCGAAAGGTTGGTGACTCCTGCTATGGGGCGTGCTGTGTGTTCCATCCCCCCCTCTCTCTGCTGCTCTCTTTAGGAGTCCATGGGGAAAAGCTCAGACGGGAAATCGTACATCATCACCGGGAGTTGGAACACCAAGTCTCCGCACTTCCAAATAGTGAACGAGGAAACGCCCAAAGGTTCGTGAGGGCCTGGGTCAGCGGTATGCAATTCGCGGCTCTGGAGCCACATGTGGCTCCTTCATCCCTCTGCTGCGGCTCCCTGTCGCTTCAAAAATATGCGTCACCATCGCCAATGTGCGTGATTTATTGAGCTTTTCGACCCATCTTTTTCGGAGTTCAAAATGTTTTTGTTGCATGCAGAAATAAAAATGGGTTTTCTCTTTAGCAGGTCATTGAGTTCATAAATGCAGCACACTATAGTTTTTTTATACAGAGCGTAAAAGTAAGGAATGATATATGCAGTGTTATCTTCATTTTAGAGGTTTTGTGGCTCCCGGTGTTTTCTTTTCTGTGGTAAACGGGTCCAAATGGCTCTTTGAGTGTCTAAGGTTGGTGACCCCTGGCCTGCGTGGTAGTGCCACCCCAATCCATGGGGCAGTGATGAAGAATGGGAATGGAAATGGAAATAGGAATGGGAATTAAATAGAATAGAATTACAGAGTAGAGTAGAGTAGAGTAGAGTAGAGTAGAGTAGAGTAGAGTAGAGTAGAGTGTCAGACTTCGATGCTATCTCAAAATAAATGAATTTCCAAACTGCCAATCTTTAAGGAAATCTTCTCTTTATTCGAGCACAGCAACCGGATCATGACTCGATGCGGACAAGACTGACCTTTTGCCCCCCAATCCCTCCCTTTCCGATCCCCAATTATCTGCTTCTCATTGGCTATCTTCCAAGTCACTCCACTGACTTCTTGTCCCGTCATTTCACAGAATGTTCCCCCCCCTCTTCATTTCCACGGAGACCGGGCTTCAAAGGGATTTAGCAGGCAAAAGTTCAGGGCTTATCTCTCTCCTCTCTATGCCAGCGGTGAGACACTGACATCGAGTAGAGTAGAGTAAAATGGAACAGAACAGGATAAGTTATCCAAGGGACCATCTCTTGCTGGTCACATCTATCTGGCCCATCAGAGTGGGGATGCAGGGAATGTTGCGAGTCCCAACCCCAAGGGAGATACACCTGATGGGACACAGAAGAAGGGCCTTCTCCGTGGTGGCTCCCACTCTCTGGAACATCATTCCTCCAGAGATTCGAACGGCCCCCACTCTTCAAAAGGCGTTGAAGATCTGGTTTTGCCAGAGGGCCTGAGGAACCCAGAGCTGGATGGAGCCCATTACATGGCTCGTGTGATCTACTGTCGCTGGGGCGGGGGGTTGGGAGGTGGGGAGGGGGATGATTTTGTTATATTGTACTCTATTAATTTATTTGATGCTTTTTGTTAGTTTTTATTGTTTTAAATGTAGTTTTTATATCCTGTAAACCGCCTTGAGTCGCCATGGGCGAATAGGCTGAAATATAAATTCATTCAATCAATCAATCAATCAATCAATCAATCAATAAAACAGGACAGAACAGAATGAATAGAATGATAGGATAGGATAGGATAGAATATAAATAGAATAGAATAGAATAGAATAGAATAGAATAGAATAGAATAGAATAGAATAATGGAAAATAGAATAGAATAGAATAGAACAATAGAATAAAACAATTACAGAATAGAATAGAATAGAATTACAATAGAATAGAATAGAATTAAAGAACAGAACAGAACAATAGAATAAAAATTTCAGAATAGAATAGAATAGAATAGAATAGAATAGAATAGAATAGAATAGAATAGAATTTTTTATTGGCCAATTGTGATCGATACACAAGGAATTTGTCTCCAGTGCAGAAGCTCACAGTGTACATATAAACAGCAAATTTCAGTTTCAGTTTATTTAGATTTATATACCGTTCAGGGCGGTGAACAGCCAAGATAAAACACATACAGTACAAAATTTAAAAAACAATTTTTATTTTTTATTTTTTTTAAATTTGATTTATATGCCGCCCTTCTCCGGAGACTCAGGGCGGCTTACAATGCGTTAAGCAATAGCCTTCATACTTTTGTATATTTATACAAAGTCAGCTTATTGCCCCCACAAACTGGGTCCTCAATTTACCTACCTTAGAAAGGATGGAAGGCTGAGTCAACCTTGAGCCTGGGGAGATTCGAACTTGCAGTAATTGCAGGCAGCTGAATGTTAATAACAGGCTATTAGTCTGCTGCGCCATCAGGCCCCTTTAAAACGTATTAAACAAATTTGGCCCATACTAATTAAAATACCCCTGTTTTTAAAAACAAATTAAAATTAGACAATTAAAAAGAGTTAAGCCAGCCCAGCTTGTTGAAATAGGAAAGTCTTGAGGGCGCGGCGGAAGGTGCGTAAATCCGGGATCCTCCGTATCTCCGGTGGGAGTTCGTTCCACAGGGCAGGTGCCCCCACAGAGAAGGCTCTCCCCCTGGGGGCCGCCAGTCGACACTGTAATAGGACATAGGCCATAAATCATAGTTACAAACAACCATTGAGAAATCGTAAGGAGCCAATGGGAGACAATGAGAAAAAGATGGGAAATGAGACAGTGCCGTGGGAATTAAGCGTTCAGGTAGAGTGATGACACGGTGGAAAAAATTCTTGCCTGGTTGTTTTGGCATGCAATGCTCTGTAGAGGCATCCTGAAGTAAGTTCGAATCTCGCCAGGCTCAAGGTTGACTCAGCCTTCCATCCTTTCTAAGGTAGGTAAATTGAGGACCCAGTTTGCGGGGGCAATAAGCTGACTTTGTAAAAATATACAAAAGTATGAAGGCTATTACTTAACGCATTGTAAGCCGCCCTGAGTCTCCGGAGAAGGGCGGCATATAAATCAAATTTTTAAAAAAAGGGGGGGAGAAGCTGAAAGAAATATTCCCCAAATCCCCTTGTGCTCCCAGAGTGGAGGCTGGATCCTCCAGGTCACCTTAGTGGAACATACAGGCTCGGGGATCCACCCACTCCACCTTACCCCATCCCTGTGGAATATTCTGGGTGAGATTCAGAAATTTTCCTGCCCAGCCTGAAGATGCTGCTGTGGACAGAGTCTTCTTGCCTTGCCCTTCACGGTCCAGCCGCAGCCCATTCTCTAACCATTAGGTTTTGCCTTTCTCCTCCTCCTCCTCTGCAGACAAGGTGCTCTTCCTGACCACAGCTGTGGATTTGGTGATTACGGAGGTGCAGGAGCCCGTCCGCTTCCTCCTGGAGACCAAAGTCCGCGTCTGTCCCCCGAATGAGAGGCTCTACTGGCCTTTCAGCAAGAGAAGCTCGACGGAAAACTTCTTCCTAAAATTGAAGCAGGTGAGACATCTGAGCCCCTTTCCTCCTCCCCACCCTAATTCCTAACCCAGGGGTCAGCAACCTGCGGCTCTGGAGCCGCATGTGGCTCTTTCATCCCTCTGCTGCCGCTCCCTGTCGCTAGTCGGCTCCGCAATTGATAGGGCTTTCGGTTAGGACAGGTAGAGGAAAGAAGGATGCCGTGCTAAGAGGAGACTCTATGGTGGGGGAACCGGACTTCGGGTCGGCTCCAGAATTGATAGGGCTTTCGGTTAGGACAGGTAGAGGAAAAAAGGACGCCGCGCTAGGAGGAGACTCTATGGTGGGGGGGGGGTGAGAAGTGGACTTCTGGTCAGCAGAGAAAAAAAGGATGCCGTGCTAGGAGGAGACTCTATGGTGGGTGAACTGGACTTCCAGTCGGCAGAAGAAAAAGGACGCCACACTAGGAGGAATCTCTATGGTGGGGGAACTGGACTTCCGGTCGGCTCCAGAATTGAATGCGGGGCTTCTGGTTGTGGCTCTTTGAGTGTTTTAAGGTTGCCGACTCCTGTCCTAGCCTGTTGGATGGAGGGGAGGTCTATTCCACACAGACAAGAACAATTAAAGTGGGTCCCTGAAACATTTCTGTTAAGCTTTGAACCCAACCCCGACCGATGTTGTTGATCTGTTGCTATAGATCAAGCAGAAGGACCGAAAGACCAGCACCGACACTCTCTACGAAGTGGTGTGCCTGGAGAGCGAATCCCAAAGGGAAAGGAAGAAAACCACTGCCAGCCCCGCCATCCGCCTCCCCCAATCCGGCTCCCAAGGCTCTATGATCCCGTCCCCTCCCGAGGATGATGAAGAGGAAGGTAAGGTAGACTGGAAAGGCAGCTTTTCCAGGGTGGTCTCCTGCGAGGGGTCGTCGGCGGGCAGTGGGCTAGTTGTAGACTTCGATAAGAGATTTGGGACACACCTTCTCCGTATCTCTCTCTCTCTGTGTAAGATATCTCAGTCAAAGCCCCCATAGCGTTTCCTAACTACTTTAGGGTCCAGATTCTGCAAATTGCCCAGTTTGGTCACTGTGAAAGCTGCCCAGCTGTAGCAGAGGCCGCCCCTTATCTCTGAAAGTGCCACCTGCTTTGGATTTGTTCCAGGAAAGCAGGTGTCAGACCTGCCCCAGTCAGGCTCCTTGGAAAAGAAAGACCTTCGACTCCCATTTGGTTGAAGTGATAGGTTCTTTTACTAAAGGTTGCTTAAAGTCAGTCTAGAACTAAATTTCCTACCTGATAAGATTACAGATTAGTCCCCTTCTCCCAGCCCTCCCGCCTTGGACCAGTTTGTCTTCAGCCAATGAAGAGCTCTTTAGAGAGAGCGCTGAGATGTTTGGGGCAATCCATGTTCCAATCACAGGGTGCGCTGGCCTTGTCAGCTGGCACAAAGTGGTATCGTGCTTTCCTGGCCTTCGTCAAGCTGTCGGTCCCCCCTCCCAAATTCCCATCGTAACCTCATACATGCTCATTGCTCATTTGTCCCCCCCCTTTTACCCTCCAGCCTTTGATGGCAGGATGCTAGCGAGGCGCCAAGCTGAAGATGGCAGACCTGACAGTGGGCTTTGGACAGGTGCCCGTGGAAGAGTGGCTCCCCGCCGTGGGGCGTTTTGGTGCCTTGTGCTTTGCACCCTCCCTCAGCCTCTCCTCGTCTTTTGCAGATAACGACGAGCCTCTGCTCAGTGGCTCAGGGGACGTCTCTAAAGAGTGTGCAGAAAAGATCCTGGAGACGTGGGGAGACCTGCTTTCCAAGTGGTAAGTCCTCTGCTTCCTGCGTCCACGTTCCAGGAATTGTCCTCGTTCGGATTATCTCGTCCGGAATGGGCCGTTCCTGTTTCTCCTCCAGGGTTTCGCCTCTGTGTTATTATTCACAAGCTTTTCTCCTCGGCAGGCCCTCCTCCATCTTTTTCGCCCTGGCACATGGGCCACGGCCCCTCTGTCCCAGTCCTTTCGTCGAAATACAGTTCGCGTCAGTCGTTTGGGCACCCAGGACAGTTCGCAGCACCTCCGTATACTCCTTTGGATGAAACCGGCTTATTTACGCACCGCCCCATCCCCGCTCCTCCACCAAGCGCAGCACCTCCATATACACCCCCCCATCCCCGCTCTTCCACCCCTCCCCTTCTCATAACAAACGCAGCACCTTCCCCCAAGCAGCACCTCTCCCAAAGCTCCCGAGCTCCTGCGCTGATTGGCTGTCCTGTTCTGCCCCAGCTCCGAATTCCCGAGGATATTGACACACACCAACGGTCCTTATCAAATTTATTAAGTAGCAAGAATAAACCAAAGTCCGGCAAGGGTTGGCAACCAGCCTAGAAAACAAGATACGACTTTTCCAAAAATGCTCTGATGATAATTACAAGTTGTTTCCAGCAAGAAACTTACTAACTGCGTGTGACTTAAATAGGCTAAGGGAGTGGCCAATTATCCTCAAGCCTTACTCTCGAGGAGACCTCCTCCTCCTGAGTAGCCACTCCTGCCTTTTGGCAGCCCTGCGTGCTCAAGCATTGAGGAGAGGCTCCTCCACTTTGCTCTCTCCACTTGAAGGAGCCTCTGGAGGTTCTGAAGGCCCTGGCTGAGTCTCTGCCTCTGGCACCACATCCTCTTCAGCCTCCTCGCTGTCCGACATGAGCGCCGGCTGCGCAGGCTGCTGGCGTGACACCACACCAGCCTCCTCGTCGTTGGGATCAGCCACGATCTGCGCAGGCCGCTGGCAGGCCACAACAACGCCTGACGCGAACTGTACTTCGACGAATGGGCTGCAGCGAAGCGATGGGATGTAGGGGCTGTGGCCCATGTGCCGAGGCGAAAGAATGGGGGAGGCCCAGCCAAGGAAAAAAGCTTGTGGAGAATAACGCAAAGGCGAAACCCTGGAGGAGAAACAGGCATGGCCATGGTTACGAGCCAAAAATCCCTAGATCCATCCAGTCAGGAGAAGGGAGGTATGTAGGCAAAGTCCCAATACAGCCGCTCCCCCCAAGCCTTGTTGACTGAGCCAACTTCTTGGTGATTTGCAGAAGGGAGGTGCCATCACGACTGTCCCTTCTGCTCAGCTCTTCCTTACATGCATAGCCCACCTTTCTCCCGCTAGGACAGGAGTCAGCAACCTGGGGCTCTGGAGCCGCATGTGGCTCTTTCATTCCTCTGCTGCGGCTCCCTGTCACTCAAAATATGCGTCACAACCGCCAATGTGTGACACTTGCCAGTACATGATTTATTGAGCTTTTCAACCCCCGGTAGGCCCACCATGGATAAACCCAAGAAAAGAAAAGTTTCAGAAGAAAACAGAATGTTTAATTCAACTACGTATGCTAGTTTTGTGGCAGCTCAAGAAATAGTCAGGCACGGGAAGGGTTTTTGTGACTCCCGGTGTTTTCTTTTCTGTGGGAAACGGGTCCAAATGGCTCTTTTGAATGTTTAAGGTTGCAGACCTCTGCTCTAGGACAGGGGTGTCGAACTTGATTTCATTGAGGGCCGCATCAGGCGTGTGTTTGACTTGGGGGGGGGCATGGCCAGGGGTGTGTGGCCAGCTGGACGTCACTTGTGTCAGGAGCACCTGTGGTGGCCAAGTGCTAAGGCAGGACTTCCCTCAGACCCTCCCGCCCTCTCATAATCTCCTTCCTTCCTTCCTTCCTTCCTTCCTTCCTTCTTCCTTCCTTCCTTCCTTCCTTTTTCCCTTTTCTTCTTTTTCCTTCCCTCTTCATTCTTCTTCCTTCCCCTCTTTCCTTCTTTCTCTCCTTCTTTCTTTCTCTCCTTCCTTGTTCCTTCCTTCTTCCTTCCTTTTTTCTCTCATTTCCTTCTTTCTCTCCTTCCTTCCTTTTTCCCTTTTCTTTTTCCTTCATTCTTCTTCCTTCCCCTCTTTCCTTCTTTCTCTCCTTCTTTCTTTTTTTTCCCCTTCCTTCTCCCCTTCCTTCCTTCTTCCTTCCTTTTTTCTCTCCTTCCTCCCTTCCTTCTCTCCTTCCTTCCTTCCTTTTTCCCTTTTCTTCTTTTTCCTTCCCTCTTCATTCTTCTTCCTTCCCCTCTTTCCTTCTTTTTCCTTCCTTGCTCTCTTTCCATCTTTCTCCTTTCCTGTCCCTTCTTGGCTGCCCAAATGCAAAAGGGGAATTTCTCCTTTTGTGATGTTTTTACTTTCTTTTGCTAGCCCTCTTCCAGAGAAGAATGGAGCTGGCCCACCGAGCTCCGTTTTCGTTGGCAGAGGCACCATGAGCCGGTCCTTTGCTGTTTCCCTGTGGGCCGAATCTAAGTACCCCACAGGTTGGATCCAGCCCTCTGGTCTTGAGTTTGACACCTCTGCTCCAGGAAGTCACTGATCTTGAAAAGGGACCTGCTGATTGAGCCGCAGCCAGAAAAGCTAATACAGTCCTAGGTTGTATAAAGAGGCCTAGAATCAAGATCGCGTGATAGTCCCGCCTGGACTATTGCAACGCTGTCTCCATGGGGCTCCCCTTGAGGACCACCCGGAGGCTGCAACTGGCGCAGAGTGTGGCCGCGCGGGGGGTTATGGGAGCAACATGGCGCTCCCGTGTGACACCTCTCCTGCGCAAGCTGCACTGGCTCCCGGTGGTCTTCCAGGTGCGCTTCAAGGTTTTGGTTATCACCTTTAGAGCGCTCCATGGCTTAGGACCTGGTTATTTACGGGACCGCCTACTACCACAAACAGCCTCCCACCGGCCAGTACGCTCCCATAGAGAGGGGCTCCTCCGGATGCTGTCAGCCAAGCAGTGTCGACTGGTGGCCCCCAGGGTTAGGGCCTTCTCTGTGGGGGCACCCACTATCTGGAACGAGCTCCGCCCGGAGATATGGAGGATCCCGGATCTGCGCACTTTCCGCCGTGCTCTTAAGACCCTCCTATTCCAGCAAGCCGGCCTGGCCTAATTTTCTCCCCTTTCTTTTAAATTTTTAAACTGAAATTTTAATTTGTTTTAAATTATTGGGATTTTTAATTATCTTGGACTAAATTATTTAATTTGGTTTTAAATTGTTTCTAACTTTTGTATTTATGTATTTTATTCTGTGCCTGTTCACCGCCCTGAGTCCTTCGGGAGTAGGGCGGTATATAAATTTAATAAAACAAACATAAAACATAAAACAAGTATTAGTTCCGCTTTATAAAACCCTTAGTAAGGCCCCACCTGGAATACTGCAACCAATTTTGGTCACCACGCTAAAAAGAAAGATGTTGAGACTTTGGAAAAAGTGCAGAGAAGAGCAACTAAGAGGATCAAAGGCCTGAAGATTAAAACGTATGAAGAACAGCTGCAGGATTTGGGTCGGGCTAGTCTAGAGAAAAGAAGAATTAGGGGCGACATGATAAGAGCATTCTCGTATTTGAGGGGCTGCCACAAAGAAGCGGGAGGTCAAAATATTCTAAAAAGCACCAGAGGGCAGGACAAGAAGCAATGGTTGGAAACTAATTAAAGAGAGAAGCAACCTGGAATTAAGGAGGAACTTCCTAACACACAGGACAATTAATCAGTGGAACAGCTTGTCACCAGAAATCGTGGGTGCTCCATCACTGGAGGTTTTTAAGAAGAGACTGGACAGCCATTTATCTGAAATAGTGTAGGTCCGTGATGGCGAACCTTTGAATCCCTTTGAAGCCCGGTTGTCGTGGAAATGAGGGGAGGGGGGCACATTCCTGAGAAATGACGAGGAAAAGAAGTCTGAAGAATGACTTGGAAGACAGCCAATGAGAAGCAGAGATTTGGGGATCGGAAAGGGAGGGATTGGGAGGCAAAAGGTCAGTCTTGTCCGTGTGGAGTCATGATCCGGTGGCTGAGCTCAATTAAAGAAAGATTTCCTTAAAGATTGGCAGTTTGGAAATTCATTTAATTTTGAGATAGCACCGCAGTCTGACAGGTGGCACACGGAACCATATCTGTGAGCACGCAAGCGTTGCCCTTGCTCAGCTCCAGTGCCCCAGCCAGCTGATTTTTGGGCCTTCCAGAAGTCAGGAAACGGGCTGTTTCCGGCCTCCGGAGGGCCCACAGGGGGTGGAGAAGGCTGTTTTTGCCCTCCCCAGGCTCCTAGAAAGGCTCTGGAGCCTGGGGAGGGTGAAAAACGGACCTACTGGGCCCACTGTGACATCGTGTGCCAAAAGCAGGGGGAGTGCAGGGGGGTCGCGTGCGCATGTGCGGTGGCGCAGGGCACATTGAATTATGGGTGTGGGCAGGTGCATGACCCCCTGTGCTCTCCCCGCTTTTGGCACGTGACGGCAAAAAGGTTCGCCATCCCTGGTGTAGGTTGTCCTGCTTGAGCAGGGGACTGGACTGGAAGACCTCCAAGGTCCCTTCCCACGCTATTCTTTTCTGATTTTGATTAGTTGAGGCAAGAGGGAACCCACCCCCTCCTGTTGCGGGGTGTGCTTTCCCTTTTGCCAAGCCCCCAGCTGAGCTCTTGCTCCCTCCCTCCTTTCCAGGCACTTGAACCTGAGCGTGCGGCCCAAACCCTTGTCTGCGTTGGTGAGGAGCGGCGTCCCCGAAGCTCTCCGGGGAGAGGTGTGGCAGCTTCTGGCAGGATGTCACAACAACGACTTTCTGGTGGAGAAATACCGGATTCTCATCACAAAGGTGGGTTTGTTTTATGAACAGAAGATTGCTGGGGGAGAAGATGCTTTCAACAGTGGCCTTTGGGTTGGCTTCTCAGGTTGGTGGGCTTCTGGAACCGCTCGGAGAGAGAACAAGGAGATCGGTCCTGGGGACAACTGGAATATAGTTTGGGAGGCATTTTAAGGCAGAATTTCAATTACTGTATTTTTTGGAGTATAAGACACTCCAGAGTATAAGACGCACCTTAGTTTTTGGGGAGGAAAATAAGGCGGAAAAAAATCTGCCTCTGCCTACATCGGTATTCATCTGGCTAGCGTCCTGTCAGTGAGTGAGACTGTTTGGAAACTGAAACAATATTTGCTGTGTGAGCAACAAGGAAGGAGACAGCAAAGAGCCTGGGCGTGGCTTAGGTCAATTGTTCTAAAGCTGAATGTTTTTCTGATCTCTGAAACTAAAACTGAAACTCCTCTCCTCTGCTTGTGTTTTGCTTGCTGCTGCAAACTCTGACTGTCCTTGCAGCAAATAGCGAACAGCCAAGTCAGCTTCAACACATTCTTGCAGCCTGATTCAGCACGAACAGCTTATTGGCGGGTGGATCGGCCTCCCGGAATACCCGCAATCAGCTGTTCCAGGCTGCAGGGATCGCCACAGACCATCACCACCTCCATGCCTCACGTTTCGGCCTCCGAACGCCCCGTTTCAGACCCGTTCAAGGTTGCGGGGATCACCAGAGCACATAGCTGCCGATCACCGCCTCCGCGCATTGCGTTTTTGGCCTCTGCGCATCGCATTTTCGGCCTCTGCATGCCCCGTTTTTGTCCTCCGAGTGTTGCGTTTTCGGGCAGTTCCAGGCGGCAGGGATTTTCGCCACCGATTGCGCAGAGGCGGCGATAGTCTGTGGCAATCTGGAACAGGTCTAGAACGCGATGCGTGGAGGCTGAAAATGGCCGAAGAGTGGGGGGTGGCGGGTTAGCGGGGCTACATTCGGTGTATAAGATGCACCCAAACTTTCACCCTCTTTTAGGGAGGGGAAAAGTGTGTCATATACTCTGAAAAAATACTCTTTCCGGTCTCCGGCTTCGAAGGCTTCTCAAAATGTTTCTTGTTTCCCAGGGAACTTTCTCAAAGGCGCTGGTAAAGTCCTGTGGTTATAATGTCCTGTGGTTTTAGGCGCAGTGATTAGAGTGCAGTATACTGGCAGGCTACTTCTGCTGCCTTTTAATTTAATTTAATTTAATTTAATTTTATCGCATTTCTATGCCGCCCAACTCCCGAGGGACTCTGGGCGGCCTTGCTGGCTGCCTGCAATTTCGCAGTTCAAATCTCACCAGGCTCAAGGTTGACTTCCATCCTTCCGAGGTCAGTAAAGTGAGGACCCAGATTGTTGGGGGGCAATAGGCTGACCCTGTAAACCGCTTAGAGAGGGCTATAAAACAGATGAAGTGGTAAATAAGTCTAAGTGCTGTAGCTGCTTTCCTTTCTTCTTCCTTCCTTCCTCCCTTCCTTCCTCCTTCCTCCTTCCTTCCTTCCTTCCTTCTTCCTTCCTTCCTTCCTTCCTTCCTTATCTCTTTTCTTCCTTTCTTTTCATATCTTCCTTCATTCCTTCCTATACCTTCTGCTCTTTCCTTCCTTTCTTTTTATAATTCCCTCCTTCCTTCCTTTCCTCCCTCCCTCCTTTCTTTTCCCCTCCCTCCCTCCCTTCCTTCCTTGTCTCTTTCCTTCCTTTCTTTTTATAATTTCCTCCTTCCTTCCTTTCCTCCCTCCCTCCTTTCTTTCCCCCTCCCTCCCTCCCTCCCTCCCTCCCTCCCTCCCTCCCTTCCTTGTCTCTTTCCTTCCTTTCTTTTCATATCTTCCTTCAATCCTTCCTATACCTTCTGCCTCTTTCCTTCCTTTCTTTTTATAATTCCTCCTTCCTTCCTTCCTTCCTTCCTCCTTCTTCCTTCCTTTCCTTATCCTTTCCTTCCTTTCTTTTCATATCTTCCTTCATTCCTTCCTATACCTTCTGCCTCTTTCCTTCCTTTCTTTTTATAATTTCCTCCTTCCTTCCTTCCTTCCTTCCTTCCTTCCTTCCTTCCTTCCTTCCCTCCCTCCTTTCTTTCCCCCTCCCTCCCTCCCTCCCTTCCTTCTGCTTTCTTCCTTCCCCCTCCCTTCCCCTCCACATCTCCTTCCTCCCTCCCTCCCTCCCTCATGGTTAGAATGCAGTATTGCAGGCTAACTGCCCACTGCTAGCAGTTTGATCCTCCCTGACTGACTCAGCCTTTCATCCTTCCAAGGTGGGTAAAACGAGGACCCAGGTTGTTGTTGGGGGGAGGGGGGCAAGAGGATGACTCTGTAAACCGCTTAGAGAGGGCTGTAAAGCACCGTAAAGGGGTATATAAGTCTTAAGTGTTACAAGACGGAGCCTGCGTCAAAGGTAACCGAAACAATTGGCCGGACAGATGAAAGGTGTCAAATCTGCTCTGTCGGAGAGTGTGACATTTGGAAAGAAGCACATGTCTTAGGACAGGGGCAGGTGTGAAATGCTCCCGGTTCGGACCGGATCGCCCAATCCGGTAGCGAAGGCGGCGGGTGGTTTGGAGAACCGGTAGCAAAAATCCCTGTCCCCCACCCCCACCCCATGCCCAGCTGAGCCGGGCAATCATCAGAAGCTTTTTTTTTTACTTTTAAAAGCATTTTTTCTACAAACTCCTGGGCCGAAGGGAATGGCTAAAGAACAAGGGTCGACTTGGGAGTAAGGCCAAGGTGGACGATGAATGGCCCCTCCCAGAGGGAATAAAAGAGGAGCGAAAGGGGAGTGGAGTTTGCAGGAGTTCACTTAATTGGTTCGTGACTCTCCGAGACACGTTTTGAAGATATCGGCCTGGCATCTCTCCAAGCCAGATAAGGCCTGTGACTGTAAATTCACCCTTGAAAGACTCTGCTGGATGTGAATGAGAGGAATTCACAGTAATTTAATAAAAAAGGGTTTTTTTTGTCGGGACAAAGGAGTCTGCTTCACGCTCTTGGGAAGCCTAGGTCTGAACAGACACGTAGCAATCTCGGGAGAGACAGCAGCGACCATACAGGTCGATATAGCTAAGTACCTGGCTTAGAAAGAGAGTCACCCGATCGGGGTTACCATCAAACGTGGTCTGTAAGGGGGGGTGGTCCCCATACTGGTTGGGAGCCCCACACCCCCGGCTGCCCCGCCGGTCCTGGAGGTGCCTGACCTGAAACATTCGGGCCCCTGCACCCGGCAACCTGTCCCGGAACTGAGCGAAGCGGCTCTGGAAGTTTTTAAGAAGAGGTTGGATAACCATTTGTCCGAAGTGGTGTCGGGTTTCCTGCCTAAGCAGGGGGTTGGACTAGAAGACCTCCAAGGCCCCTTCCAACTCTGTTATTCTGTTCTATTTGAATTTGGATCACGTGAGCCTGGGGATGCTGCAATGGTCTGAGTTGTGTGTGAAAAACGGTCCTTCCCCCATTGCCCCCTCGACAGAGGGGCCTTTGTGCGGACACGCGCCTCGGTCCCAACAGCTGGTTCTTTGCTCCAAGCCCCGTCCAGCCTTCTTCTCCGCAGTTGCTCCCTGGAGAAACGACGTAGTGCACCTCGCGGGAATCCCGGAAGCAGCTTCGCACCAGCTCCGAGATCGTTTTCCAAGCTGGCGTTGCCTTTCCTCCTGATTTTTTTTTATTTTTTTCATTTAACCAGTTCACAAGTCTAAGAAACAAACAAAAAAAAAAACCCCACACCTTCACACAACCCTGAGTCCTCCAGAGGGGGGGCTGCTAGGCTTTCCTCCAGCTCAAAGAAAAATCTTTGTGGATCAGTTGTGGAGTAAAGAGGCCACGAGAGCTCATCTTCTGTAAAAAAAAAATGATTTTTTTAAAAATTTGATTTATATGCCGCCCTTCTCCGGAGACTCAGGGCGGCTTACAACACGCTAAGCAATAGCCTTCATCCTTTTGTATATTTATACAAAGTCAGCTTATTGCCCCCACAAACTGGGTCCTCAATTTATCTACCTTAGAAAGGATGGAAGGCTGAGTCAACCTTGAGCCTGGTGAGATTCGAACCTGCAGTAATTGCAGGCAGCTGGTCCTAATAACAGGGTGCTTTAGACCACTGTACTACCAAGGCTCCTTTGACAGTGATTTGACAGTCACTTATCTGAAATGGTATATAGGGGCTTCTGCTTCAGCAGCGGGTTGGACTAGAAGACCTCTAAGGTCCCTTCCAACTCCGATATTCTGTGATTCAGCCCTACCTAACCCTGGATCACAGGTGTCTTTTGACTGGCATCCATCATGGGCATAGGATGCCGCGATTCAAAAATCTGTAAAAAAAAAAAAAAACCAATTTAGCCAATTTTGCTTCCTTGGTTTTGGAAAGGAGGGACTTACCTGCTGTAGGGAGAAAGAGGAAATACGGTAGTGGCCAAAATTGTGGAAACCTTTTGGGAAAAGTGTATTTTTAATAATAATAATAATAATAATAATAATAATAATAATAATAATAATAATTTTATTTCTATACCGCCCTTCTCCCGAAGGACTCAGGGCGGTGTACAGCCTATTAAAAGCACAAGACAAACCAATTAAAATAATTTAAAATTATTAAATAATTCAGCTCAATATAAAACCCCAGAAATTTAAAACACCCAATTTAAAGTTATTATGTTGATAGCCAGGCCTGGTGGAACAATAGGCTCTTGAGTGCACAGCAAAATACCCGGAGGTATTTGATGGCTAATAGCTTTGATGGCTAATAACACCACTTCTTTTTTTTGGAGTTTCAAGATAATCCTATTCCACTGCTGGAATGGCCTGGGAATAGCCCAGACCTTCACCCAATTGAAAATCTATGGATTTTCCGACTAAAGAAACTGGTTAGTCAGAAGCGACCCAGCAATAAAACCCAGTTAATAGAAGCCATCATTCCATCTTGGTTTCACATGATAAACAGCTGCAGAACTCAAAGACTTGGTTCACTCCATGGGAAGACGTTGTAAGGCCAT